TTTACTATTATATTATCTACTATTATATTATCTAATATTATATTATCTAATATTATATTATTTAACTTTTATTAGCTAGATACCTTATATATTATAATTATTATTATTATTACCTATTTTACTACTTAATTTTTCTACATTCTTTATATATTTAGCTTCTTTCCCTTTAAGAAATATAATAGCACGTACACCACGTAATATAATATAATATCTAATACTTCTTAAAAGATATATTAGCTAATAAAGAATAATCAATCAACTTTACTATATTATAACGTTATTACGTTAGCTATATACTTTATATATAGTAAAACTCTAAATAGAGGAATTATTAAATACTAGATTATACTTTTTAAATATTAGTTCTAATATTATTTTATAGTTACTTAAAGATATACTAGTATTTTATATAAATATCTTTATTTAAATATACTATATTTAATACTTTATAGGGTCTCCTTTATTCTAAAATATAATCTATATTTTATCCTCTATAAATTTAATTAAGAAGTTAAAAAATATAAATTTAATAATATTCTAGACCTTCTAAATAATTATTTTAAGCTCTATAGGCCTTATTATTTAGAGATAATAAATTTAAATATAGTTCTTTATTATATTTTAAATATTCTTAATTAGATTTAAATCTAGAGAATAAAGGGGCTAATTAATTAAGCTAAAGTTATTCTTTATTATTATCTTTATTATAATAGTAGCTATATAAGGGGGGGTATTATTCTATATAAATTTATAGTTTAGATAAATTCTTATTTATTCTACTATTAGAGAAATAATTCTATTACTATAATTTACTTTATCTATTTTACTCTATTTCTTCTTTTATATAAGGTAAAGTCCCTTAGTTATATTTATAAAAGAGTTTTAGAATATTTAGTCTCTACCTCTTTAAGAATTTAATATAATATAAATAAAATTAAAAATTTTATTTTTTTTTTTTTATTAATAAAATATTTAGATATATTAATCCTCTATAAATTATATTTTATTTATTTAAATATCTTTTTTTAATTTTTTTCTATTTTATATAAATATTTTATTATAAATTATAATTTTACTTTATAAATTTAATTAGATATAAAAGAGGTTTTTAAATAATTTAATATTAAAATTTAGCTTTATATAAAGTATATTAAATAGTATAAATTTTTACTTTAAAAAGTATATTTTTAATTAGTTCTTTATATATTAATTATCTATTCTCTAGACTAATATAAATATAATTAATAAAGGTATTAATCTACTCTATAGAGAGAGATTAAAGTCTTCTAGTTTATTTTTTAGAAGAAGGAACTCCTTACTTATAGATATAATAAATTTAGTAATAGATAAGGCTTTTAGCTTTTATAATTTAAATATAGGTAAAGCCTTACTTATAGAGAATAAAGACTTATAGATAAAGATTATAATTAAAATAAAACTTATAAGATATTTTATTAAAGAATTATTAATTTTAAAAAATATACTAAGCTATTAATAAATATAATATTTTACTCTATTTTTTAAAAAATATAATATATAAGACTATTAGTTAGAATTCTTACTTCTAAATAGTAGTATTATTTAACTTTGTGGCTAGTAAGGACCCCTGTTGGTGGCAAGGATACTCGATGTACTCTTTTGACATGACTTAGGCCTGACGCCTAGTATGCACTACTGAACCGCGTCTACTCGAATGAGCGATGGCAGAGAAGCGAAAACTGTGGCTAGTGACGGGCCAGGGAGAACACGCCATGCTCCACTACGGTCTTTGCGTTGCGAACTCTGACTGGCGCAGGAGGTGAACAAGCATTTTAGGGGGGCTGATGCGCCCTCGTTGCGGGCTCGCTTCTCTCGAGGTTGCTATTGATACTTAGCGGGTGTGCTATATATCCCCCTCCTTTGACGTTCCTCCTCCTCTCCCTCTCCCCTTCGTCTTCTTCTATTCTCACTGGCATCTATCTTATTCGCATACTTACACTACTTGATAGGCTTAACCACGTGATACGTTGCTCTGGTGGGTATACTAGATACACACCACCATGACAGCCCCTGGAGAAGAGCAGACAAACGGAAATACCACCAATGGAACAAACGCAAACTCACGCCAGAGACGGGCTTCAGAGTCTCATCTGCCGTCGGCAAACCACACTGGCCCAGCAGGAGGCTACGATGTCACTCCCATGCCGCCTGCGCCGTCAGGATGGACGCTCAAGTTCACCTTCCACCGCGCTGAGAACCTGCCCATAGGCGACCTCAGCACCATGGCCTCCGACCCTTACATAAACGCCATACTCGAGACCGGTCTGCCCACCCGCCATCCAAAGCAGGATCCTATTTTCTCCTTCCGTACACCCACGGTGAGACGTACCATAAACCCTGAATGGAACTGCGAATGGATTGTCGCAAACGTACCCTCCTCTGGCTTCGAGTTGAAATGTCGCATCTACGACGAGGATATAGCCGATAGCGATGACCGGTTGGGAAGCGCCTACGTTGAAGTTAGGGATACTATTTCAGAGTCCTGGCCAGGTATCAAACAGCAGGGTTTCAAGATCAGGAAGCGCATGGGCAGTCAGAGAGCTTACTTGCTACGAACCATTGCCTCGACATTCTCTAAGCATGTCGATAATGAAGGAATGCTGTACATGAGCATTGAGTGTCTGGGTAGAACGCCCGGTAATGAAGGAGCTCATCTGTACACAGTTGGACCAAACTACTGGACAAAGCATTTCTCCCCGCTGATCGGCAGGTTGGCAGGCACAAAAGACAAGGTCAAGAGCAAGGATGGCAAACCGTCTGTTTCCCGGTACAAGTGAGTTGATCTTAAGACGTTACCTAAATATAAAATGAAATAGTATGATGCTGACGGAAATAGCTTCCAAGCGGTGCAGATACAGCTGACTGGACCTGTGCCGACACCATTGTATCACCGTTACGTTGAATTCCGTCCCTTCGTGGCTGGCATGTTCACTGCAAAGAGCCTCAGGGGCCGTTTGCTCAATCACGCATTGCACCATCAGCACGAACGCATTTACACATACGATCACAGCACTGTTTACGGCATCTTCCCCGAGCCTTGCATCGACCTGACAAAACTCTTCCTCGAATTTGTCCAATACGGCCAGGGCGGGCGTATCTTCACCTACGTCATTACTCTAGACGGTCAATGGCGCTTTACAGAGACCGGCAAGGAGTTTGGAATCGACCTGCTCAGCAAACATACCATGCACAGCGATGTATCAATCTACATCGCTTACTCCGGTGAATTCTTCGTTCGCAAGATCTCAGGCGATAAATCTTCTTCCCATGATCACCACCGACACCGTCGTTCTACCTCTGCCGAAACAGAAGCCTCGGAATCTGAACATGAACCATCTACCGACCCGGCACATTACGAACTCATCATTGACAACGACAGCGGTACTTACCGGCCCAACGGTAGACTCCTGCCTCTCTTACAAGAATTTCTAACTCACAATCTGCCCGGACTAAAGATATCCACCCTCGACTCTCAGGCTGATGCCACACGTATGGCCAAGCTCAAGGGCAAGCGGCGTGAGATAAAGAACAAGTCTAGCCATAGAATGACGTACCTGCAAAAGAGCTCATCTTCCCTCTCCCTCTCATCTCTATCAAGTTCGGATGAAGAGGATCTCAATGAAAGAGAGAATGGCATAAACTTGAATAACAACCCGACCAAGACTAAAGGGTTTATGAATGGTCTAAAGAATCCTAAGGGCAGATACAAACGATGGCTGGAAGCAGACTACGAACATACGACCGGTCGGAAAGAAGAACGGCCGTCGACTGCTCATAATTGATTTCTCGGTATTTGCTTTTCTGTCGCTCCATTTTAGCAAGAGACATATTCCGGCTTTCTCGTCTTGCCTTGTTCAGTTATTTTCGTTGTTTCATACTTGGGAGCTTCTTGATGCCCCTGGATGAAGCTGGGTTGTTCAACCTCGGGCCATACTTGAATGCATCACGCCGTTATGATAATGACCAGATAAGCTAAACCGTATAGAGATGTTTCTTAATGAGCAAAACGATTAGGGTATATTAATACAAAGGGTATATCAGCTAGTCACATATATATAGGCTTTCAAAAGTCATTACCATCATCCCCGTAGAGGCAATATCTTCGATGCAATAGCCTCCTGTCTGCATAAAGGACACTCCGGCTTCTCCTGCACCCAGTCCCGTATACACGTCCAGCAAAAGACATGTCCGCACGTCGATACACTCGGGTCTTTAAACGGATCAAGACAGAGAGTACACTTCCTCTGTGGTCCAGCAGGTATCCATGACATGGCCAGAGCATCTTTCTCAACAGACATATCATACCTCGCTTCCTCTGGAGCCAGCAATGCCATTCCGTCTGGCATGCTAATACTCTTCAATCCAGGGGTTCCTGCACCCTTGGCCGCCGAGTCCGTAGCAGATACCTGCCCTGCCTCCTCCAGCTGAATCGACTCAATAACTTCCTTCGCATGCACTATCGCCTGCACGGCAATTTGTAATACAAGCAGCACTCCCAAGACTTCATACCCTATCCTCTCCTCGCTATCGCCGATGCGTTTGGTAAATACGTATCGTAACCCCCATACCCGTTTAGATAGATGATAATATGCCCCCGAAAAGTAAAACGCGGCCAAATTCACAGCAAAAAAAGGTGAGAGAGATGTAATGGAGTTCAGGTGTTCAAGGATATATCGCTGAATCCGCAACGAGAAGCCGACATCTTTTCTCTTCTTGGTATTCCCCTTCTCCAACTCAAGCCTAGCCTGTTTCCGCGCAATACTTCGTTCAAGCTTAGTTCGTAACTTTCGTCGGAACGAAGGTAGTAGGCGCTGTAATATAGAAGGCACCAGTATCGAGCTAACGATATATCCTGCCCTTCGACCTAGGCTCGGAAGCTGTAGCGTATCGTCTTCAAGCTGTACTACATCGCAGTATTCTTCGCCTAGGGTCCTGTTGCCCAGCAGCGTTGTGAGGGAGAGGTAAAGCACTTCAATGGCATGCTTGATGGCGTCGGAATGAGCATGGGCGTATCGTTGGCCGCGGAGCGTGCGGATGATGGACTGGGCTTGTGTCGAGAGCGTGCTGGTGATGTAGCTGTCTTTCTCGTGCGCGCGGATGATATCCGGGGATGTCGCCCAGGGGAAGAAGTAGGATGGTTTGGGCGTCTTGCTGAGCGCCGCGTCCGCCATAGACGAGTCAAACAGGCTATCCGACGACATCTTGTCTGTTGATATTGGTATTCTCTGCGGTCTGCGGCGCCCTTCTTTCTCGATGTCATTCTCGTCCTCTCGCTGGTGTTTCTTTCTGATGTCAAAACTTACCTCGGCCCGTGATAAGCTTTCACGTGACTTCCCGTGACGATTTTGCGGCTCAAAAAACTAAAAAAGTGTCAAAAAGTTGGAGACACCAAGAAGAATCAACAAAAGACGAAACAAACTGGTTGGTGGTTTAACGTCTTCTTGTTTCCTGCCTTTGCGCTTTTGTCTTTTCTTTCGTTCTGTTTCCTTTTTGGCACAGCCAGTGGTTTTCGATGGAATATGGAGTCTGGCACTCTTGAGTCCCCCAAGCTGGACGGGTTCAGTCTTGTCTTGCCTCTGCCTTATCGTGTTGCTGTTATATTAGTCGCTGGTACGTTGAACTAAGAGCCGAAACGCCCCAGTGGACTAGCTATCTAATACCCGTCTAGGCGTGTGGGGATGGGGATTGAACGTCCAGTACCTCACAGCTGTCAAAATAGTACGTCATCTATTCGGCTCTTGCTTACCCAAACAGGGGGCTAATTCTTCCTAGGATGTCCCGGCTTTGATACGATATCCATCTCGACCTAATACCGCCGGCACCGTTACCGTTCACCGGTCGACATACCACCTTGCAACCCTCCTTTCCATTCCGCTAGCTATCTCCCTTCTCGCATTCTGGTTCATTACGTACGGCGACCCAGCACGAGTCATTGCTTGGGAGGTTTTGCCGCAATCATACCTGTTCCTCTTTATCGTACTACTTGCGTTCCCGCTCCATCGTCTCTCGCGTGGAGGAAGATACAGATTCTTGACCACGCTAAAACGTGTCAGCTTAGGAGGGCTTGCTGAATCCCAGGATGGCAAATTCGGCGATATCATACTTGCTGATGTGCTTACCAGCTACTCCAAAGTGATTGGGGACCTGTTCGTGAGCTCATGCATGTTCATCTCGAGTGATGCCTCCAGCACCAGCATACCTGATAGAGCTTGCGGTGGCCATGTAGCGGTACCTCTACTCATCGCTGTTCCAAGCATCATCCGGCTACGACAATGCTTGATCGAATTCTTCCGAGTATATAGACGTGGTAATCGCCGTGTTGATGGTTGGGGTGGTCAGCATCTTGCCAATGCTGCTAAATATGCTACAGCACTGCCTGTGATTGCTTTGACTATGCTGCAGCGCAATTATGATGCGTCTGTCATCGGAGTGAGCGAAGAAACATTGCATAAACTATGGTATGTCCATTTTTACTCTACACCCCCCTCAACCCAACTTCTAACTTCAAGTAGGATACTCTCTGCCGTCATCAACTCCTCATACACGTTCTATTGGGATATCGACAAGGATTGGGACCTTTGTCTTTTCTCCGATATCGTGGGCCAGTTCCGTCCTACTTCTACTCTGAGAGACGAAAACCCTCACCCATTTGGGCTTCGCACGAATCGTTTCTTTCACACCAATGCCATCTACTACTCCGCCATTGTGATCGACCTGGTCCTACGATTTACCTGGCTCAGTCGGCTAACCACACGATTGAACTGGGTCAACGATCTGGAGAGCGGAGTGTTTGCTCTTATGTTTTTAGAAGTTATCAGACGATGGCTTTGGATTTTTCTGAGAGTCGAAACTGAGTGGGGTGAGTCTTTTATTCCTACAGGGTACTTTTACTTGAGCAGAATTGCTAACTCCAAGTTCAGTCCGAAATATCCGTGGCCCGGCTCCTGATGATATTCTACTTGGGGAATTCACCAAGATGGATGAAGATTAAGTGTTCTTCCCTTTTCTATTGTACATATATTAATGGCCGGGATTTTCGTATTCAATACCCCTTAAATATCCTTTATACCTGTATTACCACTGTTCTCACGAGATTATAGAGGGTCCAGAGAAGATGTTAAATGCTTTCGATATTTCATTGTGTTTGTTGATATGATACGTTGATTGCCCTGATTAGACGCGAAAGCTAGATAGGTTATGAATCAGTTATCATACCCTAAACCCAATGGCCGACGTTCAAGGTCATAAACCGTCTGGTCCAACTTCCTGCATTGGGCTATAAACAACATCGTCATGGGATGACTGGCTGCGAGAAATACAATACTCTCCAATACAGACCTCAATTGCCGGAACTTTCTGCAGCTTCGGCCTCACTGTGGCAGTGGGTGTTAGCTTTAGGCTTGTAGTAGCGTGGGGGAACGAGTCAGGTATGTATGTGGCTTGTTAGGCCTAGGCATGGGTCTTAATGGTGTCTTTCCTTGATTATGAGGCCAGTCTAATCCTTCCAGCTGTTATATATACAGCAATATTGAATGATTTGCATCCTTCAGCTGCTAATCACCTCGGTAAGCGAGCCATGCTTTATCAATCTATAAACGCTATTTAATATTGAACATTAAACGCGTTCGATCGGAAGCTTCGATTAAGATAAGCGCAAAGTCTAAAATAGCCGCCGGTTGAAAAGGGAAAGCTCGGGCCGCGCTAGCTTAACTAGTTAAGGTTTCACGAAGTTTATTTTTTCCTCCTTCTTCCCGTATGTTGGATGCTAGTTAGTTTGGAAACACATAGTGTTCCCATTACGACTCCATGGAGTACAAGGTGCAGAGCTACCTAATGTGGGAGATGAGGGGCTAGGTGACATGGAAATCACTTTTTTTTTATTAAAAGCCCTAGAACTGGAGGGTTGGAGAACAATCTCCCCTGTTAGTCACTCCATGCGCCCGATCAGCGCTGGCAAGGAAGGCTGCTTTCCCAGTCCTTAAAGGCTTCTTAAGACTGGCGTCACGCTGTCTTTTCTCTTTTGTCCTGTTCAAATGACAATGGCATTCTCATAAGGTCAGACATATAACTCTAGATAACTTCCTGGTCATCTTGTTGCTTTGTCTCATGTTTCCCATTCACTCAGCACAAATGACGTTCAGCAGCTTCATGGCGAAGCGATGGACTCGAAGGCGCCTTCATCTCCTTATTGCGTTTATTCTGACTACTATTTTCTACTTATCCCTGTGTAGCTTCGATCCCATCATACCGCTGAAGGCCGCGTTGCCATATTCTCGGTATGGACATAGGTCTCGTCACGGCAGCCATGGAGGCAAACCAACAAAACCATACGTTCCTCGGGCGGCTCGAAAAGACGATAATACCATTGAAATGGTGATAGCTAGCAAGAAAAGTGAGAATGTCACTTGGCTACACGACTACCTTCCAAACTGGAAGAAGAACATATACGTAGTGGATAACAGTTCTGCCGACTTGACTGTTCCTCAAGATAAAGGGAGGGAAGCGATGGTATTCTTAACGTGGGCTACCTTGTTTCCTGTGAAGTTGTTATACATTCATGATTCTAATTGAGTATCCAGATACATAATTGACCGCTACGACTCACTTCCCGGCAACATATTCTTTCACCATGCGCAGCGGTTTCAATGGCACAATGACGACCCCAACTACGACGCGCTCAACCTCCTACAACAGTTCCGTCTCGATTACCTCAAGGAGGAAGGTTATACCAACTTACGTTGTGACTGGGCTCTAGGCTGTCCCTCCGCTATCAGACCCTGGGTCGATGCCATTGTATTCCTACCCAACGAACACATATCATCAAAACACGTCTACAAGAAATCCTTTGAACAACTATTCCCTGATAAGAGCGTCCCAGAAACCGTAGGCGTTGCATGCTGCTCGCAATTTGCCGTGCGCCGAGAAATAATACAGCAACGCCCAAAGTCAGATTACATTCGTTATCGGAAATGGCTACTCGACACCGAACTCAGTGATCAACTAAGCGGGCGCGTGTTCGAATACTCATGGCACAGTATGTTCTACTCACAACACGTAGATCTAACTTGCAACTCTGCGCTAATATGGAATCACTTAGTTATGTTTGGCAAGAAAGCTATACATTGCCCCAACGCCAGTACTTGCTACTGCAGAATGTACGGACTATGCCATATGACCTGCCAGTCTAAACGCTGCGATGGCCAGTATTTCCTGCCTAAGTACGCGGATCTTCCTAAGGGATGGCCGAAGATAGGTTGGGATAATGAAGACAGACACTGGTCCGGGCTAGAATAGGGGGATATTTTGAGTTTCTATTTCTTCTGGAGTTTATCTGGTTAGGGGGCATAAGCGATCTAGAGTTTTTTTCCCTTTGCTATTTCGGCGACAAGCCGCTGTAGTAATTATGTCGTAGATACCCGTTAGTTGAAACGTTTATATGCTGGTATCATTCTTCAACTGAACGTTGTGGGTAGTTAGCGATTCACTCGCTAGTAGTAAGGGTAGGCCAAATTACACACCCGTCGGTGGGTAAATAAAATAAACGTCTCACCCCACAACTGTTATCGGTGTGTTGGACATGAAGAGTGAGTTGGCAGAGTATACACGGCAATATGCATGGGTGAAATAGCAAATATACCCCTTGGTCGATTGGTGATACAGAAAGGCACTATGACGTCTTAATTACACGAAGAAACTTGGCCGGTAACTAGCATGATAAGACGGGAACGATTTTTAAAATACAACCAAGAAAAAAAAAACGGATCAAATCCTCCTCTGACTTCCTAGACAACGCCATGGATGATGGGAAAAAGGAAAGAGGAAGTGGAAGCCGAAACCCGAAACCATGTCTAGAGGCCAAAGGATACCCAAAAGAACAAGAATTTTATTTTTATATATCTACTCTTCGTCTTCAGCAACCTACAGTCGGGATGGTTAGCAGAGGCGACGATGGGAGGAATAAGCGCTAGGCTGAGGTTCAACTTACCCCTTCGTGGAAATTTTTGCCCTCGGTGGTCTCCTTTATGATACCAGCACGAATACACCAATCACCGAACCGTTCCGGCTGGTCCCCATCCGTCTGGCGCTCAAGAGCATACCTCTTCAGCAACCCCTTCATGATATCGAGAATCTCAGCTTCCTTGATTGAAGAGCGGTAGAGCTTGTTTAGTCGTTGGCCATGATATCCTCCGCCAAGGTACATGTTATATGCTCCATACGCCTTGCCCACGAAGGCGACTTCCGCCAACCAAGGTCTAGCGCATCCATTGGGACAACCAGTCATTCGCATCACGATGCTTTCTCGCGACAAACCATTCTCCTCGAGGTACGACTCTACCTTCGTGATGAGAATGGGTAAGTATCGTTCTGACTCAGCCATCGCAAGACCACATGTGGGAAAAGCAACGCAGGCCGAGGACGAGAGACGCAAGCCACTGAAAGATGTGTTGTCCAGCTTGTACTTTGCCATCAGGGCTTTGACCTGAGGTAGATCTTCGTCTTTGATATTGGATATTATGACGTGCTGGTTTCCAGTGAGGCGGAACTCTCCCTTGTTCAACTTGGCGATTTCACGCAGACCGGTTCTCATCAGGAAGTCGGAGGTGTCTTCTACGCGGCCGTTCTCGATAAAGCAAGTGAAGTGGTTCAGGCCATTTTCATCCTTGATCCAGCCGAAGGTGTCGACGTTGGAGTCGAACTTGAAGGGACGGGGTTCGGCGAATCGAAGGTCTTCAGGGAGTAAGGCTTCTACTTTGCCCTTGAAGACGTCCACACCCATGTCATCGACAGTGTATTTCATTCGGGCGTGTTTGCGGTTCTTCCTGTCGCCATGGTCGCGCTGGACGAGCATGATTTTCTCACAGACTATGTGCGCTTGTTTTGCGGGGACATAGCCTAGCATACTGCCTGTTCGGGGGTACGTCTTTTTGTTGTTGTGGGTGACGCCCATGCCACCGCCGACAAGGACATTGAATCCTTCCAGATGGCCATCTGCGCCCTTGATTGCGATGAGGCCTATGTCATGGGCGTATACGTCCGTATCGTTATGGGGCGGTATAGCGATTGTGATCTTGAACTTTCGAGGAAGATATGTTGGGCCATAGAGTGGTTCGTGGTCAACAACGGCGTCTCCTGCAACTTGTACCTTGTTATCATTCTCGTCTTTCAGCCAGATTTCATGATACGCGGTAGTTGCTGGAAGAAGATGGTCACTGATAAGTTTTGACACAGCATGGACTTCGCTGTGGTATGTAGACAGCTCAGGAAGACTGCTGCACATGACATTTCTGTTGACGTCTCCGCATGCAGCAATAGTAGACATTAACGCCCGGTTGATCGCCTGCATAGCTGCTCGTAGTTTCCCCTTAACGACACCGTGGAACTGGAATGTCTGTCTGGTCGTAAGCTTCATCGTCTCGTTGCCTTGCGCGCTACTGATTTCATCCATCTGCAGCCATTGCGAAGGGGTAGCTACACCACCTGCGAGACGACAGCGGATCATGAAGCTATACTTTGGCTCGAGGCCCTGGGCTTTTCGTTCTTCTCTCAAGTCTCGGTCGTCTTGCATGTAAGTTCCGTGGAACTTGGTCAATTGCAAGTCACTCTCCGCAAGAGCACCAGTAGATTCATCTCGTAGGCCCTCAGCAATAGTTCCTCGAAGGTAGTTAGATTGAATCTTGATATCTTCGTTGGTCAGAGGCGCTGGCTCATCAGGAAGTCCTTCAACATTATCCACCCCTAGAGCCTTCCAGATCTTTGGCTCCCACTCTGAATATCCGGTCTGATAACCATCTGGGTCCTGATCGTCACCTAGGCCGATATCAGCCAGCTTCTTACCGCCCAGGAAGGCGAGACGAGCATCTAAGTCTTTGGCGGGCTTGTTGTAGTATAGCTTGTCTTCCTTTCGAGGCCAGTAATGGCTATCACCCAGGCCGAAAACGGAATACTTGATAGCACCCAAGTCGAGGTCTCCTGCATTCTTGACAGTTTCCCAGAATCCACGTCCGTTCTGAGGCAGCTCTCCCTGTCCCGCTGTACTGGTGATGAGGACAATGTTCTCTTCCGTCGAAAGGTCTTCGATCGGGTAATCGTCCATCGCCATGACCATGGTCTTGAGACCACGGGCTTTACCGCGATTTGCCAGTCTCTTGGCCAAATTCTCGCCGTTGCCATTATCGGATGCAAACAGGATTGTTAGAGGAGCACCAAGCAAGCCCTCCATGAGCTGGTCGTACGCCTTCTTCGCAGCTCTCTTCTTCAAAGCGCGTACTTCACTGCCATATGACTCTGATAAACTTGCTGCAAACTTGGGCTCGCGACTCATCAGCTGAGTGAGCTGGTTATCCCTACGAAGGAACTCTTCGAGCTCTCTTCTGATCCTCTCAGAGTCCAATGAGAAATTAGGCAAGCCCTTTTCGGCATTTTCAGGGTTCCATCTGTACAGAGGCCAGTAGCCAGCTTCCACTGCTTTCTTGGTCTCCTGGAGTACAGTGAGGGGGGAGTCACTTTCTTTATGATAAGGTAGATAAGCAACGACGACTGAAGGCCCGTTGAACTGTTCTGCCTCTGCAATAGCTTGAAGGACTTGGGTATATGAGCGGTATACTGCGACGGACGCAACGTATGCATGGCCGAAGTTCATTGCGTACAGCCCGATATCCTTCTTGCGGCGTGTGGGATCTGCGGCAGTCTGTTGAGAGTACGGCTGGGAGTCAATAATGAGCATGTTGACATTCTCATTTGAGGCGAGAACATGGTGAACTCCTGAATTTCCAAGATCATAAGCCCATGCATCGGAGCCAATAAGCCATTGGGACTCCTTGAAGAATAGCTCCTTGGATTGAAGTAGGTCTTCAGCCGGACCGGAACCATCTGCCGTCAAAGCATCAATGACGTCTGGCGCAATCTGGTTCACTTTGGCGGAGTTGGATTCGTTCAAAGCCCACTTGGACAGAAGTTGTTTGGAAGTCTCGTTTGTGAACCCATTGGCTCGAACAGCTTCTTCGACATCCTTCTTGAGATTGACACGACGTTCCTTCCGAGCGAGTAGAGATCCAAAGCCATACTCTGGTGAAGCGGCGATGGTGGCGGAGATACCTGCGTTCTGTGAGCCAAGCTGGTTGGCAATGTACAAGCGATCACTGAACAGCTGGTTCAGGATCTTGGTGTATGCATTCTCATGGCTAGGCTGTTGAAGCTGGGTATCAGGTTGGGGGATGGTCTCAGTGCCTATGTCGAGGTTTTGAACTGGTGCCTCCAAGGTGAGATTCTGGATGACGCCCCTGACTGCCTGGGAAGCTGTTGCGGACTCTATGTATCCTAGTCTATAGCCTACGAGGGTTGGTGTAGGTCTAGTGCTGGACGGTGGCTGGGACACGCTAGATAGGAGATCAAGGAAAGACGGCCCCCATCTGGTTGTCTTGCGGACCTGTTCGAGCACGGCTATGCGCTCGACTGAATCCGGTATAGCACGGAGTATCTGGCTGCCTATCCAGGGCCGGTAAAGTCTGGCAGTGATGATGCCCACATCCTTGAATTCGTCCTTGTGAGCCGGGTCGTTCAGGGTATCGAGAAACACGCCAGTTGAACCAAAGATGAACAATGCTAGTTTTGCGTTTTGGGGTCCCGAGTACTCAATGGCGTGATAGTTGCGACCTACTCTGGCGGACAAGGCATCCCAGATGATGCTTACTATCTGGAAGATGTCTGCGGCATCGACTGGGCGGGTGGTGATTGTCTCAGCTGTAGTGGCAGATGAACTGGGTACATGGCTGTCGAGAATACTGCCCCGTCGCGAGGAACCCACTGATGATGGGTCGACGCTAGGAGCCGCAGATTTAGGAGACGGAATAGGAAGCGATGTATCAGCCGAGGCAGAAGCATCAGCAGCATTGATAACAGGCCCTCCGAAGCCCTGATCAGTGACTATGGCGACTCTCCCTGAATCCGCATAGATGGTCTGAGGCACGTCCACTGGAGTATGGGTAGCCCTAACGGGACTGATTTCTAGTATATCTTTGACAAAGGCGGCATCCTCTGCCACGACCGGCTGGTCCTTTTCCGAGTTGCGCAGGTCAAAGAAGTGAATGACTCCCTTGCCCGAGGTCAGGGCCAAAGCATGGGCAGTGAGACCGATATCATGGGCCTCCTGCAGGGTCTCTGAGTGCAAGAAGGAGAAGCCGCATTGCCTAATGGAGCTTATGACGGAGTAGTCTGCGAACTGTGAGGGTTCTAGGTGCACGTGGATGACAATGGAGTAGTTTGCCAGTCTGTAGAGGTGAGGTATGGCGGCCAGCAGGACGGTGGATGTTGTTGTCACTGAGACCGTCTGCCCCTGCTGGAGAGGGTGGTATGCTGAGAGCATGGGGTCCTCATTGTGGCGCACAGGGCGTATCTGCTTGGAGTTAGCTTGACCTGAACCTGACAGGGGTGTACTAAGTATATAAAAAGACAGGGTAGGGACTCCATAAGTTAGCAGCAATCTTACCTCCGGAATCGCATCAGACAGCACGTTCTTGACCTGCTGCTGGGCTAGTCTGCTAAGGGTGCCCGAGAAGACTGAATCTGTCTCCTTGGTCGGCTGAACCGAGAGCACTACATCGCTGGAGAGGTATGCCACTCTTGCCACTAGCAATGACCGTCAGCACCACATCTATACACCAGTCCTCCCAATTGACATCTAAGAACTTCATGAAAAAGAAAACAATGCCTCTCTATCAGCGAGAGCAGGCCATGACAGACGTACCAGCCTCTACTGCTGTGGTGATGCCCGCCATGCTGCCGTCAATGGCTCTGCCGAGCTGCCGCAGCCTGTTCGTCCGTCTGTCCGTCCGGGCTGGAGATCTAGATCGGCGTTAGCAAGGGGCCGTCGCAATGCCACCACCCACGCCCACACTCACCTCCCAACTGACCAGTACAGCCCACTGAAGACGCCAACAGGTCTGTCGCCGACGACTACCAGGAAGAAGAAGAAGAAGAAGAAGAAGTGAAGTTGAAGTTGAAGTTGAAGTCGAAAAAAAGGCCCTTGAAGTCTTTCCCTTTTAGGCTCGCTCGTCAGGTGACTTGGCCTGATCACGACATCTGCAAACAGCGCAAACTCGGCTCGACTTGGTAATTCTTTTGCTTTTATTCGACGAGAAAGAAGAGGATTTAATGATATCAAAAGATGTTAAAAGACTTTGAGCTCTTCTTTATGTTGTGACGCTGAAGGATCTCGGTCGAGACAGCAGATAGAGAAGAAGAAGAGAAGAAGAAGAGAGAAGAAGAAAAGAAAAGAAAGGCTCAGGTTCTGCTCTGCTAAGTGCGGCATTTGCACGTTCTATTGCGTGATCACCCTCGGCCCAGCTGGATACTAGTAGGCTTGCACAGACAGACAGACATAGAGAGAGAGGGAGAGAGAGAGATTACAATTAGTAAGAGGTGATTTGTAAGTAGGAAGTAGTAGTAGTAGTAGTAGTAGTAGTAGTAGTAGTAGTAGTAGTAGTAGTGATGGTGATGGTGATAGTGATAGAGTCTATGCATAGAGAAAGAGAACATAAGTTGATAGAGCCTCATAAGTAATAGCTGTTACCTAGGAACCCAGAGTCATGATAGCGATAGTAATAGGCAAAAAGACAGAAACAAGACTAAAATCAACAAGACAAGATCCATCCGTAGACAAGATGACCCGTAACGCCAAAGAAGAAGAAGAAGAAGAATAAGGTCAGTCAGTAGCCAATTCGCCATGCTGTGCGTGTGTGCGTGTCCAAGAAGTAAACAGGTCGATGTACAGTGCAGTGCGTAGTCTCCTCAGGGGCAGACCAGGGGGTATATATAGTATATACTCATTCAAACAAAGAAGTCGAAGGGTGATAATGTGTAGCTCGTCAAAACTCCCGCTCGTCCTGAGACTGGCCGTACATCTTCAGTGGAGGAACAGTGCCCGGTCTAAAGTTCGCAGTGGCCGGAGACTGCGGTAGGGAGTGCGGGTGGTTCTGCGGCTGCGTCGACGGCGTCAAGGGCACCACCACGGCCTGCAGCACTCCGGGGGCCGGTATAGGCGGACCGGTACCTGACCGACGCCGCCTCTCTCGCTCAACGGGACCGCTGCTCTCCGTGGGGACCATGCGGTAACTCGAGTTGAACCGCCGGTTGACGCCAAACATCCAGTCGTCATCTTCGTTGCGGTCGAGCCAGTAGCCCTTACCAACGGAGACCATGGCCCGGCCTAGCTTGCCCTTCCAGCCCTGCCCGTCAGGACAGTCCGGCATGAACGGATTCGGGTTGGTCTCGGGGTAGTCTGTCGTGCTAGTCGTGGCCGTGGAGCCATTGCGTTGGTGTTGGTGCTGCTGCTGCTCGGACCGGCGGTAGAAAGCATGCAGCTTCAGACACTGTCTCGCAAACGCCATCATTACAAAGACAAAGTACAGCCGCACCACCCACAGCACACATATGATGGCCAGGCTAGGCAGGCTTTCAGGCTGCAACATGCCCTCCTCCAGCGCCGAGCCGCCCGACTTCCCCCTCGTCGTGGCCAGAGGCATGTCCTCCGTATCGAACGAGACGCTGTACCGTCTCCCTCTCCCATGCGGTGGTCCTCCGGCCGTGAACCCAGCCGAGTCCTTCATGGTCGACCCGCCGGGCCCTCCGCCGCCCGAAATCATCTGGAACCAGGTCACGGCGAACCCGGCGGTGTACGCTGCATTCACCACGCTATCGATAAGGTAGAACCATGCGAGGGCAAGACACTGCAGCGGCGCCTGCTTGCGGATGTACGGCGTCAGGAAGATGGTCAGGCCCAGCGCGAGCATCGAGTAGATGTACATCGACAGCTGGACGGGCGAGAGCTCGAAGCCCGTCAGGATCGAGAGCAGGCCGTAGATGCCGATGAGCTTGTTAAGCAGCATCGAGAGTGCGATCAACGTAGCGCCTGTCTGCAGGCTCATGATGTAGAAGAAGGACTGCAGTCGAAAGCGTTAGTTGGTTCCCAACGGCGTCACGAGAGCAAGTTGAGATGCCGTTTTACCTACCTGCGGCCGCGGAGCGCGGAGGAACCGGAACGACAAGATGCCCATGGTCGCTCATCAAGGGGCGATTTTTCAGCAGGCAGGACAGAGAGACAGATGAAGAGGAAGAAGATGAGAAAGAATGAAGGAAGATGAAGATGAAGATGGGGATGGGGATGGAATTCGACGTCAAGCTGGTGGAGCGAGGAAAACTATGGAGCAGCAGCAGGAAATCCTCCGGCAGCCCGAGGAACGATGGGACGGGAGCGAACTTTTCGACCGAGCCGATAGGTTTAATATTGTTTAATTAATGGTATTAATATGACTGCAATAATTGATTTTATTAGCGAAGGATCCCAGCGCTGATTCTACTTGTCCGATTGTGAGCTGCCAAGTGGCGATCCGCCGGGGTTTGATGCCCAAGGTCGCTCGCTAGTCACATATGTGTAGGTACAGGGCACGGCGACGGCGATAGTGATACTGATAGTGGTACTGTTTTTTTATGCAGAGGCACAGAGTTATGCCGGAGCGGGATACGGGCTTGTGTGGATGCGAGGCGTTGATAGCTGTATTATTTATAGACTGGCTGGTGCATGGCATGGCATGGAATATTAAGAGATAGCTATGTAGATACTAAGATGCAGGCAAGAAAGGGCACTGGCAGCAGTGTTGGATGACGGATGATGGATGCAGGTCGGCGCAGCGTGGGAGCAGTGTTACAGGCTCAGTGTAGGCTGGATGTTTTGTATGCAGGGCGGAGACACGGTGGGTATGTAGAGACATTGGATAGGGAGTATATGATTACCCCCGTAGAAGTCGAAAGGGAGGCCATAGAGGTTCGTGAAGGTGGAATGCTAGCAGGCACAGGCGTCGTTGCTCACCGGCTTCGTCGGGTTGATGCTCACATCGATCACTGCAGCAGTCAGTATAACCGTCTATTAACAGATAACATTCCATCAGACAGGGAAGACAACATACTCTGGTTGTCGCTGTTGGGAGTCTCCCCCTCCATGCCCGGCAGCGCCTGGGCTATCTTTTTAAACAGGTTCTTCACGTTATGCCCCAGCTTCGCACTCGTCTCGATGAACATCAGCCCGTTCTTCTTCGCCTCCTCCTCGCCCTGCTCCGTCGTGACCTCCCGCTTGTCGTTGAGATCCGTCTTGTTACCGACCAGCGCGATGATGACGTCGTTCCCTCGCTCGTCACGCACATCGTCTACCCATTTGCGCGTGTTCTGGAATGACTTTGCGTTCGAGATGTCGTATACCACTACCGCCACGTTCGAGTTCTGGATATACGACGGTATCAGGGAGCGGAACCGTTCCTGGCCTGCCGTGTCCCATAGCTGCAGACGCACCGTCCGGTCTTCTAGATACATTGTCTGTTCCCGTCAGTCTCTCCATCTTTCGTAGGTTCTTTCTCTCTCGTAGTATTGTCGAGGCAGCAGGATATCGCACCTTGGAGAGGAAATCAATCCCTATAGTGGCCTGGTACGTGTTGTCGAACGAATCGTACATGAACCGGGTGATCAGCGAGGTCTTTCCAACTGTCTCTCCGTCAGCTTGTGGCCTGCCTTGTAGTTTGTAGTGCATCATCTGTCTCTGCCCGTCTGCGTACCACTCTGTTCACCGAGAAAGACCAGCCTGCACCCTCAAGTCAGCTTCCATCCCGCACCAAAAAAAACCACCGCAGACCACCGCAGACTCACTTGAACTTCTTCAGCGGGTTCGAATACGACCCGACCTGCGACTGGGAGGCCATCGTGTCTCGTCGTTCCGGCGTGCGTACCAAAAGGGGGCAGGTAGGGAGTCTTCAGATAAATTTATAGTCCAGCTAACGAGGTTACTCGACTGTCCACCAAGCAAACACGCAGTCGTAGTTGGAACCTCGCAGCCAGCAGCATCAAAGGGATCCTAAACAACAAAAAGAAACCCCCCGTAGCAGCAGAAAGAAAAGTAGTAGATCTCTGCTTCTTCTTCTTCTTCTTCTTCTTTTCTTCTCGTCCTTTCGAGCATGCAAAAAGTCCTGCGCGGCCACTGGACTTAAGTTACCCGCGCGGCCGCCCGCCCAATCACGACGCCGCAAGGGCTCCGTCGACTTTCCTCGTCGCTCTCGCTGCAGCATCAAAGAGAAACGCAACATCAACACCAGCACCAGCACAGCAGACAAGCAAGCCAGCAAGCAGCAGGCAGGCAGGCAAACTCGCATCCCGACCTTCTCGACCGCTGCTGTTCTCTGCCCCGTTTCTTCGTGCGTCGACGTCCTGCTGCATCGCTCGAGAGGCGCAAGGATGGGCTACAGCTACTACCACGGCCTGGGCGGCTTGACCGTCGCCCTGACAGTTGTCGGCCTGTGTACGTCTAGTTACTCCTCCTGCCTCTAGCTACAGCTGCGGAGGCATAGCTGAAGACCAGATATGGCTGACTCGTGCTTATAGACATGCTCTTCAATGGCGAGGGTGAAGCATTCAACGTGAGTTCTTGACCCGGGCGTCGTTTATTTACCCAGCAGCGTACGATACTGACAGCTCCTCAGGTCGGCCTCTTCCTCGAAACTGTCTCCCCGTACGCCTTCGCAAACATAGGCATTGGACTGTGTGTCGGTCTATCGGTCGTCGGCGCAGCATGGTCAGCAATACCTCTCTCCCCAACACTCTCCTGCTTCAGCCATTCTAAACAACTTATCATACAGGGGTATCTTCGTCACCGGTTCCTCTATCATCGGCGGCGGTGTCAGAGCTCCCAGAATACGGACCAAGAACTTGATCTCCATCATCTTCTGCGAGGTCGTCGCCATCTACGGCGTCATCATGTCCATCGTCTTCTCCTCCAAGCTCTCGTACGTGTCCGAAGAGAGCCTCTACTCAGGCAGCAACCTCTACACCGGCTACGCTCTCTTCTGGGGCGGCCTCATCGTCGGATCGTGCAATCTCATCTGCGGCATTGCAGTCGGTATCAACGGAAGCAGTGCTGCCTTGGCCGATGCTGCTGATTCCAGCTTGTACGTCGCCCAGCCCTCCCACCACTACTCGCAGTCTCTATACTAACTGCCTCCAGATTTGTCAAGATCCTCGTCATCGAAATCTTCAGCTCTATCCTCGGTCTTTTCGGCCTTATCCTCGGCCTCCTTGTTGCCGGAAAGGCGAACGAATTCAAGTGAACGCTATACAATGGCCCGATCGTGTTGTGATTTTGGTTAATGATAAAATATACCACACCCCCCATCTACTACCTCCCGGGGCCTTCATGCATAAATGCTCCCACCCATTTCTCCCACCTTCTCGTGACTGTTTCGTTGATCTCGTGTTCCTCTTTATATTGAAAGTATGCCTTTTTCACCGCGGCATGGGCGTTCGGTATCCTTCCTCCCTTTTCTTTTATATTAATTCCTTCGCATACATAGAGTGCATTCGGTCAGTCAACAGGCCCTGGCGGCAGTCGGGAAAGCAGAATTCGTCTTCTCTTCCTCGTTGCTGACCCGAGGGCCTGACGGGTGTGGATGTAAAATAATAGGTTAGCCCTTGTATTTCGAATATTTAGCCAATACATCTCTCTTGAAGACAATATTCAATCCTCTTGATGCTTTCGTTATGCTTGTCGAGAGTTATTGGTTAAGTAGTTAATAGCGACAACATCCTTGCTAGTTATGTAGTTAGGCTAAACAAAACACCTGGAGAACTGCGGAGGAACAGACGAACCTCGACTCACGCCATACAGAAGACCAAAGAACAGACTCTATCTATATATACAATACTACATCTTGAAATGTCAGATCAGCGGTTCAGAGCAGCTATCCTCATCGTCTCGGACACTGCTGCCCGGGACCCTTCCACTGACACTGTAGGCGGCATCCTGACGGACGTCTTCAGCCAGCACGACAGATGGGAGAAGCCGACCATCGCCATCGTTCCTGATAGCATACTTGAGATTCAACGGCATATCTCTCGCTGGTCTGATGGCGACGATCACTTCAATCTCATCATCACCTCTGGTGGGACGGGCTTTGCGGTCAGGGACAATACGCCCGAGGTGGGTTGCTCTCCAGACTTCTATAGAACCAAGTACTATGAGGAAGATAGATGCAGTCTGACTCGTGTATAGGCCGTTCTGCCTTTGATTCATCGACATGCTCCAGGGATTGTGTAGGTGGGCTTCTGGATGTATCAAATTGACTGGTTCTGACTGCGGTTATAGGCATGCGATACTATCTACTTCATTGGAGATAACACCATGTAAGCCATTATTTAACTTACCCTCCAATACATGGCGATAAGCATACCTAACAATGTATAGTTGCTATGATGTCAAGACCTGTTGCAGGGGTACGACACAAATCAATCATCATTACTGTCCCCGGATCTCCCAAAGGTGCAAAAGAATGCGTGGAAGCAGTTATCAAAATACTACCCCATGCATGTGCCCAGGCAGCAGGCGCTGATTCAAGGACTCTGCATGCGGGCGGTATTCAGAAGCTAGAGAAAGAAGCCGGAATAGCCAGCCATACAGCAGTGTCGTCAAAGCCTGACGGAGGCCATCACCACTGTCCCCATCATGGCCACGGACACGGACATGCTATACCCAAAGCACATACGACCGCAGCAGAGAGACCAAGCTCCAATGATCCGGCTACTGGCCCAACTAGACGATACCGTACCTCCCCATACCCCATGATCTCCGTGGACGAGGCTCTCAAGTTGATATCAGAGCATACACCCGATCCTACCGTCATCGAGGTGCCAGTGGACATCTCGCTTGTTGGCTCAGTTATAGCCGAAGATGTCTTTGCCTCCGAAGCTGTCCCTGCCTATCGAGCCAGCATTGTCGACGGATACGCCGTCATTGCCCCTACTTCTCCCGGTGAAGGTGTTAGTACAAAGGGCCAGTTCCCAGTTGCATCCGTCTCCCATGCACAAGCCGCCTCTATGCCTCCCCCATTGACGCCCGGGAACATCGCTCGTATCACGACCGGGGCACCGCTCCCAGAAAACGCTAATGCCGTCGCCATGGTAGAAGACACAGTTCTGGTATCAACCACCCCCGACGGTAAGGAAGAAGCCATCGTTGAGATCCTAACTGCAGATATTAAAGTAGGAGAGAACATCCGCGAGCCAGGAAGCGATGTCAAGCTCGGCTCCAGAATCCTGCAAAAGGGAGACCTCATTACCGATGTAGGAGGGGAAATCGGCCTACTGGCTTCTACCGGCACCAAGACAGTGAAGGTTTACAAGAAGCCATGCATTGGTGTCCTTAGTACCGGAGATGAGCTGGTCGAACACTCTGACCCCATCAAGCTTACAGGCGGCCAAATCAGAGACTCAAATCGCCCTTCTCTAATCTCATGCTTGACTTCATGGGGTTTCCCAACCGTCGACCTTGGTATTGCAAAGGATACATCCGGTCACCTGGAAGAGCTCCTCCGTGATGCCCTACGCGGCGCATCACCCTCTAACCCTTCGGGTGTAGACGTGATCATAACCACCGGCGGTGTTTCAATGGGCGAACTGGACTTGCTGAAACCCACCATTGAACGACAGCTAGGAGGCACCATACACTTTGGGCGAGTGTCGATGAAGCCAGGCAAACCAACTACTTTTGCAACCCTACCGTTTAAACCTAGCTCCCCTGATTCGAACCAGAGAGAGAAAAGGGTTATCTTCTCTCTTCCTGGCAACCCTGCTTCGGCTTTGGTTACGCTTAACCTGTTCGTACTGCCGTCACTGCATAAGACTATGGGGTTGGCCCAGAGAGGACTTCCAGTTATCAAGGCTTCGTTGACACACTCTATTCCTAAAGACCCCAAACGTACTGAGTATCATCGTGCTGTTGTGGGCTCATCTGAGGAAGATGGCCGGCTACTGGCTACAAGCACTGGTATTACCGGTGTAGGCCAGCGAAGCTCAAGGGTTGGGAGCATGGCTAAGGCTAACGCATTGTTGGTTCTTGAACCTGGCTCTGGCTCGATTGAAAAGGGACAGTTAGTCGAGGCACTAATGATGGGACCTTTGGTTTGATGATTGATGATTTATATTAACTAAGTAACAGAGCCGAAATCAAATATTATTATATCCAATATTATCTATATATACAATGCAGAAGATGCCAAACATTGTAGAACCTAGGAAACGTTTTTCACGACCTTCGTCCAAGAAAGCATCGGTAGACACCAATCTTATTTTCGTTTCCAGTGACCATTACCATAAGCTTGCAGCATATCCTGATAACAATATCATCATTTCGCCGTTTTCCAACCCTTTTTCTTCTCCGCTCTAAGCGCCAATAATGCCCCGTCTCTGCCAGGAACTCTTCCTATTTCCACAACGATAAATCGTACAAAATCTTGCAGTGTCCAGTAACTGCTATGTGCACTGAGCATGTTGAGATATTGAATATTCAAAGGCCCGCCGCCAACATTGAGGTAGAAATCTATTTGTCCATTGTCGTTCAAAAGAGCCATGCGTGTTTCGGCGATTTCCTCGCGGGTGAAATCATGAGTCTCCAGCTCGATATTTGAAGGGAGCTTGGATATTGTAGCTGCGGCGCCGTGAGCGGTACTACCAACTGTTGCACCGGTGGTATATGTTGTGCCCCAGCGGAAACACTCGTAATGCTTTGCAAAAGTGATGTTGACGAACTAGGTATAATCTTTGGTTTGAGCGAGTTTGCCAGATCAGCATCCACCGCTGCATTCAAGCGGTACGCAATAGGATCCGTATCGTTTAGGATATTATATATATTATCGACTGCAAGGCATCCGTATTTTCCGGCTTGACCAGCTATTCCGCGACCTGCATCCTCACCATGGTCCATACCAGGCTTGTTCCGACCCTTGCGTGGAAGAAGGACGGACTTGTTGAGAAGCAGGAAAAATCCTACAGGACTACCGCAGAGGAATAGGTTCTTGGTATCAAACTCGAACATAGCCTCGCTGATTTCAGTGCTGGCGAAATCAATGGACGGAAGAACAGTCGGTTGATGCGAAAGGATATCCACTGCCATGACCGTTCCCAGGGAATGAGCAATTATGTGTACTCTTCCACGGGATTGGAAGCCAGGGTTATTCTGGCACCAAAGCCGATATATTCGATTTGCTTCTCTGACCACCGCATGTACCATTTTCTGTTTATGATGAGACAGATAGTATGGGATGTCAAGCATAACATCGCTGATCAAATTTCGGACTCCCGGAATTGTGTCTGGAGTGATATCTTTCAACGAAAAGTTGTTTGCATGAGGATCCTCGGCTGCCGAAATGCTTTCTTCCGCACCTTCAAGAGATAGAGTTGTTCGCCAATTGACTGGGAGTACCATTATGCTCTCTTGACCTTGACGCATATGTGGCCATACCGCATCGCTGCTCAGCTCTGCATTCACGTCTTTTCGAAAGGCATTGATTGCATGGGTGAAATGGAAACTCTCGACTCGTTCAGATAGTTTTTGGCCAATGCCGTGGATAACCAAAACAAGATCACTCACATCCTGCCTCTTATCCTCCATCTGACAGGCATAACAGATTTGTCGGCGAGAAGCAGATGGGCTAGCAGCCATCTCACGCATCTTCATGAAATTCCTTGCGTTTGTAGAAACGAACTTTGACGGATGCAATTTATCCCATAGTTGCGGGCTGAATCCTCGTACCACCGGGATGCCAATTTGTCTGCCCTTCCGTACAGAGGCTAGGGGTCGACGGCCGCGTGCAACTGATGGTAACAGACTTGGTCGTAAGATTTGTGCCTCCTTCGCATTGACGTATATGACACTGGAAGATTTGAACTGCCGTACGGTATCTACCTGCCCTTCCACACCACCAGCGGCTCTATTTACACTAAAATCAAGATGCGTTGCATGCTGTGACAGGTGTGCGCTTCCAATGGACATGATTGCAGGTGATTCACGTCCGGCCTTGTCTGCTTTCTTCGGTACCTCATCGGGCCAGAGCTTGTATATAATTTTTTCCTCGGCCTCCGCGCCATTTTCTATGCAGCTATCGAGCTCATCTTGCCACGTTTGTGTCCAGGGTTTCAGTTCCATGTAGCCGTCTTCCAAATGATTCGCGAGATCCGTTTCTACAGGAAGCATAGTATTCTTGTAAAACCAAGTTGCTCTAATAACACTTGAGATATCGTTCACTGGGCTCCAGTAAATGGGCTTCATCTGTAGTTTCGGCAATTCTACGAGATGAAGGCGTGTTGCGCCTACGGTCACCGTTACACCTGCGTCAACAACTTCCGAGCCAGTGGTCGAAGGTCGGGAATCTGGTTTTGGAGAAGGTGTCTCTCGAAGTTTGGGTTTGACTTCATGGTCTAGCTCTAGGGCTGCTTTCAATTGCGTAGTAGAATTGTTGTCTCCGTTGAAAGGGCGTCTCATTTGTTCAAGTATATCTTCGTTGCCCCAAGCTGAGCTAGCTACAGAATCCGATCGATCTCTAACCGGCGCCCGAATGAATGGAGATCCAGTGACATTGGTATCAGCCATGGTTCGCATCCTCCCGTCGTCACCGTTCTGAAGCGGCGTCCCACTTCTCGTAGGTGTTCCGGGAATAAGCTGAACAGGAGAACTCTGGCATTTCTGTAGCTTTTCGCAAGTTTCATAAGATCCAAGAGTTCTTCGTCGTTGCTTTGACTTTTCGAAGTCGGGTAATTCAGCGTTTCTAGGTTTTGGTACGTTGGAAATTGATTCCTTCCCAGCAGTAACACTGCCATCCACAAATATTTCCCGAACCCCCAGAGAGCTTCTCCGGTTTTCTCTTCCCTCACCCCGTAACCGGGAAGTTGGGAGGGTTTTGCTGTTTTTGATAAGCTTTCCATCCGACCCTCGCCGGCTTCGTTCGACAGCTGGAGGTATTCCCCGAAGTCTCAAAGTGCTTTCCCGGGAACCAGAGGCTCTGGAGTCACTTGTGTTTTCCCTCTCAAAATCAGCCCGCAGAGCCTGCCAAGCTTCTTCCAAAGCTATACTGTCTCGGCTTGAAAACGGTCTCGTCGGCAGCTGTGTGTTGGAGTTGGTGGTTGGAGCTGTGATTGGTGTCAAGGGGTCATCGATTGGGAGCGATGATAGGTAGAAAAACTGGGCTCGCACGGTGGGTGGTGGAGGGATTACTTCGTCTGGGCTGCCCTTGATAACGGTGTTGCCTTCTTCCTCGTAGAGCAGGCATGTTGGCCCGTATGTATGCGTGGGAGCAGCCATGACTTTCGAAATGGCTCTGTTCGGTACTTCTATAGCTGAAGATATTCAAAGAAATGGCCGGTACTTATATATTCAGGATAAATCAAAGAATTATAAGAGCAGAAGCAGCTCCACCTTCTGGCATGGGAGGTTCTGGCATCCTGGACGTCAAGAACAAAGCCATAGGTAGCAGAATTCATGCAGTAGATCTGGGTGTAGCCTGGTTTTTCTTGAAGGATAATAATACTGGGATACGAAATGCTATCCCCCTAGTCCGATTCACTCCCAAGGACGAAGGTTGGAGAATCCAGGTTGTCTCTTTTCTGGTGGTTGGGATTTTCCTAAACGTTGACTCGACGATGACGTTGTTGGATGGCAGCTTCACGTGACGCGCCCAGGCTCAACCATGTGGATCTTTGATCACTATCAAGAGAACTGGTTATTTAGTTAATGGCAGGGATCATCTCGTCTGTTTGCTAATTCCTATTGGCACGATAAGTAAGACTTTGCTAATTATACACAAGGAGGCTGCCTGAAGGGCTTAACAAATCACCAAGGGCTGCCCTGCTGAGACCACGACCCAAAAGGCAGCAACATTAGAAAAGAACTGATCGTAAAAAAAAGGCCTTTCAACAATAAAACCTGAGACCCATACTTCGTACTCTGCCTTTCCCTTAAACCGTGCGTTTTCCAAAGGATGGCTGGTGGAATGCCCCTTGCGTTACATGTTTGTCTTCAGCCTCCTTAAGGTGCTTTTCCTGAGCTTTCTTCATAGCAGCAAGTGCACCCATCTGCAGTTCCTGGAAAGCCAGAAATGTCACCAGTGGTCCTCCCAACATCTCCAATATTTTATGTGTATCATGCATGTGTTTCCTAATAACGCTGTCGGGGTAGCAAAATGTGCGAATGCTCATCTCCTTCGCCATGGCCTTCCAGTTGTACAGAGTTGCGTTCAAAACAACGGTGTTGTATGCACATTCGCCATGGAACTTGAAAGTTCGAAGGTTGTAGATGATCAAGTCTCGTTGCGTGGCTTGGTCGAACTGAAATTGAAGGACTGGCGGTCTGCCCTTGGACACCCAGAAATTGGTGACCTTATTAACGGACTCGGCAGACATGTAGCCAGCCTGGTACTGGCTTACGAGAAACTGGTTGGCCGTAACGCAGATCATTAGCTCCATTTCAGAGTAAAGCTTTGCTTGAGTTGGGGGATCAAGAGATATTGGACAAGTAGATCTAGTCAACATCTTAGGTTGGAAAGGGGCAGAGCCAGATCCCGTCTATAGAAAATGTCAGTGCTAGATCCATTATTCATGATGATAAAAAAATTCTAAGTGCTCACAATATCCTCAACTCGCTGTTTGATTTTCTCCCCGAGAGCTCTCAGACCAGGTTTCCTCTTTTCGGCGGGGACATCGTTGATGTCTGGTGAGCGTCCTAACCATCCATTTTCGCCGAATAGCTTCTTATGCGGAGATTTTGAGCGTTTCTGTTGTGGGTATAGATCTAGAGCGGATTCTTCATCCAAATCCTCGAGTTTAGTAGGGGAACGGGAACGGCCGCGTGCACGCGGCGCACGGTTTGCTTCATAATATCTCTGACCCTGTCTCTGATCATGCTTCTGGTCATGATTTTGGTCATGGCTACGTCCACCGTTTTCCCACTTTTCTACAGGAGGAACCTTTGCTGGGCTTTCCCATCCCTGGAAGTAGCTGGCCATGTCCGAGTTATCACGGTATCCGTAGTCAAATGATTTTACATTACCATCTGACTTGGATTGGGGAAGGCGTCTTCCGTATTGACTCGCATCCGCGGGATAGGAGTAAGCCTTTGGCGGAGATGGCTCTCTTTGGATTCGCGAGTCATTTTCAGGGGGTCCAGGCCATACGCTTTGACGCCCACTGCTTTCATGGTATTCCGAAGCACCGCTATAAGATGAGTGACTAGCATAATTTATCAGCATCAGAGCAAATATAGCTTAATCTGTAGATATGCGTTCCTACCTGTCATATGCGAGGGGAACCTCCATGGCTTCCGATGGACTGTACTTCTTTGGATCTAACGAGTTGACTGGAATTCCAGCTTCCTTTGTAGATTGGACGGTCAGATGCAAGATATCTCGCGTCAACTGCCTGAATGCGTCCCTGGAAGAGCAACAAGGCGGGCAACCCTGGGCGTCTAGGGTATGATTCTGGTGGCCGTTCGATTCTAGGTTAGGTAAACTTGACGAATGTGTATGCGCAGAGGGATTAGGCCGTTGCTGATGCCCTAATCCAGGAAGAAAATCTCCAGTACCATCGCGTTGATGCTGTGAATGCTCCATATTTGGTCTTTGTTTATGTTGTGGGTGTGAGCCAGAGGAACTTCCAAGCACCATGCTTTTTATAATAAATGAAAAGAGACGAATCTCATGAATAGTTCAATAAGAGCTATTGCCACGAATTAGACAGTGTAAGGTAGAAAGAACCACAATAGCCACCAAAGCTATTGTTGTGAGGATGAGGTTTAATAGAATGGGTGGTGGTGATGGAGTTGGTATGAAAAAAGTGATATCACCTAGCAACCAAAATAAACAACACCATTCTGCGTTTCTAGGTCCGGTTTATCCCGGATTGCAGCTAGTAAGAGCCTGATCCTTCTATAAAGCCTGCACCAAGATATTCTCAGTGAGGAGGGAGCTATATGGCAGCCCGCATTGCCATCTAACAAAACTATCTCAGAAGATATAGAGTAGTTAAATATACCAAATAAGTACAAATAGAGACATCCAACGTATAGGTTGCCTTATGCAACGAGCAGTAGTCTCATACATATAGCATCTTTAAGAGAAACATCTAGCAGTACCTGGAAGATGGCAGTGAGCTCTGGAGGGCATTGCATTCCAAAGGTAGTCTTCAATATGAGCACATAGATATATACAGGATCCTGTACATACCATAACGGCAAGCAAGGGGTTGATATACGTCTGGTAATAGGAGACTGTATGGTATTGCTACCATCAAGGCTTCTGGTATCATTTCGGATTCTTTTTATCGCAAAAATATAAGAAGTCAGAACAGCTAAAAATAACTAACCAATCCCTTTCTATAGCATATCTCCGTTTCATTGTATGCTCAAAGATCATGAAACTGTTGATAGATCAGGTGCAGTAGAAGGTGGAAGTTCGAAGTCCCGATGCTAAAGTTGCGGGAAGGACTGGCACGTGACTGGTGTAATCTACGGAATACCATTGGTTAGCCCAGTGTAGCACGTGATTCTGTGGTCTCGCCGAAGTTTAATCTATATTTAGGCCTAAGAAGCTCAATTCTACGGACGGCGTAGTTACGTTACAGCACTGAAGACTGAAGACAGAAGACAGAAGACAAGAATGATTTATCCATTCCCATGATTTACCAAAAGGTGGAAAAGGTGGCACTACTGGAAATTATGCTCTGTCTTATGACGAGTGGGAGACCACGGGTGAGATACATAAATATGAGGGTACCAAAATCTAGCTCATACCTCTGTCAACCCTGCAGATTTCTCTCGAAGACTGCAAGGGGTTGTTGACCTCAACCTTCAGTTCAAAGAAATGGTCCTTATCCCAACATCACGGCACGCCTTATATCCTTGAATCGCATTCTACCCCTTGGACTTCTGCGGGCTCCTATATTTACAAACAATTCTATTTTTCGTCTATAGTATTTCCTTACGCTACTAGAAGGTAAGGACGAAGAGAGTGGAAGCAAAGAACATTTTTCAAGCAACATGTTCAGCAAGGCACTTATCAATGGGCCCGGAAGCCTGAAGAGGCGAAATCTGGCGTTCCGGAACAAATACTACTCAATTGCCAGTCACTCCATACCCTGAAGGTATCGAATGCAACCGATATTCACTTGCCGCAAATTTTTATACCCCATGTACACTCTAAGCATTTTCTTCTGTCATTCCCTTCATTCACTGGCAAAGAGTGACCAATTCATACCTTCTCTAATAAAGAAGAGTCAGGAGCCCCCCATTTTTTTTCTGCTTTCCACCACCTACTTTTTATACTATCCTACCAATTCCACCTCCCATCCATGCGTTGAACTTGTGTCAAAAGATAACTTCATAAACCGCTACGGCTTCACCAAGTTGGAGTGTGGTGCCCTCGTGTGGGCGTTGTCCCGCTTCCCGCAGTACTTCGACGGCTGACCATTTACAGTCGTCACCGATCACTCTGCTCTGGTATCAGCACTGCAGAAGAAGTCACCTATCTCTGGCCGCCGTTCGTCCCGACTAGAAAATTAGGCACTGATCAAGCTCATATCATCAACCTGAAGGTTGTAACGTTGTTTAAAGCGTCAAAACATAAAGCAACAACATATCCCTCCACAGTATAGCGGTACTGCAAAACTGGATATGACAGCGCTTGCTGTTACCGAGGTTTTATCCCGTAAATGGTCCGAATGGATCCTTTGGGCTGGCACATCACTATGAGCTCGAAGGACAGTGAGCAGTCCGCCTAATGACAAAGATGGCCAATATGATGATAGAGAGCTCGAACTCCTCGCATAGTGGAGAAAACCAGCCAAAGAAACTACCCGGTACCAACACATCTCCAAATGACTTACAAAATTCTCATGAGAACAGAATGAATGCGTCCAAATCTCTGATTAGGACATACTCCTCAGGGGAATAAAATTTGCATTTATTCGACCTGCGGGCAGCTTAGCTATCCCAAGACGGTCCATCAGCTTGGATTAAGATCATTCTTCTATAGGACACGACTTATGCATATATCTCTGGAAGACTGTGTTGGTCTACCCCGACGACATCGTCACTTACTCTCCATCTCCTGAACAGCACTTGAAGGATCTCGACAATATTCTTTCTCATGCCTGAACTTCAGTCAACCTACCGATTGCTAATGCAATTACCCCTATCGCCCTGACGGTAACGCGTGACAAGTCGATTATTTCACCGGACCAGGCGCCTACCCTGGTTCAGACGACGAGGACTCCTCTGCAGGCTCCACGACTCCTGAAAAGACGCCCAAGCCACCTAAGAAACGCCTCAAGAAAGACGGCAACGTCGCTGGCCCCGCACTCAACAACCAGAAGAAACTGGCTAGCCCTCAAGATGGCAGGGCAGCTGGGGCCTTATGAACACTTAAAAACTGAAAAGGGATTTAGGTACTTATTTCCTGCATGCACTTACGCTTGCAATGCTCAAAGTACCATTGAAAAACACATGCCAAAGCATTCATGGGCGTATATCAAGAAAAAATATGCTCCTACAAAAGTCCATATTCAAGTGTCTACCTCACTACTTTTGTGTAGTTACCCGAACCATCTCTTGATATTAGCAATCTACTCACCTTATAGCAGAAACCACAGCAGAATAATTCCATACAGTCCACGCTAAATGTGACATCCCCCTAGCTATATTGAAATGCCATTTCGCGTACGGAGTACCCTTATAAAGCTTAACTTTTACATGTCAACCCGAGAAGAAACAGGCGGAGCTTCAAGCTCCAGGTTCTAGACTCAATGCCACTCTGTTGATAAAGTGCCAAAGATATAACTTCATCCTCCTGGCCATTGGTGTGGGTTCACTCATTTGACCAAGTCATTTTGATAGTTATAAACAATGCAGGAACTTCTATACTTTTGCTTGGTGTAACTTATTGGCCAGGCCAGGCCAGCACCCTTAAGAAACCAGTTACAGTTATCGGCGGAGACTCAACTTTAACCAGCTCGTTAACATAGTTCAGAGTACTCCGTAGTTAGTTATTTGATTAGCTTGAGAGTCCGCAAAGACTCTGTCCTGGTCAAGCAAACTTGGTGATAAATATACGATGAGCAAGCCTAGCAGATCGCCAACGCCTACCGTTATGAACTACCGGAGCGACAAGCCAGCCGCTAGTTTTTGCGGTATTGACATGGTTTATTGAATTCCAGACCAGACTAAGAGGCTGACTAGTTATAAAAAGGGTTTGGCGGCTTTATTTGACATTTTCTGGCCCCTGACACCAATCACTACTGGCCCAAATCGCGAGAACCAGCATCTAAATAAGCATCGATGTGCATCTTCGCTGCCAGTACGGTGGCTTAAGGGATATTGTTTCACTGGTTGGCAAGACACATCCAGCGTGAGGGACGATCACCAGCTAACCAACTGGCTGGAAGACATACAGAGCACATATCTAAAACAACAGCAACACCCAGACTATTATCTGTACCCATACGGAGTATGGGATATCGCGTTAATCTCCAAAGCATCCCGGACTTATCGCCACTACAGTTTCAGTAAAGCTCTTGAGAAGGAAGGGCCTTTTAAGGGTTTTCCCGGAGTTTCGTAGGGAATTGCTTTTTCCCCATCGCGGCGTGGCCTTATTCTTCAGCCAGTTACTATCCCGGCCCGTCCAGCAACGACCACAAGGTAACGCAGGGGGGATAACTAACTAGTTACTCTGCACTCTAGACCAGAGCATCCAGTTAGCTTTTGCCTGTAAACCCCCTGTAACTATCCCTTTGGCCCTTGACTATCGAAGTTGCACTTGGTTCTCCGAGCCCTGTCTGGGTGGAACCAGATGCCATCCTCATGCAGACTGAATAAGCAGACATGAATATCTGACGGATAGCATCCGGCATAAACATGACAGACCTACGGAGTACAAATGGGTATGTATCTCCGCTCCTAGCATTAAAATTCATCAAAAATTCATTTCTTCTGCTACGGCTAACTGTTTGTTCAGATATCTGATTTGTACACTTTAAGCTGCCCTGCGGTAGCAGGTGTTTGATAGCCCGGTTCGCCGGATCCAAATCACTTCTCGCATAATACGCACAAAAATGAGGGAGGAAGCATACGATATCGTTATTGTTGGTGCTGGGCCATTCGGCCTCTTCTTGTCACTCTGCCTATCCCGATGGGGTTACAATGTGAAGCACATTGATAACCGAGAAGTGCCTACAAAAACAGGCCGAGCAGATGGAATCCAGTCCCGCTCAATCGAGATACTTCGAAATTTGGGACTAAAGAGGCAGTTGATGGCATATACGCCTGCGAGGCTTTACAATGTTGCATTTTGGGACCCTGACCCTAACAGCGAAGGCATTCGTCGGACGAGCAATTGGCCCAGTTGTCCGCCGACCATCGGGGCGAGATACCCATTCTCCCTCATTATACACCAAGGTATAATCGAAAAAGCCTTTCTAGATGAAATTTCCAAATGCGGTACTGTCGTGGAGCGTCCGAGCACCATAGCTGGATTCGTACATGACAGAGAAGACCCCGTATACCCTATATCAGTCACCATAAAAAGCCTTGACACGAACGTGGAACGCACTGTACGGACAAAATATTTAATTGGCGCTGAGGGAGCTCGGAGCTTTATCAGGAATCAGCTGGGGATAAAAGTGCAACGGAAGGGGCCTATTTCAGCTGTATGGGCTGTCGTGGACGGAGTGGTCCGAACTGATTTTCCTGATATCAGGGTACGCATATGAGACTCCAGTGCTGGTATATGCTACAGTGCCTTTAGCCGTTGACTGACGTACCGAGCAGAACAAATGCACTATTCACTCTCACAGTGGTTCAGTGATGGTGATACCAAGAGAGGACAACTTAGTCCGCCTCTACACCCAAATATCCTCCCCCGAGGATGCCGACTGGGACCCTAAGCAGACAGCTACCATCCAGCAAGCGCAAGACTCCATCAAAAAGGCCCTAAAGCCATACAACATCTCCTGGGATACAGTGGATTGGTATTCCACCTACCCAATTGGTCAAGGTTTAGCGGACTCATATAGTTTGGATCAGCGGATCTTCATTGGGGGAGATGCATGCCATACTCACAGTGTAGGTTACCCCCAGCCAGTCTGATTTTAATGCTGTCGATATAACGTCTAACCAATCTCCTCACCAGCCAAAAGCCGGCCAGGGAATGAATGCCGGATTTCATGATGCCCTAAACCTAGCATGGAAGATCCATGCAGTCGAGGCAGGATTTGCCGATCGCTCGATCCTGGAATCTTATGAAGCGGAACGGAGATACATCGCTCTGCAGTTGCTTGATTTTGATGCCAAATACGCGAAGTTATTTTCCCAGAGACTATCTTCAAAAGACCCCAACCTACCCGAGAGCAAGGAGTTTACCAAATTGCACAAAGCCGCTGCGGAATTCACAAGCGGTTACGGCATCATATACCCCCCGAATGCCTTTAATTGGCACCCGGATCATAGAGCTAAATCACCGCTTTTCATCTCCGAAGGAAAGGGACTCAAGCCTGGCCGTTGCTTTCCACCGGCTACGGTTACTCGTCTAGTTGATTCTAATCCCGTTCATCTGGAACAGGAAATTCCCTTGAACGGGTCATTTCGGATATTGATCTTCGCCGGGAGCCTGGACAAATCCAGAACTGCTCTGGCTGATTTCTGCCAACACATGGAGAAACCATCGAGTTTCTATTCTTTTTTTGCGACACCCGAGCATTCCCCAGACCCATACTTTGAGAAACATAATCCCCATTCAAGATTCTTCACCCTTGCAGCTGTATTCATGGAAGAAAAGGATAACGTTGATATCTCAACTCTTCCACGGCTTCTCAAGACATATAATCACCATATCTACGCCGATGACCTCGTTCATAAGAGGGATACTCGTCCGATGGGGTCGGTCCATAGGACACTTGGCTTTGATACTGGCAGGCCCGGTGTTGTGGTCATACGCCCTGACGGACACGTTTCCTGTATTGTCATGTTGGAGGAAGGAAGCGGGACTGTTGATGCCTTGAATAAGTATTTTGGCACATTCACCTCGAAGGTGGCCAGCGGACTCACGATTTCACGACTATGATCTCCTTTTGGTTACGTTGTCTTCAGATCACAGCATGGCAGACTGCATCCCTATTTGGTTATCATTAGCAGCATATAGCTTCTCCTCTGGACATATTATGAAGTATTGAATTTGCATGAAAATGAAAATTCTTTTTGTAACAGATTTTCATACTTTGCCAGTGCCATGGCTTCGTAGATCTACGATCTAGATAGCGCCCCCCGATTAAACAGCCCAAACTATCGATGATGTCCGGAAAATTTTGACAAGTGGACACCAAAATTTAAAGGTCGATCTTACTATTAATACGGTCCATCTCTAAGGGGCTGAAAAAGCTTCCTGGCGATCGGAAACATCGGAATTTAACGGTAGTTTGTATGGAGTTTCTATAGTTGGGATAGCAAAATAAAGCCAAAAATAGTCGACGGGTTATTTTAGTCAAGCCAAACCTTCAACATTCAAACATTCATCCACTCGACCCAACCACCAAGAGCCAGAACAGCGATCTAAAGCCGATAAAATGTTCACTCTTACTCTCTCGGCCCAAACATCAGGGTATGTCTATCGTTTAGATACCTGGCAATGGTAGAAGTGGCGTGTTAGGGCGTCAAACTCACCCCCGCGGCGTTGCCCCTCCATATCAAAAACACCACCAACGAGCTGCATTTTTTCCTCTTGGATTTTGATTACTTCTAGATTTGAGAGCATTACTAGACGAGGATGTATGGATAACCAATACGTCTGGGTGTATAGGGTCACTGATATCCGTCCTCAAGATACCCCCGAAGATCCATATTACTACACGTTCAAAGTGCAGTGTACGTCTTGCCGTGAAGTACACCCAAACTGGGTCAACGTCAGCCGATTCGTACGTATACCGCTTTTTCCTGAGCTCAAATTGCCCAGTAATATCTCTGTTTATTGTCAGCCACAAGTGGAATACGTGGTGAGGGTCGGTTAAGTTGCTGTGGACACTCTGAGTAGGCGGTCAGATTTCGCCTAAAGATGAAAAATGCATTCGATTTTGCCACATATAACCTGTCTACTTTTCCCACGGCCGGCTCCTGCATTCGTGAAGTTTCATCGTTGCCTGATCGACTCTTTTACTGACTGGTTTTATAGGAGCAGAATGAAGTTCCTGGAAGTCGAGGAGAGGCAAATTTCGTGTGGAAATGCAGGCTCTGCGGGGTGAGTGGATGACTCGGATTTGCGCAACTTCACACGCACTATTACCCTTCTGCATGCTAGTTATGTGGTAGAAGCAAGAATGGGATACGCAATGTCTACCTTGGGGGACGGGAGTTGACTTGCATGTTGGTAATTAGAGGACCCATTCTGCCAGCATCACGGCTGGGCCAATGGCATTTGATGAGTCGAAGGGCTTAGATGGAAAAGGCCAGAAGATCATCGAGTTTGACTGCCGTGGCCTAGAATTCACCGAGTTCAAGGCAGACGTAAGATTGACCTTCACCGTCAAAGCTACAAAAGTACCCCACGACTGACACGCGATACAGGGGAAATGGGAAGCCACAGGTACAGAGTCTGGAACCAAGTTTAGCGACATCAGCCTGGAGGAGAATGAATGGTACGATTTCGACGAGAAGCAGGGTGAGGAAGTCAGCATCACGGAAGTCAGCTGGGAGATCCGTAGAGCTTGAACGACATCTGTCTACTAGATGAATATCTATGCAGCTACGAGTTGATTGTTTGTATATCTACTTCCTTTTATGTCAAGAAGTGTCGCTATTTTAGTATGATAAATAGTATTATATAATCATATCATTAAAAGCAGCGTTAGAATCATCCCAAAAGAAAACTCAAAGTCGCGAAAGTTGAAGCTCGAAAGGAAAAGAAAGCAAATTCTAAGACGACGACGAGCAGCAGCAGCAGCAGCAGGAAGAAGAGAAAGACCGAGCGCTGGCTAACAGGTTATACGTTGCTTGCTGTCGCGGGTTGTGATTACGGTCTTGTGAAGGGAAGAAGTGCTTAATTGGAGCCCGCAAAATGAGTGTGAGTCCCTGCCCGGTTGCTCGTGTGGGATGGATAGAAGCAGTCGCTAACAGCAGTTGAACGAGCAGTTCGTTCCTCTCAACCCCCGGCCTATGCTGCAGTCCTTGTACGTGATTATCTCAGCCTGAGTTGGCTTCCCCGTTTGCAGCTGGCTATTTTGGCCGGAGTATTTCCAATGCGCCTCACCATTTTCCGTGCCCACATGCCTTTATCAGCAGTTGATATGCCTGTTGAGTTCACATCTCCGAGGGACAGCTGTTGGTGCCAGTGATATATCCACGAGAATACATGCGGACGAGGATGCTAATATCAATTGCATGAGCTAATACGTTTTCTGACACTAGGATTAACGAGGATATTGTCGTTCGCCTAAAATGGGGCCAAACTGAATATAAAGGCCGACTGATCAGTGTTGACTCATACATGAACATTCAACTATCACAAACCGAAGAATTTATTGATGGGAAGAACACCGGCACTCTAGGCGAGGTGCTTATACGGTATGATGATAACTAAACGTTTTGCATAGACCTGGATCCTTGGCTAATACATCAATGCTTCAGATGCAACAATGTTCTCTGGATAGGGAACGCAAAGGGAGTGGAAGATAAGGATGTCCAAATGGGTGATTCTTGATGATTAACGTCTTTCTATTCACCTTTTCACGCCGCCGTTGGGGGCGAATACCGCCGGATCTTAACCGTTTATATCACTTTTTTTCCTTACCTTTCTTTTCTATTCCGTGCAGTGGAATGGCGAATGGAGTTTTACGAATTGAATTGAAATACAAAGAAAGCACTGCGGGATTCAGCAATGAACAAAAAAAGCCCATCCTATGAAGTCACATGTTACGCGATACCCTCCTTCGGCCGTCGGTTGACATGAACTGCCTGGCTGTGGGAGTCGAGTACAGGATGCGGCGGCCGGACCTTGGAAGAAGCGAATGTAGCAGTTGAAGGAGAAGAGCTTTATCAGAGCTTTACCGGCTGATTAACTCTTTTATCATGGCCGTGCATCCGCGTGCCAGGTATATCCCACATGGCATTGTGTGTGAATGATGTTAGCCATCCCGCTCACTTCCATGTCTCGCATCCGCCTGTTACACCGCATCCTACATGCTTCGGGATAATTAGATGAAGAGAAAGAAAGTTATATTGCTGCCTTGGAAGCCAGAATACTCGTCCGGCGCTCACGGGTCGGTTATACATACGCTGCCATGAGGCGAACACAGCCAGCTCCTTCAGCCACAGGTGACACCATTTCGTATGACAAGATGAAGAGTAAGCCAGATTTATAAGAAGCTCGCTCTAAAAAACACCGTCTATCTGTATTGTAAGCTCGGTAGTTAGTACGCCGTGTAGAGGCTGAAAGCTGTTCCTGCGACGGCTTTACGTCATAGGTGGCCGGCTGTTTTTTCCCGGCGACGTTAAAAATAACTTGTCCTTCTCGAAGACGACGACGCGGACGTGGACGACATCGGCGCCGCCACTCTCGAACTGGGGCTATACTTACGAGCGCCCAAGAATAATATACAGGCTGAGCATCCGATCTTCGCTCGGTACCAGGTACCTCATGTTGACAAGAGTACGGAGCAAGCGGGCGTGGCATGGTCAGCGCATTAATCAGATGAGGCAGAGTGGGTGGGCTCTCGACGGGCGGAAGGACGAATCCCACCTCCCCATCCATCAGGATGCACAGTGACGTCTGTCCCAGCCTTATTGAACGGATACTAACTCATGGCCTTAACGGTAATAGGATGGCTCCCCCGATCTGAACGCGCATGTGTGCAGCTATTTCCAAGATCCCGGCTTCAAGTCGGTGTAGATGTGCTGGCCCCGTCAAGGGACAGTCAGGTTTCTGCAGAGCTGCCAGAGAACTCCTCGTTCGGTTTCCGTTGAGATCCTTGACGCTGGAGAGCTAAACATACATAAAGTACAGGATGAGGGATGAATAACACCGGCCAAGTCTCAAAATATCAGACTCCTGCTCGGCATGAGCCCGTTTAGAAACGGGCGTTAAGCAGCAGCCAATAATGGACGATGGGATACATCTTGATCTCAGAGTAGATCTATACACCGGATGGAGTAACCAGTACATCGGTGCATGAATCAGCATTATAAAATAAAAAATAATAAGAAAAAGATGCCTTGATGTTTCTATATCGGTATCTTCCTACGTGGTACAGACAGATCTGACGACAGGCAAAGGCATGGTTGCTTTTTCATTTGCCATGAAGACTGAACTTGGTCTCCAGTTAACCGCCACAGTCTGGCACAGATACCTTGAGATGAAGTGGGATGATTGGGGCTTCCGTCACGCAACCCGCAGAAGATGCATCAACTTATGCACTCTTCGGGTTTTGGAAGTGTTTCGTCTTTTCGGGCCAGGGTCTTCTTTTGCATGAAGAAGTCAATCGATCAAGGACGGCGGGAAGTGATACTGAGAACGTTTCAACATATACTTCGGACCGCACCACACGCACGCACGCACACACACACACATCCAAAGGAAGCAGATAATAAGTACAGAGCGTGAAGAGTCAACCTTCAACAACATGCGAACAAGGGGCCATGAAAAAGGATAATTCATGGTTTTCTTCATGCTTATTCGATGACCCATTCTCCCCCCCATCTCCCCCACCCAGGGCTGCTGGCAGGTCAAAATCACTCACTACTGCGGCGTGTGACCTGATCAGCGACTTCGCAGTAAAGCAAGGCATGAAGAGGTGTTGGTAGAGAAAAAGTAGGAGGCAGGCAGAGGCAGGCAGCCCTTTCACGCCAGCGGTGCGCCACATACGTCTTTGCTCAGAGGGTACGAGAGCGTGTGAGAGGCCCGTCCGAAACTCACGAGGGACAGACGCCTTTCCCTCCCTTTCTTTTCTTTTTCCCACTTTGCTTCTTCCTGTCCTCCCTTTAGGGGATGGTGAGTAAGGCAGAAGGATGGGGGACATCCGAACTATATTCTGGCCCAGAAGTACACGAAAGAGATGCGTCTCAGGCAGCAGAGTGGTCTGGTAAACGGGAAACTCCCATCCTATCCTCAGGCAAAGCAGGGATGAACATCAGAATGAATGAATGGAGAAAAACCGAAGATCCCTCGGCGAGCACTGCTGCTCATTAACAGACCCCAGGAAAAAAAGGAACTGGTCTGCAGTAGCGTGAGAGCGTCCGCATAGATTGGCGGACCACTTTTTTGCTTTTCTCCCCCATAAGCCATCCGTCCAAACGCTCACAGGGATGATTCAAAGGGGAAAGACGATGGAGGAGGACACATGCAAGGAGGGCAGCCAGGCTGCTATACTTACATACATAAGCATTTAACTGATGGCCATAACCCGCCCTTACGTTCCGTCCAGCAAGCTCGACAACAAAAACTGCAATAATTAAAAATACACCAGAATCTATTTATCAGCACCCATCGACTCATCCAGCTCCGGTATCCATATTTTATACCTTCGACTCTTTTTTTCGCCGTTCAACAAGCAACAACAAGAACGACGAAGCGACCATTTAGGCTTTTTGCTCTTCTTGCGCAAGAATCCACTTCTATACATTCGGCGGTTCGGGCAACTCGTAAGTCAGTCTGGCAGCCTGTGGAGCGTCGCCGCCAGCAACAACGGGTATTATTATTATTATTATTTACGTACTGACGGATCCAGGGGGGCTAGAAAATAAAAAAGGTTCTAGTTTAAAATACTACTTATAACTAGCAAACCCGTCCGGAGGGATCTCAGGAGACCTACTTATTGCCTCCCAGTCGCTCCTTTTTTCGACCTTCTAGACACATTCGCCTCTCCCGTCTGACTGATATATACTCCATACAATCCGTTTACTTCTACTGCTACATTGAACGTCTTCGTCTACCGTTGCCGTCTACATATCAACATCATCAACATCGTCGTCGTCGTCGTTGATTCACTGAAGCCACCGATCTAAAAGCCGCTGCTCGCGTGCTCAACACCAACAACAAACCACTACTACTACAATCGGGGAATACTATAAACCAACAACTGCAATTCACTACAAACAACCACTAGCACTTCCTGCAATGCCATTCACATCACGGTTCGTGGAGCTGCTAGATGCAGAGAGCCACCATGTATCCGAAGACGACGTCCGACTAGAGGAGATACTGGCCGAGTGCGAGCGGCGAACCAGCTCACGAGCATCAACATCTTCATCCTCTCTCTCCTCATCCTCTTCTTCATCTTCATCCTCCAGCAAGGTGAACATCGCTCAACCAAGCCGCAAGATGAGCACTCGAGACAAACTACGACGGATATCCTACTTTGCACCGAAGTGATGCATTACTTTCTCTCGACTCCGACTCTGACTCTGACTCTTACTACTACTTCACGATCCCATGAATGCGTCTCTTGAATGACTCATCGCTTTAACGACTCTCTGTTGCTTCTTCTTCTACTACTACATCGGCGGTTTTCTTTTTATAAAAAAGCCCATCTCTTGATTCATCTTCTTTTTTACCGTCCCATGATCACTTCCAGCAGCCTGTGTTCTCTCTGCCATGTGCGATTGAAGGGAACACTACATGCTGTTTATGACTCCTGTATAACTTCTTTCTCTTCTTCCGAACTTACGTGCCTATCTACCTACCCATACAGATTGTAATATCGTTTTTTTTTCAGACCGAGATACCCCCTTTGAACACCTATACATTTTTTCCCTTCTGCTTACCTTGAATGTACTTTTTCTCCCCCCTCTTCCTCCACACAAACACGCTTATGCTTAGATAGTGCTAAAAACACTTCGGAAATTACCATCTTCTACATGTCCCACCTCGCCGTTCCAGCCATCGTGTGCCGTCTTGTCTCCCCCGCCGAAACTATTAGATTCATACTTCTCAACCCGCGGAACATCTGACTGAACGAGGCCTTTCCTCTCTTCTTTTCTTCTTTTTCCCCTTCCCAAAGGCAAAGATAGACCAAGAGACAGACAGGCAGACAGACAGCGAGCGGCAAGACGCTCAGTCATCTGACATGAAATTGAATTCCCACCGTCTTTTAGGGTTTCCCAATCAATGGGCCTCAGCGACCCTCCATCATGGACTGGCGAGACCAACATGTGTTACTCTTAGTTCCTCCCCACAGGCCGTACGTACCGACCAGAGAGAGAGAGAAGAAAGAAAAAAAAAAAAAGAGTAGAACAAAGCACGCGGACTGATGGCCCTTTCGTAACACACTCTGTACTCCATAGCAAAGTAAAGTCAAGTAAGGACTTTCCTCCGTCGAGAACAGACTATACACTACCGTTCGCTCGTGTTCTGAAATTGCCCCTCGGGGGAATTTGGCCCAGTCGTGTTCTGGCCAGAAAAAGGGGCTCCTTTTGTCAGCGACGGCCGGCTTGGGTCTCAGCGTTGTGCTCAGCATGGCGTCCATCGCTTGACTAAGATCGCTGCTGGGACTCTAAAATTAAGCGGTTCTGGCATTCTTCCAATCGGTGTCCGGGGGTTCTCCAAGACCGCCCATGGCAATAGTCGGGGGGTGATATAGCGTATCACTTCTAGAATCGATGGGCAGCCAGCGGAATGCGAGACAGCCAGCCAGGCAGATTTTAATAATTGCTTGCTTACTGGTCTCGTTGATCTCTCCACTTCGTTCCGAGGATGCTGGTTCAATAGTGTTGTGTTCCTGATCCATCCACCAGAGTTGACGCTGCTCGTCCGCATCCTTGTCTTTGCTCGTCTTTCGTCCGTCTCTTCGTCTTCGTCTTCGTCTTCTCATCTTCGTGTCTCTTTTTTTCACGAGCCGAGAAGAAGCCGAGGGCTACTTAGTCATGAAGATTATGTAAGATACCCCTGGACGACACAGTCAGGGGAGAATACGCGAGGGGTGAATTAAAAAGTGTAAGAGAGTTGAAGTCGAGACGTTCATGGCAGTAATAGATGGTTGTGGGCGTAGTTAAGATGCAGTAGATGCAGATGTAGATGTAGATGTAGCCAAATATGTCGTTGTTGGCGGAAGTTCGTGGAGACGGGCCAACGGAGATGAAACTGGCTGTTTACCATCAAACATCAATAATGAATGTCAACACCAACAACAGAACAGCAGCAAAGCCATAGACAGAAAAGATGTCGACGCGGCCGCTGTCTGCTCACCAGAGGTCAGCGTCAAATGCGCCGGCACCTTCGTACTTTGAAGAGCAGCGAGCAGAGCTCCTGAGAGAGATATCCCTGGTACGTGAATGTCCCAGCAGACCTCAAAAGAACTCCAGCTAATTAGTGGTGGGGTGATAAGAGCCTCGAAGGAGTGTTGCAGAACATCAACAAGTTCAACCGGAACCTAGAGAGTATCATCACGGTATGTATGGGCTGTTGAGTATCTGTGGGAATGTACATTCGCTAATGGCATGAAACAGGTTGGGAACGAACTGAGCTCTGTCGAAGGGCTATGGTCACAGTTTGAAGGCGTGATGGACCGGGGAGAGGAGCAGCGCAACCAGGACGTCAAGGAGGAGGAAGATAGAGACAAGCAGTGATGAATTCACTCGTTGAATGATTGAAATTTTACGCAAAGAAGGGAATTTTTGAACATGGAAGTTTATTACTTCTAGCATACAGATGCCGTACCGCCAGCTAAGATAGACAAGGACAAGGAAAGAAAAACGAAAACACCTTTTACCAGCAATGCATATTCCCCCGAGGGTCAAATTGGATCCCGTAGACATGAATAGAAAAGGACATGAGGAAATAAGGGAAACTCGATGTATAAAAAAGGAGCAATAAGGGCAGACAAGATAGGGCTGGGAAAAAAAGAGATATAAAAAACAGACGAAGCCGCCTTGGAGATAAGATAGACAGTATGAAAGATAAAAGATAGACCAAGTGTCAAAAAAGGAGGAAAAACAGAGAGTGAGCCGGACAGCAAACAGGCTAAACACGACGTTGGACATGGATCTCGTCTGTCGTCATGTCATACTTACATCAATAGTCGTTGAAAAGAGCGTCATTTCAATGGTGTTAAAAAGAGCTGAACCAAAAGGAGAGACAACCAGGTAGGTGGAAAAAAGAAGATGCCAGCATCAACAAGTTATTGAGGAAGCCAGTAGTTAGAGGATCTTGCAACTTCTCTTCTTCACCTTCTTGCCGCCCTTACCCCTAGACGAGTCCTTGGAGGCACTCTCCTCGATGTCGATGACGGTGTTGACGGCAAGCTCAAACACCTCGTCGACGCCAATCATCTGTTTGCTGCTGCACTCGACGTATGTTGCACCCATGCGCTCTGCAACGGTCTGGCCCTGCTGTGGAGTGACGGGGGTGAGACCCTGGGCCTTGAGGAAGTCGATGCAGGTACGGTTTGAGCGAAGGTCGGACTTGAGGCCCACGAGTATGAGGGGGGTTGTTGGGCAGAAGTGCAGTACTTCAGGGTACCACTGTTTCAGTTAGTGGATATTCCGGACCTCCTAATTATAAATCTTGAGTCCCAAAAAAAATAAATAAAGAGGGCCTACCTTGTCCATGACGTTTTCTAGCGAGACAGGACAGTCAATGGCGAAGCAGACGAAGAGTAGGTCTGTCTCTGGGTAGGATAAGGGGCGTAGTCGGTCATACTCCTCCTGTCCTGCGGTGTCCCATAGAGCCAGCTCGACGCCTTTACCCGACGGCTTGTGTATGGTGTGCGAGATGTAGTTCTCAAACACAGTCGGGACGTATTTCTATCCCCGCCATCAGCATATGTCGTTCGTATGTAGGGATATAAGATAAGAAGAGCCTACCTCTGGAAAGTATCCCTGGGAGTAGCTGATAAGGAGACAAGTCTTGCCGCAGCCGCCGTCCCCCACGACCACGAACTTCTTCGAGTATGACGGCGGGACGGTGACCGAGGTGCCCTGCGAGAGCTGCGAGGCCTGCCCTGACGAGACGCTCAGGTCTGTGTTGATGGTGCCGTTGCTGACCCGAGTGCTCTGGCTGCGCAGAGGCTTGCGGCGTGGGGAGAGAGGGGGAGTCTTCTCGCTAAGCACAGACGAGTGACGCCGTATATGGCTGTGTCCATATCGTTCTTCGAAAGTGTGAACTGACATATCGTCCTATCTCTGAGTATTGCCCGTGGTGGTTGATGTCTGAGTTGAGTGTTGGTGGTGGTTGGTGATGGTGGTGATATTGATATCAACAGCGTCTAGTCCGAGATAAACAGCGAACGAGTTACACGAGCAGAAGAAAACGCGGACAGGAAGAAGAAGAAGAAGAAGAAGAGAAGAGGAGGAGTAGAAGAGGGAGGAAGACGAAGAATATTTCTTTCCCAGGTGGCGTCTCCTCAGCTGTCTCTCTTGCTGTCTCTCCTGTGGTGCTTCTCGTCCGCCGGGCGCTGGCTGGCCTGTTGTTTACCCTGCGTCTGCCGATTGCTGCCATGGCAACGCCCTGCCCCGGCCCAACCAGCGCTGCTGTCCCGCTTAACCACCGCCTGCAGGTTCCTGGCCGGCTGGGTCAGGGATCCAGCTTCACCTTGGTCGGCCATGGAGCTCTTCTTCGTCGTCTTTCGTCATGGTGGTGGTGGTGGTCCTGGCCGGCCTGGTTGGCTCTCCTGGCTGGCTTCTGCTATGAGTATCACCAGAGAGGACTTGGACGGCAGAGGCGCACAGCAGGCGATAGGCGGCCGTTGCAGACAGACTGTCCTGTCAATCAGCCAGTCCGCAATGGCATTCCTGTTTCTCTCTCTCGTCTCTCCCTCTCTCTTGCGTCTCTCGTCGTCGTCGCTGTGCGTGCCCGTGGCGTCCCAAGTCCTCCCCGTCTTCCTCGGCTCAAAGGAGTCCGCCCTCCCCTGCCAAGCGCGCACAAAGCCGCAAGAGGCTGCGATCAGCTTCGACTAAGCAACGACAGCATCTACTTACTACTTACTGCCTCTACGTTCTAGCCATCAGCGACAGACAGCCCGGTAGACAGCTACAGCTTGCGGCGGACGCTCGATGGCTTCTGCTGCAGTCGCTCGCCGCTAGTTAGAGAACCCGCACAGTCCCTACCTGCCCTTTCGCTCGCAGCTTGGTCAAGACGGCCACCAGCACAAGACGCAGAAGAGCGCCAGCAGCACCGCACAGCATGGCCGCAGACACGGAGAAGGAAAAGGAAAAGACAAAGATAGACGCCGGACTCGCTAGTCTGAACCACTGTGAGTCCTCGCCGTCCTGGTCTGGTTCTCAATTCGCTGATCGGTGACTGATTGACTGACCACCTCCGCTCCCCCCCTCCCAGACCAGAGGAAGCTGCCGGCATGGAGATACAAGCTACGACAGCGCACCCTGCCCCTCGTCCGGTGGGAGACGCCGTACCTGGCATGGCTGCAGGAGAGGATACGCACACCTTCGCTTGATTCCTGGTTCGCCATCACTGCGAACCTGGGGACACATACCTTCTACATGGTCATGCTGCCCGTGCTCTTCTGGACCGGACACACAGGCATTGGTCGGGCGTGAGTGAGCTGCCTGTCTCTTCTGACGAGTCGTCTTTTTTTTTCTTTTCAGAGTTACATGCCTACTTTCGCAGAGTTGAATGTTAATTTTGATCAATGGGATCTACAGGGTGGTTCATTTGCTCGCTGCCGGAGTCTTCTTCAGCGGGTTCCTGAAGGACCTACTGTGTCTGCCACGGCCGCTTTCTCCCCCACTGCAGCGCATCACCATGTCCGGTTCGGCTGCGCTGGAGTACGGCTTCCCGTCAACCCACTCGACGAACGCAGTGTCGATAGTCGTCTACGCCCTGCATGCGCTACGCTCGCAATCTGATCTCGCACCACTCGCATCCACCTTACTCCAGACGGGACTGTACGTCTATGTCACCTCTATAGTGATCGGGAGGCTGTACTGCGGCATGCATGGCTTCCTCGATGTGGTGGTTGGCAGCATGCTCGGAGCTCTGCTTGGCTTCGTCCAATGCGTCTACGGGCCAAAGTTCGATGAATACCTCTTTACCGGTTCGATCAAGGAAGTCCTAGTCATCGTTGCTGTCATCATCGTGCTGGTCCGCGTACATCCAGAGCCCGCAGACTCGTGTCCCTGTTTCGACGACAGTGTTGCTTTTGCGGGCGTCTTTGCCGGAGTAGAACTGGGGAACTGGCACTTTGCGTCAACTAAATATTCGCTTTCCGTCCCTACGCCGGCTACGGTTCCGTTTGACCTGCAGCGCATGGGTTGGCTCAAGACCGTGCTTCGCATTATAATCGGCGTGGCATGTGTCGTCGTATGGAGGGAAGTGATGAAGCCCACGCTGCTCAGGATTCTGCCGCCGCTGTTCAGAGTCATCGAGCGTCTAGGTTTGAGCCTGCCCCGACGGTTCTTCAAGCGTGCTACGTAGGTAACCTTCCCACGCCTAACTCCTGCGTCATCCACTAACGCTTTCGACAGGGAATATACGCGCATCCCGGGCCAGCTAAAGTACGACGACGTCATGCCAAACGTCTCGGACATTCCATCCATGCTCACTTCTATCCGTCACCCACGACGGCGGGCCATCTCCATCGGCCCACAATCAGAAGCCGACGCCTATGAAGCCATTGCGTACCGGCAGGAACGCCGACGAGCCAGTGCAGCGTCCGAGAACGGCCGGCCACCCACTCCATCGCGCGAGAACGTCAAGAGCCCAACTCTACGGCCCACCACGCGCTCTAAACGAACGGCCTCCAATGTGTCAGACACGCAGTCTCCCTCGAGGAGTCTTCATGATTATGAGAATATGATGGGATCTGGAGCCCAGATCTATGAAGAGAGTAACGGGCAATCCGTAGATGCCCTTGCCAACGGTAATGGGAAAGTAACGAATAATGATGAGGATGATGAAAAGGACATGTTTTTGAGGATCACGCCACCTAGAGTGCGGTATGACGTAGAAGTTGTCACGAAGCTGATTGTTTACTCAGGTAGGTCCCCAGCATGCTAATCCTTTTGCGTGTCATATGAACTACGCTAACTGCCGCCTAGGTATCGGACTGGTTGCCGTTGAAGGCAGTCCCATATTATTCCACCTGCTGGGTCTCGACTAAAAAGTAACTAACTACTCTTGTATATATACATACATAACAGCACACAACCCATGCACCCACACACTATCATAATTAATTAGAACTTCGGCATATCCGTTATATCTCATTGCTTTTTCTTTGTTATATCGTTCCTTTTTTTTTTTTCGTAGTCACTGTTGGCTCGCCGTCGTTTTCTTTGATGTCGTCAAGACAAAGATAAGCGCCATGACTAAGCACGCGTCTAAACCACGTGACATGTCCAAAAAAGGTTGCGCAGGGTTCACCTTTTTCGCTTTCTCTCCGCCTCCAGAACGCGTTTATTACCCCATTAGGGAACTTGCTCGGCTTCATATAAAACGAGAAGCGCCTCATGATAGCCGCGGCCGCACACTTCATCTCTTCCTCTCCCTTCTCCCGCGCGCTGCTCTCCCCCTTTGACTCTCCCGCGCCGCTCCAGCCTCTTTTTTTCTTGTGCTTTTGCTGCTGCTTCGTCTTCTGCGCCGGCGTTCTAGTAGTTCTCTTGATGCGCCTGCTGGACGAGCTGTCTTTTTTACCCAGGAGTCAACAGATCTGCCAGCGAGTATACCATAGCGTTGTGTCGTTTGTTTTCCTTCCTAGCATACCCCGTATACCCACCATACCCGGCCGTCAGAGCCTCAGCTTCAGTAACAGTAGACTGCTTGCCTGGAGACTGCCTAGGGGGCGCATCCGTATCTTCCAGGAGAGCAGCAGGCCTCTCCCTGCTTCTATACCGTCTATACCACCTATACCTGCGTCTACATCTACATCTGTATCATCTTCTACCTCTGGTAGCCCATCTGGTGGCAGAGGTGATTCTTATCTCCATCGTAAGTGCGTGCTCAGTCTCTATGCTTCCATCCTCTGCCCTCCATCTCCATCGCCATAGCAACATGAATGAAGGCTCTCACTTCACTTCACCTCACTTCGCCTGCCCGCTTACCTCACCCACACAAAGACAAAGACGCGCTTCTCCCTCCTTCAATATCAAAACATCAACAATATTTTCTTCCCTCTCTTCTTTTTTGTCCTCCCAACAACAACATCACCACGTCCGTTACCGTCTTTACAGCTTCAACGTCTACTCACCATCCTTGCTTTTATCGCGTTCAAGTCTGCTCTACCATCTGCTCCTTTGTCTATCTTTGCTCTGCCAAATCCACCAGATCGGTCCTCTCGACTTCACCGGCTTCAAAGCTCAAGGTCTTGACATCTTGTCTTCTCTCCGTTTACCACCTTGCAAGACTGTCAACGCCCTTCTTTACCCTTCTATCAAGCTCAAAGACGTCTGTTACTGTCTTCTTTACCCTCTCTACCGCGTGCACGAGGTCTATCAGACCGTCTTCTCTCTCGTTGCCCTTCTATCACGCCCAGAGACTCCTGTTTACCCCTTACCAAAATCCTCTTCTACCACGCGTATCAAGACTATCAAGTCTACTCTACGTCTATCAAAGGCCATCGCGTCCATATCCATCTCTACCAAGGCCTTTGTAGCTTCAAAGCTCAAAGTCTTCTCTCTTCTACGCGTCTCACGTCTTCAAACTGCTACCAAAACTCCCTTACACCCCTCTATCAAACCTCTATCAAATCCATCACAGCCACTCTACAGCCATCACAATGGCCTCTCAATCAGAGCAGATGGAATGGGAGCCTACTACCCCCATCAGAACTCTTCTTCCAGGACAAGTTCTAACTTTACAGCGCGAATTACTCGTTGCTCGTGCAGGTCGAAGACGCACCATGGGACTAGAATATCCCGTCACTTCAGTCGACCACCGTCCAGCACTCACCAGACGTCCTCTGGAGAGAAGCTCGCCCAAAAGGCAGTGGGCTCGTATCCTCGCTGGCGTCGATGTCAGGTTTGGAGAAGCTCCGCCTGCTGCCCCAGAGAATGGCCCCGTTACTCAGCCTTGTTTACCCCTGAACAAGGACTCGCCTCCTATCACGCCTAGAAAGCGCGTTATTGAAGAAGTCGACGAGCCAGAGCAGTACAAAGACCATTTCTCTGACCAGCAGGGACAGGAAGCACCCTCTTCTGTACCAAATGTAAGTCATATCTTTCTATCGCCCCATCTTCTGTCTCTTCGGTTACTGATACATGTCTAGGTGATTGATTCCCCTCAGGATGTCTCAATGGTTGATGTCTTCACTCCTCCCCATCAGTCTGAGGAAGCCGCTCCCTCTCAGCCTGTAAGTTTCTTCTTGTTGTTCACCATTTGCAACCTACTAATATCTTCCCATAGAGCCCGCCACAAGTGGAAGAAACCGCATTCTTGCTAGAGGCTATAGGTCTCAGGAGTCCCGAGGGAACAAGAGTGAAGGTGAATAACATTCATCTATTTATGTGATATATATAATGCTAACGTCTCTACTAGCGACCTAACTGGTTTGAACTACAAAACAGAAATCGAGATGGCATGGCAGGCTCAGTAAGTGATCATGTGCCCCTTTTCTGCATATTGATACAGTAACAGCTAACCAAACCTATAGAGCCTTGAGGCATCATTGCAATTCGGCAGCTCAAGCCACGGAGCTGTCGATGTCAATTCACTTCTTTCGCAAATTCCAGGCAGCTGGCCAGCGTCCCCGCCCAGACCCTTGGCGGCGCCAGTTGACCTGCCCGTCCAGCCCTCTCCTGAGGTAAAGGACGCTCTGCCATCACCAAACTCTCGAGCTAGGGAGTTTCTGATGGTGGGGGGCATAGAATCTGCCGGCCCGGAAAGAAGTACAGTGGTGCCTCGCCCGGCTGACGTCCCCATGACATTCTTACAGCCTGAGTCACGTCTTCTCAAGGTAAGCTGCACCCTATATTCCCTTAATATATGGCTTTTGTTAATTCCTTTTAGACTGTGGAGTGCCTCCGATCTGCTTACAGTTTGCCGAAATGCTTAATGGACTGCTATGGCTGGACAGTACAAACCAGCAAGAACATTATTTCGTCAGCGAAGAGAATAGCCATCGATTCATGGACGTCCCAGACCTCACAGGCTACCCCCTTACCCGCTGTTACAAGGCAATCTCCACGCAGAAGAACCGAATCGAGACGTGACCGGAAGCTCCCGGGCTCGAGCATGGAGCAGCGACGCGCACGCCAACTCCAAGAGAAGCGCATGAAGAGAAAGAAGACAGCATCCCGCGCTGTCCACGAGCTACAGTCCAGTATCACAGCCGAGCTTTACGTCCCTGAAGCAAAGCCAGTATCTGTGCCGTCTGCTGCTCCTGCTCCTGCTCGGTTAGACCAGCGAGGTGTCTCTCGCCGCCGTCGATCGAAGACTGCCAAAAGTTCGATCGAGAAAATCATGCCGCACAAGCCTGGTTCCGCTATTGCACCAGGCCGCGTTACCAAACAACGCAACATTGTGCGGCCGGCGAAAGACACCTTCAGAGGATCGATAATTGAATATCGAGGTTATCGCCCAGATGCCTCGTTTGAGGAGAGACGTCGGAGAGTCGAGAAGTTGAACTTGGATTTCGTTTTAAAATCCCGGCCTGCCCAAGTTCTCCTACCTGAGCCACAACAACAACCCGAGTCACCCGTCGCGCCAGTGACTTCAGAGCTCAGCGAGACCTCCGAACCTCCGCCACCCGCCGGTGCTTCGGTGCCATCAACTACCACTGGACCGTGTATCACCACCGAGCCATCAATCCCAGAGGGTGTTACACCCACCGACTCGTCTCGTAAGGATGAGTCGTACGATGGCTATACACCGAGACCAGCAGGCCCACGCACTCGGCGGCGAGTACACTGGCATGAAGCCAGTGGTGCTCCACTCGGACAGCCGGTTGTTGACATCCGCGTCTATGACCCCAGCGCTCCAGTCAGACCAGCAGCAGGGGTGGAAGACAGTCAGCAGCCGGCGCACACAACTATTGGCGACAAGTCACCAGAGGGCCCTTTCATCAAGCCCATCAGCAGCAAATGGGACTCGCGTCTCACTGCTGATATGTCCCTTCCCGATTACCGACAGGTTGGGACAACGATCTCTGGTGACCCCCTGACCCGTAAGGATTTTGCGACATGCTACACCCCGTTAGCGTGGCTCAATGACGAGGTGATAAACGCATACCTCGCAATAATCCTTGACTACGCTCGAAGGGCATCGGGCAGTTCAGGGAGGCACCGGGAGCCCAAATACCACGCCTTCAATTCATTCTTCTACTCTAGTCTCAGGGACCGAGGCTACGAGTCCGTACGGCGTTGGGCTTCCCGGGCTAAGATTGGGGGTCCGGCCTTGTTGGGGGTAGAGGTGGTTCTCATCCCTATCCACAACCAAGCGCACTGGACCCTCATGGTCGTCAAACCGAAGGCTCGAACCATAGAGTACTTTGACTCCCTAGGCGGCGCTTCACGAGCTCACATCAGCCGAGTGAAGGAATGGCTCCAGGGAGAGTTGTGTGACCTCTTCGTCGAAGAGGAATGGCGGGTTCTCCCGACAAACTCTCCACAACAGGACAACGGCAGCGACTGTGGGGTGTTCCTCCTAACTACTGCTAAGTTGGTGGTGTTAGGCTTGCCTCTCTCATATGGGGCGAGAGACATTCCCACGATCCGCAAGAGGATCGTTGCCGAAATCCTCAATGGAGGGTTCGAAGGAGATTTCGACCCGAAGGTTGAGTTCCCTGTCAGACCTAGGCTGTAATAGCCTGATATCTGGTTCATAGCTCTATACCGGACGGAAGAAACAAGAAACAACCTGCCTGGTTCCGAGTGTGTGTGGCGTAGAGATGGATGAAAGCATCGCCTCGGATTTTTTTGGTATCCGCTGCACGACACGCCCAAGCTTCCTTCGGGAATGTTTAGGGTGTGACTGTTCTACATTGGCAGAGGTGGTTGCAGTCCTGCTGTGCCCCGAACTTTTGGGTCCTTTAGGCTCCCATTGTCGAGGGTGCTCAGCCTGTTTTTCGCCCGAGTCTTTATAGAGCAGACTTTCCGTTGCCAGGCAATGTTCCTCATCCTACCTCCCTCAACAATTTTTCGATCCCGCTGGCGAGCTTCCTCAAAGGTCTCGGGGCGATGGTTCCGACAGAGACGACTTCGAGGCAGGCTCTCTTCACTGAGAGCCAGTAAAGTCCTCTTCCACTATACCATAACCATGAAGTCATGTCGATGTCGGCTCCGGATGCCAAAGCTGCAAATCTAGTTTGGGGATTTGCAGATTCAAAAATTTACGATAGAAAAGTGGTGTTGGAGTTTTGGGACCGCATGGGTGCGGTGTGTTTTGATATCTTGTTTTTTTCTGTGTATATTTAGCCTGGAGTTGGGGCTTTTTTAGATGCTTGAATTGGGTTTTTATGTCTTTTTTTTTTTCGTTTGCGCGTTTAATCGCGCTGTATGAATAGACTTGGAGAGAGGTGGGCTTTTACTGCCCTACGTAATGCATGCATTTGATGAATTGGTCTTGATTCGATTTTGATAGTATCGTTGGTGGTCCATGAGGCTTTGTTGTGCTGGAGCCTTCATAACTTTGAAGTTTGACAGGCCTCGATTTGACGAACAGTAGTGAATCACCAATGTTACAACGTTGGAAGATTCCGCTGTGATTAACAAAGAACAAGAGTAAGAAGTACTATTCCAAGCAGTTGATTCTATCACTACCAGGCTAAGACTGACAATGAAATCAATATTCAGGCGCTGGACCAGTACTACTTCATCTTCACTCGAATATAACAATAGGACAGGGTCATAGATGCCGTCCATTCGCCTACTTAACATAACTAAGAACCATTCAAACTCCAAGCGCAGAATAGCCAAAGGGCTGTCTGACTATCCAAACCGTCAAAAAAAGGGGGGGAAGAATGGAAAAACGCTGCGCATCACAGGGGGCAGATAGCATGGACAGGCCATCAAATGACCTCAGGGACCCCTTGGGTCCTAACCCCATCAACACGACAAACTACTTTGCACTTTTCCTCCTGGCTGTCTTCGTCATTTGGCTTGGGTTTTGTCTTTGGCTTTTTGCCCTTATGCTTGCCTTTGCCCTTCCCTGTGCCTTTATTTTTTGGACGGCCACCAATCTTCCCTTTGCCGACTTGTTTCTTCTTGGGTCTCGGGCGGCCGTGTCTAGCGGATTGGAGGGAAGGGACTTTGTCCGCCCTGGGCTGCGTGGCCTTGCTGTCCTCGTGCTTATCGTGCTCATCGCCTTCGGTTTCTGATTCAAGACCAGCCCGGGCATGTTTTTTATGAGCTCCTTCAACATCAGCAGTTTTGTTGTATACCATCTCCACCCATTCAACGCCCATATATACCGATGAACCGACGGTCATGTTCCCCGTCCATTCGCCGCCATCGCTCCATAGGTTGAGGATCAACATGCTCGGGTGTTTTGGAACCCCATACGTTTTCGACACAAGTTGTTCACCATTAAAATACCAACGGCTAATGTCTTGGAACCAGTCAATTCGATGGTCTCCCCAGTGAGTCCAGGGAATAGCGATTTCTACCTCATCACTTGCACCGGGTATGGATTCATCAGTCTTGGGGTCCCAGTCCGGCTGATTAGCATACCGGACGAGGTTTGGGGGATCGCCTGTGAGGATTTCAATGTCCGATTCGTCGTTTTTCCCGTAGTATGTGAAAACACCTGCACATGCACCGACTGGAGGGCCCTTTATCCAATAGCTAGTTGGGAGGAAATAATGAGCATCATCTTCTACGGTACTTATGTTTCCACCCTTTTCTTTCGGAAAATAGAACCAGCCCGAGTTAGCATATAAACGTAGCCTGACCCGAAGTGAAACATGAACGATATCAGTATCATGAGTCTGAACCTCTGCCGTGGAAGTATGGTTTTCCATCCGTACAGTGCGAAGAACCAGATGTGTTGTTTCGTCTCCCCTTTCCGTGCTATTGCGCACTATGAAGACATTATGATGTGAGTTTCTAATCGGGATCGGGAAGAGGGCTGATCCCTCTCTGTTCCAGTTCTGGACGTCCCAGTCTTCGATGAAGCGGCTGCCGGCCAGTGTAGGGTGGAACTCGTTGCTGTCAGCATTGGGATCTGGGGCTCCTCCAGCTTCATTATCGCGGCCCTTTGAGTCGAAATCAGCCACGCTGCCGGGTATGTGTCCAGGTATGCCTCCACGTCCGGTCCCAGGCAGTCTTCGAGAGGTTATATTGCGTCTCTGTTGCTGCGGGTGCTTCTCCTTATCTGCAGCAAGCTCTAAACCCCGGCTCCGGAAATCGTAGAAGCGGTGGTGTTTGAAATACCCCGGGTCTTCACCAGAAACGACGTAGCAATCGCAGGGATCGGATGGGTTATTGTTATTAAGGTCTCTTTGCTGAAGCTTATCCCTGCTACTGGCTGGTGTTGATGCTGTAGCAAGGCCGAGAAGAAGGAGGGGAACAGTACAGAGGCCCCTCATAGCTAATGGTATGTGCGTATGTCATGGGCAAAGGGGTATTGAGATTTCTCCGGTAAACTGAGATGTCATGTACATATATATCTCGATGCAATTTTTACGGTCACTGTAACCATGGTTGGGAAAGAGCCAGCCAGTATCAACAAAGTCATCGTCGTCATCGTCATCGCCATCACGACGGGGAGAGCAGTATGCACCGGTATCATATCAGCAGACCAAGTACTGCTACATTAATCAATTTGTACTGCTTCGAGATGACCCTAGCCATCTAAGTCCTAGAACTCTCCACGATTCCTTGTGCAACAAGCTTCTCAAGTACTTGGAGGTATAGATATTCGTAAACTTAATGCCGTGAGAAGGGATCTCCTTTGATAATGCTCTTAGAGAGCAGGATATACATATCCAGGGAAGATGCAGTATCTTTGGCTTGCCATTATCATTGTTACTTCAAAGAACTGCTGCGTTTTATCCATGAGGTCTTGATGATAATAAATTCTTCCCCAGACAATAACTAATTGGTTATTATGCTCTTTCTTTAAAAGAATAAAGATGTTTATCCAATCATAGTGCAAAGCCAAGAACAAGCACTTAATCTATCCAATCACATCCATCCATGCGGCTCAAGTTCAGTTGTCACGTGAAAGGAATATATTTAATCCGTTAACTCTTGGCGTCCTTTCCCTTTTCGTCCGCCGCCAAAAGTGACCACTCGGGGCGAAGTCGCTTTTGTTGTCGCTCGAGAAATGGAAGATATAAACTGCAGTCCTTTTCTTGTCTCGAAGACGGTCAGGATGGGGACTGTGAGAGCCGTGGGAGCGTTTGTTTCGTCTTGTTTCCCTTGACTTCTCTGCTAGATCGTGATAGGGTGCACGGTGACTGTGCAAAGCACTTTAACTTCGAGCTACTGGCAGAGAAGAACCAGGGAGAAGGCTGGAGACACAATATGTATACATATGAAGATCGATGCGACAATTATATTTAATACGCTGCTATATCATTTATCTGCAGACCAGAGAAAGACATGGCTGGCTGCTTCCAAAGCGGCCACTTTGATTATACGGCGCTCTCTGCCATCCTCTTTCCGAGGGACCCTGCCTGGCGGCTGTGCCTCATTCCAACAACTCTGGGCCGGGTTGTTCTGCCTGGACATCCTGCCGAGTGAGACGCCTTACTTTCCGTTTGGATGGTGACTGGACCGATCATGATCCTGGCTGTCGTTCAGCCTCGACGCCATACGCCATACTCCGTACATCTTAGGATGTTGCAGCCTGCCCACCATGATACCCGATACCCAAGTCATGCGTTATGATATTGCATTATAACGCCATAGTACTCCGTACTCCGTATATGGATCGATAATGTTGAGAACAAAATCAGTGTAGCATGTGGAGCTAACGAGATTCCATCTCCATGAAGATCAACTCCGTGTCTCCCTCGCTGAGCCTCATGCCCAACTCAGCCTTATTAAGAGGCGACCGTGAACGTGTCCCGGCCCGACAGGGAGTATCCATTCCATAGGTTAGGTATCAAAAGTGCCATGCCCACCATGAGCCTCTAGATAGCCTCTCCGAAAGTGATTAAACACAGCATCTGGATGGACTTGTTACTATTCACAGATGGGATCTGGCCACATGACTCACACAGCCGGAGCGACCAGGCACCAGGCCTAGAAGCTGAGTGGCGGCTTCACTAAGGATAGAAGTTCCAACACAAACAACCTCGGGTTTGGTTGATCCACTGGGAGCTCTCATCGATGATGGCCGGTGATGGCCTATGATGATGTTGCCATCCTCTGTCTCGAGTACGGAGTGCTTTCATATTGTCCAGTCAAGAACGGAGTAAAGGCGACCGCGTGACGTACACCGTAAGCTGTCCATTTTATTGTTCACTGTGATCAAGCGTATTGCTCATTGTATCTCTTTCGCTCATTTTTTCGCCTTTACCCGTCTTGTCTTGATCGTCCTCGTTAAAACTGACCGTGTCAAGCGTCTCGATGACTCGATGGCTCCTCTCAGGGACGCGCCGAAGAAGCACGAATCCGTCACGCAGTCATGTGCCGGGCATGTGGGAAGTCAGGAGTCCGTCTCCTACCCTCCTCTTCGTGCAAATTCAACAAGATTAAATACCGTCATGCCACTAGCGCATACACAGGTGTTACCCTTGCTGTGATACCCCAGGGATCCATCCGGGAGCCCAAAGCACCTCGTTTGTCCAATCATCGGACTGAGCTATCTTCGTCCAGCCAATAGCGCAGGCCTCTGTGGCACCCCTGGCGCCCACGGCCCACCGCTGATGTCAGGCTGCGTTTGGGCAGAAGCTTGCCTTTGTGTCCTCCCTTTGCTTGCTCTGCTTCAGTTAGAGGAGAACAAACAAGGAGAAGGGCAGAGGTTTACCTGCTCGTAGCAGCAGCAAAGAGTCTGCTACTACGGAGTACTCCATCGAGGTTCTCGTGAGAGCAGGATACGGGTATATACGGAGTACTTATGCTCCGCGAGGGCGAGGAGGGAGGTGGAGGAAGCGGAGGAGAATAGATTACGGACGGGGTGCCACGGCAGCGCCGGCTGATGCAGGCGAGCGACCATCGTATTCCGTGCATGGCGTTGGATCTGGCTTCCGCTTTGGGACTAGCGGGCCCTACGCTGGCACAGGCCATCCCTGTCCAACTTTTCTTTCATGCTTTTTCTGGCGTGTTCAGCCAGACTTGGCGGCGCTCGTCCAGCCCTGGCTCATACAAAGACTGATCGATGGCCACCGCCCCCTTTGCCGGCCACTGTTCCATACTCCGTACTCACCGTCAACGCCCAAGACCATCAAGACCATCAAGACCATCGACATCGACATCAAGACCGTCGTCCCTTCGTCACCGGTTTAATGGATATATTAGTCTAGACGACATACTTCATCTCACAACCACACGTACACCCGATTTGTTCAAAATGGATATCGCCTGTGCTATGGTCTAGGAGCGGACGGTTCATTCATACCAACGTCCATGTCGAAGACTCGACATCGTCTATGAATACCGCTATCCGCTAATCGACCATGACCACCATCACCACCGAACGAAGCCCAGTGCTCCTGAGAGCCACGAGCATGACGGGGGGTAGCCCCCGGCTGTCCCTGAAGCGCGAAATATCTCCTCCATCAGCTGTCGACTCCCAGCTGTTGAACCACATATGTGACCGATTAAATCAACTGGATACCACTATCCATGAGCTTCGATCGTCCGTCCTTACCAAGGAATCGTATGCCGACAGACGCAATAGAGAAGATGAGTTCCTTCGACGAGAGTTTGATAACCAGCGTGTCCGTATCGACACTGTTGGCGGCAAAACTCGATCGGATCTGAACCAGGTCAAGACAGATATCTCTCAACTTGTTACCGAAATCGTCCAGCTCCGATCAAACTTCAACCAACTCTCTTCCAAAGATGGTTACCGGGACTCTGACCTTTCTCGCCTTCATGATCACCTCGACCAGCTTCATCTTGACGTTCAGCGTATGCATTCAGATTTATGCTTGACCAGAACGGATCTCAGCCAAGAACAATCTATCGTCAGCCAACTAAGACTCGATGTCCTTACTCTCCAACGTGAAGCTCGCCAGCAGTTTGGGGATATGATATCTCGTTTTGACGTTCTGGACTCCAGGATGAAGCATATGGACCGCATTCGATTCAACTCGCTCGCAATCACAGCTCATGCTCCCATCACTCCCGTGCCTGTCATCGACGTTGACGGCTCCATCAGGTTTCCCAGCTACTTCCCTCGAACAGTCTGGAATTTTTGGTGCTTGAAGAAAATGAATAGGGGTGAGTGAATCTTTGATTCATTTGATACGTATCTTCCCCCAACTTGCAAGTAAATTAACTCTTCTTTTCATTTTCTCTCCTCCAGCACATCGTCTTGTTGAACTCGCTGAGTTCTACCAGCTTGAAGGTTATCAATACTGGAGTCGCATGGCGAATCCTCAAGAGTCGACCTTTGCAACGGACGGGTATATGAGTGATGATAGTGACTCTAGCGAGTTGCCATCTGATATCACTCGATCCGAGGCTGCTCGTCTATATCCAGAAGCTTGCCACCAAGCTCTCGCAGCCACCTTGGGTCTCGTATACTATAAGATCCGCAATGAGATGGGTGAAGGCCGTCATTCTCACCTCATGCCTGCTCATGCTGCTGCTCCCAAACGCACCCAGGAGGAAATTGTATCTCCACAATCCTCTCCCAGACGCCGAAAGGTAGCTCGTCGTTCGCAAGACATTGCATCGCCAACAGGAAGCGCCCTTCCTCACAAGATCATCACCAATTTCATGACTGCTCCAGCCGGTGATGCCAAGTCTATTGTGTCCGAGGGACTCGACAAGCTCGTCTGGAACGTCGAACAGACCCAGATCTCAGAAGAGACGATGTCTAAGTTCTCAGACTTCGTCAGGGATGAGCCTAACGCTCTGTTGCTCCTTCAAGCCCTCGAGCGTGGCCGTATCAAGTTGCAGCCTAGCCATATGGAGCGAGCCCGCGTCTCTCCTACCGAGACGTCTTCCAAACGAAGCTTCAGGTCTGCAAAGCGTGGTCTGCACGAGTCTGGCTTGGGTGAGGCAAAGAGTGATGACTTTCCCAGCGAGATGAACACCGTGCCAACCGAGATCATGTCTCCACATTCTGCCTCCCGGTCCGAAGCTGAGCAAGAAGATGAGGACGAGGCTCCCCCTTCATCCTCTCCCCCTGAAGCTAAGGAATAGGTCACCATGGCCCTCCTTTACACTGTTGCCTGTTGGCGATGGTGGTCATATTTGATATCTGGCCCCTGGGCTGTGTCTTGTTTGACTTGGACGTCTCTCTCTTTCTCTTCTATTTTTGGATGAAAGAGGGGGCGGTCACGTTATACTCACGTGGTCCTCCACCTCCCGTCACTTTATATCGACTTCAACCTTTCAACTTCAACACTCGCTCTATAACACGCATCCATACCAACTACACTACCTCGTGTAACGACTTAATGACTTGACCGTCGACAGTCAATGCATTTCCCGGTGTTGTCATTCACACTTTTACCTGGCTGGGATCGGATCGGCTCGGTTCTTGGGCTTTTGGCTTCTTTCTACGGCGGCGGCTACATTGCATTCAATCGCTGGCATATCGCGAACTTTGGACCTGGATTGGGATTGGTTTACGGAACTGCATTTGTGGATGGCACACGGATGGGTCAGGCGTCCTTGCTTTCAATCAACGGAGATACCCCCTTTCGAATATCTATGTAATGATATTTCAACCACTGTCTACCCACGCCATGACCACGACCAACACTCAACTGCTATACTTCATCCCAATTCCTTGTTCCTCGATCCCGATAAGTCATCAAGATTATACTTGGAATCTTCTATAATCCAACCGAACAAGCTCGTTCTAACGAACACCCGCGTTAACTTGGACTATAAAGCAGTCCTTCAAGCTGAATATTTAGACACTAGTGTCACCCTACCATCTACCCATATCTTACCTATTGTCATATACCCTCACCGTATATTCCTGTCTTTTTTTCTGGCGTTATTTGGATTGGCGAATGGAAAGTTTCGTTTTGTAAATAGCTATCATTAACGTGATAGGTATTAGGTTTCATATTAGTCATTACTTCAATGTCTTCTATTCCACTGTCGTAGACGTGTTCCCCATATGTTCTGCCGTAAGTAAGCTCTTCCCGACCTTAGGCTGTAAAAGTTCTACATTCTGGCTCAGAGGGCTGATGGCTTGGTTCTTCCTGACAGACTATGCCTTTCTCTACTTGCTACGGAGTATGATCGTTCAGAATCGAAACAAATCGCGCTCTTTGCATTTTTATATATTACAGTAATGATATTATGACTAGGACAACATTTATATTGAATCATTTGGTGTCTATCTGGACAGCCAGGGCCCGGGCTAGACGCATCATGTGACGACCATTTTGGGGTTCCGTCTACATCCGAGCACAACAACAATATCAACCTCCTCAGAACAGTTCTACGACTGGTAAAGTCTCCTGGGCTTGTGGCCTTGGAGTGAGTCTCCTGCTCTTGAGGAACTTGTAATCAGGCATGGCCTCCCTCACTAACCTCTCGATTCTCTTTCCAGCGCGATATCCAAATTCCAAACACCATTTCTTCGCCTCCGTTTCGATATCAATAGAACCTGCTGTTTTGCCTTGAACTATACCCCCAGAAGCAAGGAGAGTTGACAGGTATCTCTTCGTGAATGGATCCATCTGCTTTTTCTGCTTCACACTAGCAGGTGTCCAGGAAAAACTAAGCTGCGAGACGTCCATACCCATGATCTCAGCGAATCTGACAACCACGTCGGGATCAGTCATTATGTCGTCTGCATCAAGGATGATGGGCCATGTAATGCGTCCGTCTATGTAAGATTCGGTTGCCGTCAAATTTCGTGAATACCAATCGTATAGTGCCCGGGTCCAGCGCAATGTCATGCAATGTTCTCCCAAGGAATCAGCCTCTTCGTCATTCGCCGGGGTCTCCAGCTCCCACAAGGCACGGTATAATGATGGGAAAGCAAGGGCAGGATGTCTGATGAGGAATGCTGGTGACCATGTTTTGAGGAACTCGTCTGGCAACACGGTCTGGTTGAGAAATGATTGTTTCGGTTCTAGACCGTATGATTCAGGAATTTGAAGCGTCCAGGGAATGTCGCGTGGTGTGTTGTTTGCGCCAAAGACTAGCTCGCTGAGTGCGGTGGGTTTGACCAAAAAATGAACATGCTCCTTTATGATGACTGAACGGCGTTGTAATGATGCTGCCTCCAGGTATTCTTGGAATTCGTCAAAGCACTCCTGGTAGCTCTGCTGCACTTGTTGTATTTCATTTGGTGTCCAATCTGCCATACCCTTCGAACGGAGGCCTAGATCCGTCATCAACTTTATAGTCGGCAGGAAAATATAACCACCACGGTCATCTCCAGAGACAAAGTCGGGCTGGTTATCCAGGCCTAGCATTCGAACCAGGAGGTTAGAACCAGTACGGGGATAGGTGATCAAGTAGAAACGACGTGGGTTATGTGCCTTCATGGTTAGGAGGTGTGTTTCTGTCTCTCCTCTGTGTGGGTGACTTGTGCAGATATTCCGGTAATTTGACTAGAGATCTTATATACCTATGGCAGGGTGACCTTCTCCCACAACTCCAAGGATCCAGTATTTTATACCCGTGCTAACTCACTTGGAATATTCTAAGCTGGATCTGGGAAGGGCAGCGCGTTACGCTCTGTTTGGAGTCAACGGCACCCGCGGACAGCGCACCTCTTGCCATCTTACGCCAAATTTCCCCCAACTGCGCATCCTGTGTTACTTGTTTTAGAGCAACCACGTACTACTTGCCCACCAGTTGTGGCCTCCTATTAGATCCTATCTCTCAGTTAAAAGCAGTGGATGCTTTCCCACAACATTGTCAGACGTGGAGTACTTTGTCCCATAGTCAAGGGGTTGACCTTGCGACGAGAATTATGATTTGCCAACTCTGCCTGTATCTCCAGTCTAAAGTCGAAAACTATGGCCGCCCGTTTCGCAATTTCACAATCTATGCAAATGGGCTTGTGCCTAGCACGATCTATTTAGTTTTTTTTTTCCCGAAGTTGTACTCATAGCTTCAGCCACAGCATAGAGCCACCCATCATGCACAGGCAGATTTCCTGCAACGCGATAGGTAAATATATATAAAAAATGGGTTCCCTGTTGGTTTGGGGCGATCGATTTCCAGGCCCAACGACAAAATCACCACAGATTCTTCATCTTTCTTTCCTAGCACCACCGCCAGATTTAACACCTAGTCAATATGGACAAAGGCCGTTCCCCTAGCCGATTTTACCTCCTTACGTGCCCTCGAACGGCTTCCAACCTTCTTATGAAAATCCTAGCACTCGAGGGACAAAGTAACGTTGCCTACCGTGAGGATGGAGGCTACTTTTTCTCTCCACTCCACCTACTACGATACGACTTAAATTGCGTTGGAACACATGTTGAAGAATTGACACTCGAACAAAAGGAAAAGCAGATAGCTTGCATAAAGAGTTGCTATAATACTCTTGTTCAGCATGTCGAGGACGCTGAATCGAACGGGAAGCTCGTCATTGTGAAGGAGCACACACATTACCTGACGGATCCAGTAGCCGAGACCGAATTCCTCCACGGCGAGGGATGCGTTAGTAACGAGCTACCTTGGGTGATGCATGGAATGGACGATTTGGTGCAGAGTACTGATGGCCGGTCAAGTCATAATAAGACCGTTTTCTCGGATGACTTTTTAAAAACGTGGCGACCAATATTTTTAATCAGGCATCCAGCACTGGCTTTCCCTTCGTGGTATCGTGCCGCAGTCAGAGCAGATGGTGAGGAGAAAGCCAAGTCAACCCAAGGGAAACGCGCGTGTAAGAAAGTCATGACTCTGCGCTGGACACGCAGATTATACGACTTTTACATGCAGGAATCCAATAATACCGATGTTACCAGTAGGAACCTCAGGGAGAGGAAAGATAAGGGTATATGGCCTCTGGTTCTCGATGCAGACGATATCATGACGCAGCCAGAGGTTATCATCAGGTTTTGCAACATTGTTGGTCTGGACAGCGACAAGTTGAAGTTCAACTGGGAGAAGGACGAGCAACAGAGACGGCCCGGTATCATGGCATTTAGGTCAACCATCGATAGTTCGACCAAGATCGATCCGAGCAAGGCTGCCGGCGATGTTGATATTGACCAGGAGGCAGCGAAATGGCGCGAGGAGTTCGGAGGAGAGATTGGGCGCCTGGTGGAGGAGTACGTTCGAGCCGCGATGCCGGACTATACCTACCTGAAATCCAAAAAGCTCGTAGCATAACAGTGTACATTACAGCCCTCAGTCTTATATACATACTTGCGTGTTCAAATGCATTCAAACAAAGTACTTCGTACGGAGTAAACAAAAAATCTAATCAAAATCATCTAGAGTTTCGACCAAATTCTGGGGAACAGGGGTTAGAGTTATTACATAATCATGTTTGCGCTGTTTGCATCCGCAGCTGCCTGGACCTCGGAACTTCGTTTGGCGCCCAAAAGCAACAGCCGACAAAGCGAGCGAACGAGGAGCCGCTGGGCAGCTGTCTAGGTTGCTATATAACCGATGATATAGACCGGAGACTGGAGCTCACGGTCTATCCAGCTGTATTCTGGTCCCTGCCTCGAACTATCACTACGGCTTCTCCTCCCGTCCTTTGTCACGCCCAAAGCATTATGACGGCTGTTGCTAAGAAGCGGTTGCAAGCCCTCAGCCAGCAGCTGGTAGAAGGTATCCCTGATGCCGGCGAGTTTGAGAATATTCCCAGGATCCGGGAGGTTGCTCAGGACTCTCTTGGACCGTGAGATGCCTTTTTCGTTATTGGATCTTTGTCTGCGGTTGCTGATGAGTTGCGATTGCAGAAGAATCAAGGACAAGGTCGTGATTATAACCGGTTGGTTGTTTACCGCTACTCCGTCTGTTGATTGAGATATTGCTAACATATCTTTGCTTGAAAGGAACTAACTCTCCCATCGGAATCGGACGAGCAACGGCCCATCAGTATGCCCGCCATGGTGCCAAAGCTATCTATATCTGTGACTTTGCAGATTCACATCTCGACGTACACAAGCGGGAGATAGAATCCTTGTACCCTGGCGTCAATGTTCATACGAGACAGTTTGATGCTGGAGATGAAGAAGAAGTCAAGAAGGTTGTTGACGACGTGATAAAAACTTATGGCCGGCTGGACATCATGTTTGCTAATGCGGGGATCGTCGGGGCTCCGAAACTGTTTACCGAAGTCTCTGGAGAGGAATTCATGCAAACGATGGATACGAATGCCAAGGGGTAAGCCTTTACTTTCGATCATGTTTCAAGATACCGGTTTGATGATTGACTGGTGGTCACAGCCCCTTCTTGGCTACCAAGTATGCTTCTATAGCCATGAGGAAGACATCGCCTGCCAAACCGTACCCAGCCGGAAGCATTATTCTCACTGCTTCTGTTGCTGGTATGCGGTCCAACGCTGGTTCAACAGATTACTCGGCCAGCAAAGCTGCCGTCATTTCCTTAGCTCAAACATGTTCATTCCAACTGAGTGGTACTGGGATTCGCGTCAATGCAATCTGCCCGGGTGTGGTAGAGACTGGTATGACAAAGGCAATGTACGACCATGCTCGCAGCAGAGGAACGGAGAAGAAAATCGGGCAGCTGAATCCATTGATGAGAGGGGCTGTTTCTGACGAGATCGCTCGTGTTGCCTTATTCTTAGGTAGCGACGAGAGTAGCTACGTCAATGGTCAGGCATGGGCAGTTTGTGGAGGCTTGAGCGCCGGGCATCCATTTGTGCCTGGAAAACTAGCATAATGAAAAGGTTAACATATTAAATATGATTTTCCAATATGGGTACATATTTGTATACTTCAAGCCTTCTTGTATATGTATACAAATCAACACGACATATAATCCAATATTTCGTATTCCGTATATCCTGGGTTTACCCGGATATCATGAGATGAAATGCAGTCGACTATTCAAAATATGATGCAACATTTGCTTCCAAGTCTCTCCTGAGTACTTCCATTACCTTTAGAGCATTTAGCTCAGCGAGTCTTTTTGCTTCTTCGCTTTCCTCTTCTTCATCTATCTCCCCTTCTTCACCAGAACCGTCTGGGTCGATATCATCTTTGTACTGAGTTACGTACTGCTCTTCCAACAAATACTTCTCACCTGATATCTGATCTGGAGAATGCTCAAGCACATAAAAAGTGGGGAACTCGAGGACAGTTCTGTCGCGAAGTACCGCTCCCAAGGCCATTGACTGGTCTGTTACCGGTATGAGAACCGGGACTTTGGCGCATGTCTGCGGCCTGTGCAGGTATATATGTAGTGTTGTTGATGAGCCATCATCGTTAGTAGGAGGGTTATCTTCGGGTGCTGGTGGAGATGTGGGTGTTAGAGCTACTGGTAGCGGCGTTAAGGGGGCCTCGCTTTCGTTTGCGGACGGCAATGCAGGCCCGGGGCTCAGTGTTTTAGATGAAGATACGTCGTCTGGGACGGGATCATCATTCTCTTCCACGCTTACAGAACCTTCAAGAGTGCAAGATGTGACTGTGCTTGCTTCCACTGGATCAATGGCACCGTCCCTGACGATCTTTTCAATGGATACTTTCCTCTTTTTCGCCGGAGGCTCTGCGATCTTCTCATCGTTCAGGCGGCTAAAACCTAGTTCCTTAACCAGCGGCACGCGAGTGAGTGCCGTCCCAACGCTGGTGTTCTCTAAGCACTTGGTTATTGTTTTCCGGCCATCAGGGAATACCCACTCAACCGCCCAGCTTAGACATCTACGTCTATAGGAGCATAGATCAGCTTGCATTCGATAGCCATGACAACCGGGTGCATCGGGAAGAAACTCACTTTCTATGCCAATGGGATGTATTCAATTTGTTCCGCGTCATTCCCTTTGGAGCTTTGACAATGCGCACGCCACTGTTCTCCATGCCACGCTGCAAGGGCAGCTCGCCTCGCGCCATATCACCCCGTTGCTTTGCCTTGCCTCCATCGGGATCAGAGTTGGGGACGAGATCGATTCCTCGGGTTTCGGCATCGACTTCGGCACGCTCGAGTGACCTTTCAATGCTCGTGAGGAAGTTGAAGTCCTTGTCAAATGCAGCTGGTGTGGCCAATTCGTTTCTCTTGAGGTATTCAGCTGGGTCTCGGACGCCAGAGCATTGTGACCATAGCTTATGGCGTTTGGAGCAGGCTAGCGAGCACGTGCGGCTAGCGCACCGGGGGCATTTGTACTTTTGCCTCTTTTCATGGCTGTTATCCCATCATTCTGTTAGCTTCGTCCCGGATCCTCTGCCATTCCTCCATGTCACCGACAGTTTGACCGCCCCTTCTGCCGGTTGGGTTAAGAATCGACGTACCAAATTGCGCACAGCTGCGTGAGAGGCAGCTCGGCCAGCTGGATTTCCTTGTCCATTGCTCTCTCAATAATTCGACTCGTAATATAAGTTAGTTTCAGCTGCGTTGGCTGGCCGTCTCTGCTCTTTTGCCGTCGTCGTCGTTCTTATTCTTCCTCGAAGCTCGAAAAAAAAGTCGATGAGCTCATAATCACGTGAAGATCTTATCGATAAATATTAGTAATCAAGTGTTATTCGAGGAGGCAAAAAAAAAAAATTAAATTAAATGAAAATGAGTGAAGATAAAACGAATTTGATATATAAAAATAACCGAACGAAGATGCAAAAAAAAGTGAGCTGTGCCTTCTGGGGTTGTTTTCGATGGCGATGCTACGAGCTTCGTGCTCTGTAGATCGTCTCGTTTCAGATAGAAGAACTTGGAAGCGGAGCCATGAAGCTCTTGTGTCCGGAGTACCGATTTGTTTTCATCTCAGTCAAACGTCATGTGTAAATGAAAGGGGGCCGCCCATGCTGGAGTCGGGGGATTCTATGTAGGGATTGGGGCCTTTTGAGAGCTCAAGTCCTGCAGGGGATTATTATTGGCTCCCTTTCGCTGACTTTCTTCACGTCTTTTTTGCCTCGTCCCGCTCCACACGTGTGCTAAACCTCCATGACGGGGCCAACTATCAGAGAGAGGGAGAAGCCAGCCGTAACTATAAACCCCCCTGGAAAGAAGAAGAAGAAGAAGTAGAAGAGCAGCGGCAGATGGCAGAGTGCCAGGAGAAAGCCTCGGGGTACGTTGTTTGTTTTTTTTTTCGACTCCTCCTGTGCTCTCCTCGCTGGCTGCTTGCTGCTCTTCTCTTTTTCTGGGCTTACTTTTACCCGTCCACGTCCCACGCTGTGGCAGTTTTTCGGGTGGAGAAAGAGGGATCGTCGGGGTTAATATCTGAGCGATGTGAGCAGTTATAAAGTCGGACGGACGGTTGATGTGTTATAAAACCTCCTGTCTGGCCAGCTAGTTACCTATATGTTCGGGACGGGACTGGACCCCAGGACCATGGCACAAGCTGGCTTTTTACCGTTCCATCACTATCTCTGATGTGTCCCCCTGTCTGTCCTCCTCTGTGTGCTCGTATAATTGGCACTCGAAATGAGGAGAAATAATAATAGCGAGACAGAGGCGTCAAAAAGGAGTGAAGGGAATGCTGTGATGGGTTTTCGCCTCCTGCAGTAGTTTATCTTTCCCCTTGTCCTGATGTTGGCTACCCCCTGTTTCCTCGTTGCTGCTGCTCCTCTGCCTGTCTCCTGTCAAGCTCGCCCTTTACCAGGAACGGAGTAAATCCCGGGCACGTTGAGCCCATGTTCCTGGTTAGCCTGAGCCCCCGATTGGCGAAGCACTGGTGCAGCTGCAGTAGCGTCGAAGTCCGTGGGGCAGGGCCTCGAGTTCGCCAGCGGCCGAGCGAGCCTGTCCCTGTCCCTTTTTTCACTATATTGCTTTTTCCTCCTGGTCTGAATCCTCTTCGTCTCTGCTTGCTCTCGCCCTCTCTCTGGCTCGTTTTTTCTGCTGGAACAAGACGAGCTCAACAACGAGCCCAGAGTTTGGGCCTAAAAGTCCGTGGTGAAACCTTCGGGCCAATCCGTGTTGCTGGAAATTCGAGGGAGGACTGGCATCCGTCCCCCCTCTGATGCCAGGCGTAAATTCAACCCTGTGGCAGCCAGCAATGAGCGAAGCCAGGGAGCATCCATTTGGTTTAGCCTAGCCCGTAGTGTGCCGTCAAGGTCCTGATCCTCTTATCCACCCGGTCGTCCCTTGCCCTGCTGCCCCTGACCCTTGTTTGCGTACCTTTTCTCCTCGAATTCCAGCTCTGCTTTCCTTCATCCATCCAGAGTCGATATCCCTTCTATCGCTCGCCTCTGCCCTCTTCTCTGTTCGTCTTGTTCGTTTTTCTAATAGCCGGTGCTGAAGGCTTGCTTTCTCTCGCGATTCCATGCAGCCTGGGGCTCGCTGTGTCCATCGTTGACGGCCTATACTTTTCGTCCTGCATATATACTTCCTCTCCCGCAGCACATATCAAGAGAACCCCTGGTGCTTGTCCCTTTTCGAGCGGAGAGGACGAGAGTCGACTACCCCAGCTTTCCTGCGCAGGGCTTTCGTGCATATAAGCCGTTTGATCTCCTCGCCTCGTAGGGAAGAGAAAAGAAAGGGGAGGGGAGAGAGAGAGCGTTTGTCTGAAACGGCTGTCCCGGTGTCACAAAAAAAAAAGCTGGCCCGACTCGGAACTGTGTGTATGACCTGTCCAATCCTCGATATATTCACATTGCCAACCGTCTTCTGTGTAATGCTGCCCGCACCAGGGTTCCTGGGATGCTGTGGGAGGTGATCAAGTTGCTAACATCTCGATTATCGCGGGAGTCACAGGGAATCCGTCGTCTGTCGTCGTCTTATCATTTTTTTTCTTTCTATATCTTCCACGTCTGCTGGTTGACACAGCACAAAACGGCCAGCAGCAGCAGCAGCGGCGGCGGCAACGACGATAATATATAGGTAATAGACATCATAATAGCCACAGGAAAGTTAGCCATGGCTCCCTCGTTGCGAGAGCGTGCCTCTTTTGTGCGGCCTACGACCAAGGAACGGCCAGCGACCCGCGAGCAGGCAGAGTCCCTCACGATCCCCAGCCGGACGTCCTCGCTGCACTCGCGGATAACACAGCCAATTCCATCGACTTTGAACATGAAGCCGGTGCAGAAGACGCCCAAGACCCTCACGCATGCGTACATGGTCTGCGGTGTTGGCCGCGAGCCCTCGCAGTGGGTGAAGGCCCCACCGCCGTCGCAGGGCAAGATAGGCCATATGAAGGGCGCCGTGGGCCAATTCTGGCTGCCAGAGATCCTGGGCAGCAGCCCGAGACTCGAGCAAGACAACGAGATAGCAAAGTCTCTGCATGCTGCCATGCGGGTGCGTTGTGTTCTGCATATCCTTTCTTTCTACTAGTTGTGTGTGTGTGTATGTTGTGTTGAGAGCACGCTGGCTAACTGGGTGTATATACAGGCGTGTTTCCCCCATGACGTTGAGATATGCACCGGCAAGAACCAGCCTCACTGTGTTCACCACTCGTTCGTCCTCCAGCAGGACTCTTCTCACACCCTCTACGGCATTGCCCTGAAGGTCTGGTCTCGGGCAGACGAGAAGCGTGCCGAGACCATCAGGGAGCTGCGGAAGAAGACAGAAGTTAACTTCTACGACAACGCAGAGGAGATATATTGGATCCCTTACTGCCTCAGTTTCCTCTCCAGATACCCCCTTTACAATCTCCTAGGTGATTATCTCCGTGGAATGTGGATCCATTGGAATAAGGCCACCAACCTGTTCCATGCAGAGGAAGTTTCCAGAATCCTCAGCTTTCCGGCGCCCCGTCTCAACGACCTTGTGCGTATTGACATGAAGGACTATGCCCTGTGCTATCAGTTCCCTTCTTCCCCCACTGGCTACCAAAACTTTGCTATGTGGCCTTTGTTCTCCTGTCTTTCCATTCCGAACATCGTGGGTGTCATTGAAGCCGCCGTTTCCCCTACTCGTAGGATCATCTTCGTCAGTCATTACCCTGCCATCCTGACTGTTGCTACTGAGACTATCCGCTATTGTGTCCGAGTGTACGAGTGGAGTGGCCTGTATAATCCTGTTGTGCATGCCAGACATGTCAAGGAGCTTGTTGAAGAGCCTGGCCCGTATATCCTTGGTGTAACCACTGAATGTCGCGATCTGTTCACTGCTCCAACTGATGCACTAGTCATCGATCTAGATCGCAACTTTGTCTTAACCTCAAGCCCTCCAAACATCCTCACGCAGGGCCAGAGAAATAAGATGATCACTCGTCTTACTCAAGCCTTGAACGGAGAGGTGACTCCCACAGGGCCTCCTCCCCACCTTAGATCTGCCTATGGTGGTGGAAAGCTAGTTCCAGCTGGCCAGATCATCGTCATGAGGGGAGAGGTTGAAAGTGTCCAGGACCCCCAATGGTGGAATCAGGATGCTGTCATGGCTGTCATGGACCATGTTTGCGAGAAACTGGTACGTATTATGATTTTTTTTTTCTTTCATTACCCAAGATGAAATATACTAGTACTAACATTCGTCACTAGGGTCGCAATACTGGTCTGAAGGCTGTGTTTGGAGGATCAGTCAAGAAGCCATTGATGACCAAGGTGTCCATGAGACATCTCAACGAGATCGTCCGTGAACGTAACCAGTACTCCAGAGATGCTCTTGAAGCCTGGCAAGACTTCATTAACCTCAAGGGCAGAATGGATACTGAGTTAACCAAGGTCACCAAACGCAACAACTTCCTTGTCGAGGAGCTCGAGACCTGGAAGCAGCAATTCCTCAAGTTCCAGAAGTTTGCTGAACAGCTTACCAAGGAAACTTCAGAGCTCAAGGTCAAGATTGAAACGCATAAGCGTGAAAGTCGCCGCCTTACCAGTCTTATCGACCAGCAGAAGGATGATATCATTCGCCTTACTCTGCGTCTATCTGGCACTGAGAAGCAGCGTGACGATGCCCTAGAGGCTCTAGTACTCCAGCAGGAGATTGCTGAAGAATTGGAGCGCGAAAGAAAGCGCAACGAAAAGGAGATTGCTTCTCTACAGCATACCAATTCGAATCTTTTGCGCCAACGAGACGATGCTCAACGTGTCGTTATCCATCTTCGGAGCCTTATTAATGGGCAGGCTCACCACATGGAGCACATTGTTCGCTCCATCGACAGCTCTCCCGAGTTATCTCGGTACATTGAAGAAGGCCATGACATGTCAGCCGAGGATACTGCCAAAGGTGATGAAGAACCATCCAAACCCCAAGACTCCGCCAATAAAACCGCCTCGAGCCGGAAATCCAGCTCCCGTCTTAGTAACCGGTCTGCTACTCCCGCTCTGTCAGATGACGCCCCTACCAACGCGGACAACCGCATGTTGAGCGTCGACAAGAGGAGACGCTCCATAAGACTAAGCATGTCTGACGTAGCTGATAGACATCTCCGCGACAAAACCGATGCTATTGCAGACATCATCCGCACCATCAGCGATCAGTGTGCCGCCGCCGTCGAGGGTCTCCAGCTTGCCCAGGCAGACTTCGATAACTCCGAGCTCTCCAAGCACAACTCAAGCCAAGGAGGAATGGACCTCGAGCGACCCAACGGAAGCGAGGCGGACGACAACGAGAGAGCGAATCTCAGCCCCGATGGCCGTCAGTCTACTATTCCCCCTACCCCCGACCTTGTCCCAAACCGGTCAAGCACGTCAATGTCCATGGCCAGCAGCTCAACGTTCCAAGAGCGATCAAGCCAGCAGTACGGACCAAACGAAATACCCACAAAAATAGTAGAACATGATGACGAGCACGCTCATGAGACAGCACAGGAAGAAGAAAACGTCAACCCAATGGGCAAGACACCCAGTGGTCCTAATTACATCAGGCCCGGAACGTCAACTTTACTCTCATAGACGTATCTGCCTCCATATTTCCTCTTTTAATATCCCTTTTTTTCTTTTCTTTTCTTTTTTTTCCAATCACATTTCTCAATTATACCTTTGCTGCCCTTTACTCATTATACCTTGTGTTTGGTCCTGACTTGATATCTGGCTATCTTACTCTGATTCCCCATTTTCCTTCTTTCCCCCTTATTTTACTATTATCCTCTTTATTCCTGTGCTGTTATTCGCCTGGTTTGCTGCTCTGTTATATATATCATCACGCCGTATCTGTACCTGAGATTACACCTACTTTCATATGTCTCTGCGTGGCCTTTACTTTTCCCCGTTATATTTCTCTCTCTTTCATTTGTTCTCTTTCTAAACATTTCGAGTGGACTTCTCGTATTTCCTTTCTCGTTCAGTATGTATACATCTTGTACACCTTTCACCCTGCACCCTGTTTCCCCCAATGCAGCAATATAATAGCAAAGCTACTCACTTAGCCGTAGCTTTCTGATGTTTGCAAAATAGAAATCAAGCGAGTTAACTTCAACTCTTATATCGATCCTTATACTAACGCTATAATCTCGTTTTCGACTGTATTTGGTCTGGGAAATTAGGAAGTAATAGGTGTAGGACCATCGTCGGTTTGCCCATGCCAGGAAGAGATGGTATCCATACTCCGAACGTTTCACAAGGAACCTACCGGAATGAAGGAACCTCGGCTAGCACCTTATGAAGGGGAGTGTGTGGTATGCTTTCTCTGACTGGTGGGAGAAAAATGCTAATGAAGCCTGTGCGTATATGTATGCCATATACCCCGTACTCCGGATGTATTTTTAATTTTAGGTCGAGCTTAAAATGGATATCTTGACCACCACCTGCAATGAATCAATGTCTCGTAGCATTTTTATCTGTATATATGAGAGCAATGTTTGTGCACAAGATAGCCCTTTTTACCCCTGAAACTCTTGTGAGGTTGGAGTTGTGTATCAGCGATACCATGTATTTTTGTTTAGCCAGCAGTAATTTAAGGTTAGTCATTGTAATTTTCGTAATATCTCGTATATATGTAACTTTCAAACTTCAACGAAAATTCAACAAACGAAGAAACGGAAGAACGACATGAAAATATTGATATGGCTCTGGAGGCCGGGACGGGGGCTCCCATATGCCGTATACCCATTATAACGACACCTCTCAGACTGAATTAGGGGGTCATAAGTCTGGAACGGACCCAATAATGTCAAATGTGCTAGAGATGGCACTCTGATCTGGCAATTGTGACGAGAACGCTTATCTCAATAGTTTATCCACGGCTGAACGACGGCGCTGATATCAATTGTAAATCTGGCCTCCACTTTATAAGCCTCATACATACGGATAAGTGAGCACAACTGCAAGAACTCTATACAGAACCCCTTCACAGCTGCCGATGTTATACTCCGTACTCAATCAACGTGGTTGAGGTGAGATTTCGGAATCTGGACAGATGGCAGAGAGCCTGACCGGCCATAAGGATACAGGATAACTCCATTAATCAGTCATGCCACTATGGATGCTGGGATGGCCCGCTTCTTGCGGAAGACACGTGCGGAGTGTCCCGTACCTAATTCTATGTGGGACCAGGAGAGCGTTTTTATGTCATGGCCAGTTCATCGCCAGATAGAGAGGTTGATGCCTATAGCCTCCTCATAGGGCTCAAGAGCTATACTATGTGAAAATGCCAGGACGTTGTTTGAAAGGCAGGGTAGCTTAATCAACCACTATTGGATGGTGATGCATGCAATATGCCCTGGAATGACTATCCACGGTTGACAGTGTCTTTTTCTTAGCTCTTTCTTGAAGGTGAGCTGCTGCTAATAATGCTGATCGAGATTCCCAGAGTTTCCAAGAAAAGAACCTAAATTGAACAAGGAGCGGTTCATTATTGTTCATTATCACTAGGCTTGCTCGATGGTACTCAGTTCGGCGAAGTATTCAAACATAGGCGAGTGGGACCAACTTACTGTGTGCCTCGTGGTTCTCTCACTAGCGGCACTGGTCTGGCCCTTTACTTCCAGCTGGAGTATTGCTTGATGCAGTACTCCGTACCCCGTACAAATATAGGCTGGAAGCACCGTGCGGTTGATGGGGGTATTATCCGCTGAGCCAGGGTTTTATCGATTGTGATATATCTGAGGCGCTCCGGCCAAACGAATTTGACAGGAACGGTTTGCATCGATTTCTGGTGAAGTGCAGTCTATTCCCCATATAAGTATGCATACGATGGACTCATACTGTCCTTGTCAACGCTTCAACGAATGGCGTCGAATCTGTTTTTTGGAATAAAGGAACCTAGCGAGGATCTACGGCACTAACTGGCGGATATGCAAACCATATGTCGGCCTCCATGTCTGCATTCAATAGTCGGAGATTCCGTGGCCTGGGGAAAGGGAGCAAGAAACTAAAGGCGGCTATTTACTTATTATCCCAAGTTACACGAGCTATGAGGTAACAGAAATAACAAAAGGGTGAGGCCTCTTCTGACGGCGAATTTATACTAAGGGCTAAGGTTGCCACTTTCACAGAAGATCAACCCAATAGACGTTCTGGGCAGCGCCAACGGCAACTGTGAATGGCTGTCGGACAACATGAGAACAAGATGAACATCGAGGCATAAAAGATGACTGTTGTACAATCTGCCGCTGGTCACAAAGTAACTGCCACACGCTACCTCCCCCCATCGACAGGTTCAGGGGATGCGAAAATAGCCAGGGGTATTTCTGTGCCTCGAATGATTTCTCTTAAGCAGGGATTCCCTGGTGATTTCGGAACTAGGCACCCAGATGGTGCGATAATCCGTGCTCTCCATCTACCCGTTACAGCCGACGGGGTTATCAGATTGTTATGCAGCTGTCCTTGTCAGCCCATTGTTTGTTCGAGGAACTGGAGCGGGTTGTGGCTTAAGGAATTCTCTAGAAGGAGCCCAGTCCACCGCCAGATTCTGAGATGTCGACTGCCACTGCCACTGCGCCTGCATCGCACATTGCATCTACCCCATACGGAGTACATCTACGGAGTAGCTCGCGCACACCAGTCAAGCCGTGCGATATTAGACTAGCGCCTCGATGCAGGCCACTCAGTCTCGAGAGCGCCAGATTAGTGGGCCCCGATTGCCACTAGTGAAGAGATAATACGAAGATAGTCGAGATGTTTGCACGGAAAAAGATATCACTAGGTCAACGTTCTTGCAGGGCCTTAAACGCTGCTGGTTGGAGTAAACGAGCTACTCCATTGCGGCACATGAGTTGACTGGATCCCCTTTCCTGTTCTCCGGAGAAAAAGGATCAGCCCCTCAGGCCTAGAATGCATGCAGCTAGCCTGTTGGGCATTGAATGGACTGATTGACATGTTGTACTGAAGCCTCAAGTCAAATATACGACAGGACGCTAGCTAAGATGGCAGTTTATATAAGTGTGTCTGCATCTCCCCAGGATTCTTCTGCTGGAAGGTGCTGTTTCAGGTTGATACTTTTATCCGGCAAACAGAGCCCCCGGGTTCAATATCTTCCATAGATATTCCATGGCCATTGACAATCCCGTGTTATCATCCTCGAACCAGCCCTACACCCATCAGCTCCAAGATTGCTCATCAACGACACCGGCACCATGAATTGGATATTAGACCTGTTTGCCATGGCCCGGGAGGAGCATACCACTTTGCTAGCCAACCGTGGGCTTGGTGGACTGTCGCCCGACCAGACAACAGCCCTGGAGCGATTTAATTTCCCTCTACTTCGCATTCACTACAGATATTTCCCGCCGGTTATCACCATTGCGTTCATGTCACTCATTGCAACGGTTTGCTCATTCGCTATCATTACATATCGACTTGTTTTCTGGCGAAGATTTTCAGCGACTTACCTCGGCTATAATCAATATGTCATCCTTATTTATAACCTGATTATTGCAGATATGCAAACAGCCGGCGGTGCTATCATGACACTTCACTGGTATCGGGTCGGCCATATAGCTGGGAGTTCGAACACTTGCATTATCCAGGGATGGTTATTCCAAGAGGGGGTTCCAACCAGTGGCTTATTTGTCCTGGCAATCGCGATACACACGTTCATCACCGTCGTACTAGGCCGAAAATTGAAATACCGGACGTTTGTGTTCTGCGTGGTTGGGATCTGGATGTTCGCCCTGTTCCTCACTGTGTTACCTATCATAATGGAAGGGAAACACGCTTATGTGAACTCCGGCGCCTGGGTATGTTGACGGCCTTTATATCCCCTTTATTCTTTTGTCTCTTCATATACTGACTTAAATTTATAGTGTTGGATTAGTGCAAACCGTGAAGACTTGAGACTGGGAACTCATTACATTTGGGTCTTCATTTCACAATTTGGAAGTGTCACCATTTATATCATACTCTTCTTCTACCTACGCCATAAGGTCGCTATATCTGCTTCTCTTACTCAGAGGTCGCAGGACAAACTCTCCCGCCTCAGACGCGTTGTCAGGCTCATGATTCTCTACCCAATTGCCTATGTCTTCCTGTCGCTACCCATTGCTGCCTCCCGGATGGCTACTGCAGCCGGCGCGAAGCCTTCATTTACCTATTACATCATCGCGGCAATGATTATGTCGGCGTCTGGGCTAGTTCACACAATTATTTATGCGGTTACCCGACGAGCATTGATATTGAACTCCGAAGTGACTCAGCACAAAGGCGGATACGGCCCTTCATCAGCAAATCAGGAAAGCAACTCCCCAAGAGATCTTGAAAACACTGCCTGCACTACGCTTGTTAGTAGTGATGGGCCCGTATCACCAAGCAGTCCCGCGGGCATGTACAAGAGGATGTATTCTCGGATAAACGGGACATCCAGCCCAGCGCCGAACCAGCAGTACGAATTGAACGGTGTTTATCAGCAAACAACAATCTCTGTCACAACAACTACCGTATCACCGCCAACCAGAGGAGGTAGTCCGCCGACTCGAGGGGGTAAAGAAGATACATCATCTGTAGCGACGGACGGTACAATATCTTGACCATACACTCCTTGAATGCTTTTTTTTTGGTTAACTTTTTTCTAAATTTTCCTCCTGTACATAGCCTATTTTATGCTTTATATATATCCAGAAGTTACCAACCTATGCCTTATAATAACTGATTGATTACCCTGAGAAACGAGCATTGCTGCCCTTAGAGAGTCAGCCATTTTCTGAGGCGGGTGGTTTGAGCCAGGCACTCCGTAAACGAATAGCTGGCCCATGGCTTTCCTATCGCTTATTTCGACACAGAGATAGGATATCTACTCCGACAAAAAAAAATAAAAATAAAAGAAAGAATGGAAAGAAAAAGCAAAGGCGGTTACCTAATAGGTCGCCACTGAAACGTCCAAGAACACCAGTGATCTTCAACGCGGCTTAGAAACCTGCGGTGTCTTTGAAGCACTAGTGAGGAATTAAGGGGCGGTTCGGCTAGAGAAGACGAAGAGACGGTTGTTTCTCTGTAGTAATGGATGAGGTGTCAGATATATGCTCGGACCACTATCGGCGAACTTTGCAAAGTCTTGTAACTGCTGGTTGCTGGCGAGTTACTGCTCTGATATTAAACGGGGACGGGCGTGGGTTTCTCTAATAATATCAGCTAGATTGTAAGGGCTTGTTAGATTAATCGAAGCCCTGCGTGCATTCAATGGAGTCGCAGAGGTACTGTCATATATTCTTTTATACCTGAAATCACATAATGTCACAAGAACGCTACAGCAATGAAATCAAGCCCCGATCAATGCTCCGCCAACGTATGGATGTACACGGGTAAATACATAAATATAACAAGGTGGATGGACGGGCTGGCTAGAAAAAACAAAGTGCGAGCATGTGCCTAACTCCCATATACCCACGTACAGTACTTTAACAGGTCATTCATAGATGGAACAGCAATGAAGAAAAGCATGATCTATAACAAGATTCGGGAATAACATAACAAGGAATATGGCAAATATGTCGATTGTGGTATGATATGAATAAACGGAAGAGGGGTATATAGATCATAGAAAGTGCGATATCTTTATATTTCTTTGGAGTCAAAACTCGATGTTTGGCTTCACTGGTTGGGCGAGGTTGGGTTGTTTGCTCCACCTGTTAGATACTCTGGGGGAACTTTTGGTACTCTGGGAGAAGTAGCTGACTGTACAATGGCCCGTTGTTGGGCTCTTAATAGCTCGCGTTGACGATCTCTTTCTCTTCCCGCGTTGTTGCCACCGGTCAGTCGGCGAACACCACTTCGAATCATGGTGTCCAGAGAAAAGGAGCCGCCTTCGGGGTTGCTATTGCCAATGATGGCTGCACGGGAAGTAGAGGATGATGGATACTGAAGCGTTAGGCGATCTTCGGAGTCCGACAACGCATCCTCAATATCATCATCCGAGAGGAAAGATCGCCCGATATAGCCTGGCTCAGGAGTACCCGGATTGCCATTGTTGTTGCCAGGCTGCGGATAATAATTGCTTGGTGAGGTAATTGAACGGGTGTGGAGGGAGCCGCGTCGTGGTTGGTTAGAGGACGAAGAAGTGGTGCTTAGAGGTGAAGGGTGGATAGAAGGGGTACCAACACTGTTAGAATCAGTGCGCGTGAGAGGAAGCCTAGAATCAGCAAAGCCATTGTGGAACGAGGACGATGACGCCGTTCTAGCTAGAGACTTTCGTAACAGGGGAGCCGTATGCTGGTCGTATAAGTGTGTGCTTGCATCTGGAAAATCATTCGCTGTAAAGCTATGTAGAGACGCTCCGGTTATGGAAGGCACGGAGGGATTGACCTCTGTCTCTTCGAAGAAATCGTCCAGGCTATCCAGCTTCTGGAGCAAGTCGCCCATGTTTGTTTCATTCCCTGTATCAACTGATTTCATTGTGTCTGCACGGAATGCCGGGAAATACGAGTCACCGTAGTCATCAACGTGGAACTCTAGGTCCGGGGAAGTTGTTGACTGCCCTCCCAGACCATCTTCCTCGGCGCAGGTATAGAACACGGCATGTACATTGTTTCTGGTGAGGTTTGACTGCACAGCCGGGATTGGAATTGACCATCCATTGGGCTCGGGGATGCCATATAAACTCTGAATTCCTTCAAACTCCTTCCGGATAGCTCTTGATGAAGCCGAAGAAGCCATACTCATTCGAAGGTGGTGGCGCTCCATGGGGTTGCCGGCAACGGTCATAATGTGGTCAAGAACTCCAAGGGCCTGGGGGCAAAGGTTTGTGTGCAGGAGCCGAAGCAAGGGGGAAATGAGGTCAGGACCATGGCAGGAGATGTCTGGTCGACGCATGTCAATTTCGGATATAACTGAACTGAGAATCCGCATGAGGCTAACTCGGAACCACGACGTGTTGTTAGTTAGCAGACCCATCAAGAATACCAAGCTCTGCACATCCTGGCCCGGGAAAAAGTACATCGATATTGAGTTGACAATAACAGCCAAGAATTCATCACTTGTCCGATATTGTGTTCGGGAAAGAGCTAACAAACTGTTGGACAATTGAGAGTAGCCTTGTTTGTCAGCAATGCTTGCGAGAAGAGTCGCATGAATCTCAATATTGGTTGACGGCTTAGAAGGATCATATTCATTTAGCAATTCGGGTAGGTTTGCCCAGACCGCAAACAACAAGCGATTCCCATCGCCAATTAGATCAGTATTTGGCAATACTGCTAGTCTTCTCAGCATCCGGAGTGTTTCGTGTAAGGACTCTGACGATTTCAATCCCTTATAGACCAGGTCCTGAATTCCGCAGAATTCCCCCTCCCACTTCGGCGGCTTGCTTTCTAAAAGTTTGGCAGCCACGCCCTCGTCAGAAAGATCTATTTTATCCAAGTACTTTTCAAGCATAGCAAGACTTTCCATAAATTCACGTTCATGGATTGTGTTAAGGCAAGCACAGGTGGTCCAAAACAGCTGAGGGTATCGTAAGAGGTCTTGTGGGGCAAGGGAGCTGATAATGACTTTCAATGTGGTCAATATTTCCATTGAGAAGGTCTGGTAGTCCGTTTCTTCCTCGGCAATGGTATTCGATAGCCGTGCAAGCATATCGGCAAGCATCCGAGAATCAAGAGACGTAGATATGCATCTGAATACTTGAAACGACCGACAGGCGAGATGTCTAACGGGACAAGAAGTGGCCCAGTTCAACGCTTCTCTAGACCAGTGGTCATTTACCCCTTCGTAAACAGCGGTAAATATTCTAGCTACGCTGTGGGCAACATGATGCATAGACGACGGCACCCTTGTGCCTGCTGCTTTCTCGTCTTTTCCATTGTTGTCCTCATACTCCCATACCACCGTAGAATCACTTTGTCTGATGCATTCCACGAAATCCTCGATTGATTGACGTTGGGCACCTTCGACCTCATTTTCCAGTTTCGATGCGACAAGCTCATGAATTAGATGAACCAGCATTTCGCGAGCTTGCTCTCTAACGGTCAAGGTATAGTGATCCCAAAATATAAGTGCAACATGGATTAGTTTGATGACACTCTCGAATCCGATGCTCACTGGCGCAACCATCAAGTCGACAAGGAATATCATGGACACCTGTCCCAAAGATAAGCCAACTTGCTTGTTCCCGACGGGTAAAATGGTACCTAGGTCCGCAACGTATGGCAGGCTTGACAGATCAGACGGAGCGGGAAGCGGCTCACGCCGTTCGTGTACCATATTCTTGGGTACGACTTGAAGCAAGAAGAACTCGATCACCTTGGAACCGGCTGGAGTCGAGGCTAGGAAAACAACTATTTGTTTAGCATAATCGACGAAGTTTTGTTCCCTCCTCTCTAGGCAAAGGTTGATTATAAAGTCAAGAACCAGCTGTACATTGCCAGCATGAGGGCCAGTTGCAAGAGCTTGCCAAAGAGCCTGAACCTCGTTTGGTAGCACAGTCCCAGACCGAATGGTGATTTCAAAAAGGTTAGATAGCAACATGTATGATCTTGAAGTCGGACCACCATTCGGATCTAGTTGAAGCTCGATCGCCTGGATCCAAGGGAGAATTGCAGCAACCATATTACGCTGTGTATCCGGTTGGATGTTTTTGAAGTGTAAAGAGAACTCTGAAAAGATGATGAATGCCAAATCAGCATGTTGCTGTGCAAGTCGTTTCGAAGTCTCGAATTGAGCAAGCTTATAAACAGCAGTAGTCCTGTCAGAGATACTAATATCGAAATCCTGTAATCTCGAGTTTTTCTGTTCTCGCTCTTCAATTGTTCTCAGTAAGCGAGCGGATTTCATGCGGATCTCCCTTTTAGAGTTCCCGAGAGTGAACAAGACGGCACCTAGGATACGCCAGAATGCAACGGGGTAGTCGCTTTCCTCCACAACAACTTGGGAAAAAACTTCAAAGTAGCTTTCGAGAGCCTTGGGTCGCTCCGATAGGTAACACATCTCGATACATTGCTCAAGTAAGTACGGGAGAGTTTTGTTGTGAACGATCAGATTCTTCAATGCTCGTCGACCAATGGTATGTAACTTGTCGCTTTCAGTGTTGAGAATGATGTCGATCCACGAAAGCATACGCCTAATATCGAACTGGAGAATGGCTCCGCTTTCTGTTGAAATGCGTATCGGGCCTCCGCAGAGAGACGCCATGGCACTCAGAGCAGCGGTACGTAGGTTTCTTTTCTCGATCTCCATTGCAGCAGTGCTACGAACCTCCCCATTCTCCCTCTGCCTTGCAATGGTAAGCTTCCGCATGTTTTCCTCTCGAGCCGCTATTTGGCTCTGATTAGGAGAGTAGCCACACCAGTCTTCCATGAGGGAGAAGGCAGATTTCCTGGATTCAAATGGCATCCATCGAGTAGGTTCTTTTGACCGTTTAATACCGTCGAACAGCTGTTCAAGTAGTCCGCAGAAATGAAATCGAAGATTTTGGAACTCCAAATCATTTTGCACTTCCACATCACTAAGGAATATCCGAAGGTCTCGGGTATATGTCACCATGTTATTAAGTATCCAGTCGTCATTGGATACTTCCGGCTCCTTAAGGAAATGAGAAGTCGCTTTATACACATTAGTAACTTCCGTCCTGAGTAGATCTGTACGTCTGTTCCGTCTTGGTGTGCTTGGGGTGCGAAGGTGCGTCCCGATGCGAACTTTAGCCTCTTCCTTGCAGGTAGTTACAGCATATTGCAACGATTCCAGGAGGGTTCGGTACAACGCAATGTTGATAGAGCCTAGGGCAACAACAATGGCACTTCTGATGGAATCATGGGGGGCAGAGAGAAGCGGAATCACGAATGCGAAAAGTGACCTTGCCGAGTTAATCTTATCCTGACTTTGTTGTCCAGACTTGGACGCCTTCCGAGCGTGTTGTGCATTTGCCAGCTGGCTTTGAGACTGCGCACCAGCACTGTTCAACGTAGTGCAAGCCATGATAAGATACAGTTTCCACTGCTCGATCATGACTTCAGGTGACGTTCCGTTTCGTAAAATAATCGGACGCGTGGGAATATGGTCAGGAGAACTTATTTGTATAGGTGGGGGCCCTTCAGCTATATGTGTGATTTGTTTGTGCATGTGAACCAATCTGGCACAAACGATTTCACGCCCAAGAGTGACGGCAAATGGACAAGTATCGAAACTGATACGAATGAGATTGGGAAACACTTTAGCCCACAAAGTGGAGTCGTATGACACTTCGCTACTGCACAGCTCAATAAGGGTGTTGTGCGCTGTATTTTCTTGTCTGCCCTTTTGGAGCCTGCTTCTTTCAGCAACGGTCAGGGACTCATCCTTCAAGTCTAGGACTCGTCGTGAATCCCCTTCCATTATGCGGATAATCCGGGTATTGCTCTTTCCTAGTGCCGTGTCGAATTCCGTCACAAGGCGAAGAACGGTGATAGCAAATGCCCGAACAATCCTAGACTGAGAACATAAGAAGAATAGCCCATGGGATTCGATCTCCTCCACATGAGCAAGGACGCCAGAGAGGTCGAGCTGAAGTCCTCGGGTACCTGTACCAGCCTTCTCAGCCGCATCAAAGGTGGCATCTTTGGTTTTCTGCCTAATTTCCTCGATCCATATCTGTATAAGTTGAACGTATAATTGTAATGTTGATTCAATATGGCCGGGGCCCAGCATGCCCTCATCGGACATAGTCGAATACCTGGCATCAAAATTGAATATGAACCGAGCAAATCCAATAGCAACATGCTGAGCATATGATTGGCGAGCAATCGACTTGAGTGATTCTGCAGACGATGCCGCAATATTAGACTGTACGTGTGCAGTTCCCGTGCAAAGTAGGTTAATAAGAGAGTTGAACGGTATATGGTCCGAAAGGCAGCGGGGAAGTGCCTGAACAGCAACATGTAGAAGATCGTAAAAGCCTTGCTTTTGGTCAGGAGTGCTCGCATGGTCATCGCGTCGTCCGAAGGTGAAATGTTCTGTTATGGGAGTTTTGGGCGTAACTCCGCCGAATTTTTCATCAAGAGCTGCTTGTCCCCCAAACGTGTTGTCACATAATATTGTGATCTTTCCTAATATTTCACAGAAACGTAGGTAGTATTTTCGTGTACTATCATTCAACTTTGATGGATTAAATGGGATCGGAGACGGTTGAGATTTAGGGGTTGATGGTGTGGTATATTGTGGCTCGGGGATAGACGCATGAGGAGCGAAAGGGGAGATGGGGGTTTGCTCCGTGATTGCAAATTCTTGGGGGAAAGGAGGAGGTGTTCCTCCACCGTTTTCGATATCCGCCATGATCGCCAGGAATGAACGGATGCCGATGACCATCTTTTCTGGTTCCATATGCTCGATTTTCAAGTCTTTGCCGGATGCAAATAGATCAGAATTGACTAGAGGGAATATGATGGAACGAAAACACATCTCTGGATGCTTGAATCCAATCATGCGTACCAACTGGGTGATTGGTTCTGCAACTGTAGGCTCAGTGGTGAGATAGGTTCGTCTCCCACCAGGAAGAACAATTCGAATAACCTCTTCCGTTTTACGGAGAGGATTGCTTAGTGGATCAGCATAGCGATACAAGTAAGTCCAGAGTAATCTGCATATGGCCTGAAGTGCAGCTGCTCTAGTGGGACGCTCTTTCAGCTTTGGCGAAAGAGCATTCACAGTGGGCATCCATTGAGAGAGGAATGTGTCTCGAGGTGATACACATAGGAGGAGAATATGAAGAGGAAAAGCGCTATTCCAATGTCGAGGTTTGATGAGAACTTGAGATAGACGAGGCACAAGAATCTCTAGGAATTCCTTCCATTTGGGCGAGGACAGGTCACAACTAGGATTGGCGGCGATAGGAAGCAGAAAAGTCTCGAGTATCTGACAGTATGCTTGTTTCAGCCGTTGGCCGTGTGCGTCACTGAACAGCCTAGCAAGTGATTGCAAAAAATCACATGTCTTTGCCCATCTCTCATCAGGGTAAACTCGAAGCCGAAGGTGTCGCATTCCGTAAATTAATAACTCGGCTCTAGTCTCAGCCTCCTTGGTAGCGGGTATCCGTCCCTCCTCTCGTTGGTATTGAGCCAGTTCGGTAAGGTACTGGTTGGAAACACTGGAGAAGTTGTTTTCACTCATGATACCGAGTAATTGCCCATAGATGCGCCAGTTAGCCATTCTTAGCGGTGATGCAGCAATTTGTTCCGGATCAACCGCCTTCAGCTGTCCAAACACAATGTCCTCCAGCCGGCTGGCCATTTCCTGTGTAATCGCATTGATAGAACTTTGATTGAATATTTCAATAAGGACTCGGCAGACAAGATAGACGGAGACCGTTGCTCGTCGTTCGGTCATGAGTATGTCTTCCTGTCGGTTAATGATAGGAATGGATGGAGGTGGGGACCCAGCGTCTGGTGCGTCTACTCCAGGCTGTGGAGGTTCTGTGTTGCGCCGGATTATGGTCGCCGATATTTGTGGTGGAGGTTTAGGCTTAATAGCAACGTTAGCAGCGGCCATATCAAGCTTCGATGTTGGGATAGCACATACCTGAACCCAGCCTTGCTTTGCGGTAGCCGCAGCATCACCTTTTGACTTTCTCCATACCATGATCGTGTCGATAAGCGGTTTTGGTTTCTGCTTCGCAATATGACCGAGAGCAGCTATAAGTTGATCAAAGGTTGGGTCCGCACCAGGACCGCATACCTGTTCTACAGGCGCCTCAAACTCCCCTAAGCTCATGATACATTTGTTGATCTTTTCCTCCGCTTGGCCCACGAACTATATATATAGTCAGTATTGTTTGTGAAGGGAAACAGGTAGATTACAGCGTGACGAACCGAATTAAAAAGGTGATGGAGAGCATACTCTCCCACTGTCTTTGCTTCCTGGTTGGTATGACCAGACCGAGTTTTCGAGTGAGAGTTTTCCCTCCGTAGTTTACCCGTTGTAACAGCTCGACGATGGGAGTGTTGGCGTTCCAAGCCATCTTGCCTCACGGTATCCTGTATCAACGACAAAGGGGAGGCCTGAAGAATATTCCCCACGCCGCCGGCAGAGGATACAAAGTTGGAAGATGAGTAGTCTCCATTCTCTCGAGAACCGCCGTTCAGCTTAGATTCGTTCAGAGACGGCGTGAGTCCAGCTGCCGAGATCATCTCGGGACTGAGAGGGCTAGAGGTGACTTGCGAATTGGCAAAACTAGGTCCTCTCGAGTGCTGAATGTTGCCGTGGACGATAGAGGCCTGACGGTGATGGCCGTACGAGTTCGACGGCCGTCTCTCTAGGCCTTCAGTGCTGTCAGACGCAACGCCGACGGACCGTTCTCGCTCGCTCGACGGCTCCGGGCTCTTCGAGTGAGACTGGTTGCGTAGCTGGGGATGTGGTTGGAGAGAAGAAGCAAGGCCAAATCCAGTTGCCGAAGTCGCATCTCCCGCCCGGCCTCGAGCACTAGAAACATCTCGACTGTGTGGCGTCGACGAAGGTGGGTTTCTCGTGGCAGCAGAAATGCCAGAAGCACCAGCGGCAGGAGGAGCAGATGCAGAAGCGGCTCTGTCTGAGGGAGAATGGATGGCAGGCGTGTGCGCCGCCGGTCCTGATCCTGCTGTTGCGGTTGCTGCTGCTGCTCCTGGTGCTGCCACTGCCGCTGTCAACTCGTCAGGGGTCGAACTACTACTACTGAGAGCCAGGGACTGGCCTTGACCCGGCGGGGCCTGTCGCATCGGGTGTGGACTAGCTGCAACAGCTGGTGAGTGAGATGATGTCAAGCGCGTTTCACCCAACCAGAGGCCCGAGGGCGAACAAGACGAGAAGAACAACGCAGTAGACAGGGAACAACAGGGCAATACATGGCGCAGGCCAATGGCCATTGAAGGAGGCAGAGAAGACAGAGCGAGCGAAGGGGCTTACTTACGAGTCTGCTGCATGATTGCTCAAGGGGGCCCAAGCAGATGGGTGGTTATCAGCTTAGCTATGCAGTGGCCGTCTTGCTCCCCGCATTCTCCTGCTATCCATTGGCCATGCTCGGGGCAGAAGGTCGACACTACGCTGAGGAGGCTCCGAGAGAGCGCACAAGAAGCTGAGCAGGCGTGTCTCTGGTCATGGTTGAGCGGTGTCGTGGATAGCTGTTCGAGGTTGGCTGTCGATGGGAAGTTCAGGAGTTGAAGTTGCGAGGCCGAAGGGTCGTGGGTGGTCGATGGGTGACTAATCAGGACGTCAACGCTTCTCCAACGACTACAATCTACAACGACAACGACATACAGGATGGCTGCAGACGATGCGAATCTCCCGTTGACTATACGAGCACGCTGGAAAGAGAGAGCTGTGGTTGATAGGTACGGAGTGAGCGCGGTAAGCAGGGATACTCCGGCCTTGCCTGTGGTTGCGGTAGCTGAGATGCTTGCATGGCGCGGGTGGCTTATGGGCATGGGCTTATACACATTATCTGCAGGTCAGGACGATGATTATCAAGCCAACGCCATTGTTACTGGCCATTTGAACGGATGCGAGGCGACAGGCAGATGCAGGAGACAGCAGTAAGCAGGCTATGGTTCAATATAGCCCCGTCGCCTGGCTGACCGAGGACTCTGGAAAGCTCAACGGGTTTGATTTGCATCAGCCAAAAAAATCTACGAGAATACAAGGAAGGCTCGGATCCCAGGCCAGAGCCCGAAGAGCAGAGCCTTGGGATTGAAGATCGATGCTCCGGCAAGGCTAGGGGATATTTTGTACGAGGGGAGGTCTAAGTACAGAACCCCTGAGCAACTGTATCCGTTCCCAGGGCGTAGGCTGACCTTCTCCCCCCTGACCTCTGCCATCCCATCCCTCATTGTTGTCCAGTATTATTCCAGTATTATTATTCTTCCCGTCCCCTGCTTTCCTTCCACCATTTCACGGCTTACATAACTTGTGGACCACAGAGATAGTTTTCGTGGCGCGGAATCACACAAAGAGAAGCAAGCAACAAGTGAGGAGGGCGGAATCACAGGCCAAGTGGTTTGCCCGGTGCCCGAGGAAAAAGAAGGCAGATATTTACCGGCAGGGAACAGCGTAAAAAAAAGAAGATTTAGCAAGAGGATACTAAGAGACTTAAACAAAGTAAAGCGACCTGTTCAGCCTTTGGCCATCCCACAGGGAAAAAATCACCCCAGCACGGCTAAAAAGAACTAAGCGGCCGCCGAACGAAACTTTCAGCCGGAGAATCAGATAATTCGAGCAATAACTAATCACCCCATATATTCTTTTTGAGCCGGCGCAAGATCCAGAAAAGAGGACGTGCCCCTCCTGACTTTGTTGGACTGGCAGCGTCAACGGACACGTATGTCGGATCGACTTTGATAAAGGGAAATCGAAAATTGAGACCAGCTTTTGTGTGCGTATTCCGAGCCCCTGAGCCTTTGCATTTAGGCAATAGCAAGGCTACAGCAGACCTGCTCACATATTTTTCCTGCCTGCTTCCGCATATAGCTCGTCGAAATAGCCGTTGGCCTCCAGGCAAAATGGCGCAGGTTGATACTCTGGACATGCTTGTCCTGGCGGTCATACTCGTCGGGACGATAGCATACTTCACGAAGGGCAAATACTGGGCCGTCGTAAAGGACCCCTATGCCTCCTCCTACGCCGCAACAAACAGCGCAAAGCAAGGTCAGACCCGGAATATCGTCGAGAAGCTCGAGGAAACCGGCAAGAACTGTGTCATCTTCTATGGCTCGCAGACCGGTACTGCCGAAGACTATGCCTCCAGGCTGGCGAAGGAGGGATCCCAGCGATTCGGCCTCAAGACCATGGTTGCCGATCTGGAAGACTATGACTATGCCTGCCTCGATAAATTCCCCGAAGACAAGGTTGCCTTCTTCGTCCTGGCTACCTACGGTGAGGGTGAACCGACAGATAACGCGGTTGAGTTCTTCCAGTTCATCACCGGTGACGATGCCAGCTTTGAAGATGGCGGGTCGCCGGAAGACCAGCCGCTCTCCAAGATGCGATATGTTGCGTTTGGCCTCGGGAACAACACCTACGAACACTACAACGCCATGGTTAGAATTGTGGATAAGGCTCTGACCAAGTGTGGTGCTAAGAGAATCGGTGATGCTGGAGAAGGTGATGACGGTGCTGGAACCATGGAAGAGGACTATCTCGCCTGGAAGGAACCCATGTGGAAGGCTCTGGCTGAAGAGATGGGCCTTGAAGAGAGAGAGGCTATCTACGAACCTACCTTCAGCGTCATTGAAGAAGCGGACTTGAACACCGAATCGGAGAATGTCTATCTCGGCGAGCCAAACGCTTCTCACCTCAAGAGTCGAGGCCAGGGACCTTACAACGCTCATAACCCATTCCTCTCACCCATTGTCGAGTCTCGCGAACTGTTCTCCGTCAAAGACCGTAACTGCCTGCACATGGAATTCGACATCAAGGGAAGCCAGCTCAATTACCAGACCGGTGACCACATCGCTATCTGGCCCACCAATGCCGGCCAGGAAGTCGACCGTTTCCTCAAGGTGTTTGGTCTGGAAGAAAAGCGCCATACTGTCATCCGTGTTAAGCCTATTGATGTCACTGCCAAAGTCCCGTTCCCCCAGCCAACCACCTATGACTCCGTGGTCAGATACTACATTGAAACCTGCGGCCCCGTATCGCGACAGTTCATCTCCCAGCTCGCTGCATTCGCTCCGGATGAAGAGACCAAGAAGAAGATGATTCGCATTGGCGAAGATAAAGACGTTTTCTCAGACAAGGTGTCTGCCTTCTACTTCAACATTGCCCAGGCTCTGCAATCCTTCACCGATAAGCCCTTTACCGCCGTTCCGTTCTCCCTGCTTATCGAAGGCATCCCCAAGATCCAGCCAAGATACTACTCCATTTCTTCATCGTCTATAGTCCAGAAGGAAAAGATCAGCATCACTGCTGTTGTCGAATCATTACGTGTCCCCGGTGCCGGCCATGTTGTCAAGGGTGTAACAACCAACTATCTTCTTGCTTTGAAACAGAAACAGCATGGCGAGCCCAACCCAGATCCATTCGGCCTGACCTATGCCATTTCTGGGCCACGCAACAAATACGATGGCTTCCATGTCCCTGTCCATGTGCGTCACTCCAACTTCAAGCTTCCGTCTGATCCTTCGAAGCCAATCATCATGGTTGGTCCTGGTACCGGTGTCGCTCCATTCCGTGGTTTCATCCAGGAACGAGTCCACCAGGCTGAAAAGGGCGAGACCGTCGGTCCTACTATCCTTTTCTACGGCTGCCGTAAGAGCACAGAGGATTTCCTTTACAAGGAAGAGTTCGAGGTTGGTTCTTTTTTTTTTTTTTTTTTTTTATTCAAAGTGAGCTCCCGTGTCTCAATGAGCTTCTAACAATATAATAGGAGGTGTCCAAGAAACTCGGTGATTCCTTCAAGCTTATCACTGCTTTCTCTCGTGAGACTTCTCAGAAAGTATATGTCCAACACCGTCTTAAGGAACACGCCGAGCTAGTCAGCGACCTTCTCTCCAAGAAGGCAAACTTCTATGTCTGCGGAGATGCAGCCAACATGGCTCGAGAAGTCAACGTTGTCCTAGGTCAGATACTCGCTGAGCAACGAGGCCTGAAACCCGAGAAGGGTGAGGAACTCGTCAAGCATATGCGAAACACCGGCTCGTACCAGGAGGATGTCTGGTCGTGAGCATTATTTAACCGCCACTATCTACCTCATCTTCTTATCTTTTTGCCGCCACCCACTAACCGACTTGCATATTCCATATTTCCGTTCCTTCATCATGCTCGGATGGGCAGATTAATACCTCCAGATGTCAGGAAAGAAAATTATAAAAAAAAGATAAGAGAAAAAAAGGAACAGGGAAGGTCTATCTCATAGAATTTGCGACTTAGGTTCTTGCTGGAGTCTGTCTGGACTGTTGATTTTCTTCCCGCCCGGTCTTCCGAGCAAACGGCCTGTTTTCATCCTCTCTTCTCATTCTTTGCTTCGCTGTCTACTATCCCCTAAGTTGCTAATATTTGCTTTCTTTATTGATGCTTGACTTTGGATAGATCGTTTTCCTCTCCTTTCCTCTCCTTCCTCCCCCCCTTTTTTTACGATTTACTAGACTATTAGTTCATGAGTGACGACAGAGAAGCATATACAGACAGGACTATATATCATCTTTTCATAAATAGCTTTCTCAGAGTAGGGGTTATGCTTTGAAACTCATAATACTGAGGCAGGCTGGCCGAGCATACATCAGATGACGTTCTTTGATATATCGATTATTACCCCTTGACTGGCTCTTGGCCTTCCTCAACGCATGTTAACTAGTCCTTGAGAAGGCAATATCTCAACTACTGATGAAGCCATTCAATATGATGCCTTGTCTGCCAGCAAAAATTTGGCTGACTAACTAACTCAAGCTCGCCAAGGCGGAATTCTCCGTCTTACGCGGAATACATCTCAGCCTCTTGTTTTCCTTCATTTCCTATGTTTCTTCTCCTTTTCCGTCTGTTATTATTGATTTCTGTTCTGGTGTCCGAGTGAAACCGGCTGATATATATGGTAGGCGTGTTGATAATTTACTGTTCCAGCCCAAGATTCAGCCTTTGGTAACTCATCAAAGAGTTGACTTAGCTCAACACTAACCGAGATACTGAGCTATCCTCGCATACCCATCACTAGAGGTCGTTATCAAAATACATGCATACCAACAAAGAGTCCGGCGGCAGAGCTGCTCTCCTGGAACCGCAGATAGCATACCCCAGATTATGTAAACACTTAGCAACGACTAACTATATATAAATGTCAACAATGTTTTCTCCTGCTTGTCCCTTTATCTAGCCTGCTTTTAACATTGCCCTGTGCACTTGATATACCCTAGATACCACTACAATGACATTGGGCTGTCCTGGCCTCCAATACCATCCTATTGAAATGGAACAGCAACAGAGTATCTGGTCTCTTTATCCAGGCCTATTCTTCCCTCTATTCAGGCACCTTCTGGCTGTCCTGCCAGCAGAGATGCATCTACTATGCGGCGTCCACTTCGACGATACAGTCACTATCAGACTGCTTCCGTCTGATCTCACAGTCACTGCCAGCTCATGTATATATAGGCCCTCCAGCCTCCTTTCTTCTTCTTTTCTTTTCTTCTCTTCACCATCACAATCTTCTTCTTCACCTTCGTCATCATCCTTTGCTTCTTCATCTTCTGCTTCTTCGCCTTCAACTTCGACTTCTCAGGCGTAAAAAGCGCTTTCTCCTCCGCTGACGTCCAGGTTTCCTCTTTCGGCCATCCCGGGCTGCCTGCCTTCCTCCGCCTTGCCTGCCCCTCCTTTCGACTGACGTCCGCATAGCCTTTCTCTCCCCCTTCGCGCCCTTTTTTCTCCCCGTCGTCAGCTTCATCTTCTTTTCATCTTCTCTTCATCTGCTTCCATCGTCTTCTGCATCTCGAGTTATCACCAGCATCAAGTTCTCCGTTGCTAGTCTTCGTCGTCCGTATCTCAGAGGCTTCTCTTGTTATTCTCCTGCTTTAGTTCCCCAGACAACCGCTGTTTTTGCAGTCAGGACCGCCCTTTTTGCGTCCTTGATATCCTCTGTGTCCCTCGTTCCATCTTCTTACCACCCCCCGAATCCATCATCTTTGCCGTCAAGCAGCTCTTGTGTACGTACGGTTTTGTATCTATTCAGCTCACATGTATCCTCATAGGAATTTCAACGCTGACATGAAGGCCGTGGGCGGTTTTAGCGGCTATCCTGCTGTGTACAAGCCGGGTAGACGTCAAGCATATCCCCAAGCTAGAGTAAGTCTACTCACCTGTCCTGACTTTTGCTGTACATCATATACGCTCTTTCTGGGGTTTCTGCATATTTCAATTCCGTATTAAGCATTATTGATGCTAACATGGCAACTCTGTATAGACTTACTGGAGACCAGCCATGCAGGTTAAGTCTCAGGCTGAAGCTACGGCTCCGCAGTGCCAGGGAGCTGGCTACATGCAAGAAAACCAGCCTCACCACCCGTATGTTGGTCAGCAGACCTATGGTCCACCAGCTGGAGTTGCCAACAACCCTAGCAATGTTAATGGAAGCGTTTTGGCCCATCCTTTCAACAAGATGTCTCTTCAGAGCCAGCCAAACGGCTCCAAGCCCTTCCCTGTCAAAGGTGGTATGCCAATTCCCAATGTTGATATGTCTGGTATGCAGCATTATGGGCAGTACATGATGGCCCCCAATGGGCCCATGTTTGGTGGCTACCCTCCAGCACCGCAGTTTGGACAGTTCCCGATGCGTGCTACTGATCAAGGTAGCTCTCTCCAATGTATTCCTCCTAATTTTTACCCCGGCTTTCCTACCAACCCTCCCTTTACTCCGGATTGTGTATCTGGGTACCCCTGGCCGTATTATCCAAATGGTGATTTTCCAAACCACGGGAATATTCCCCTTGATCCACGGACCTCTGTTGACGAAGTGAATACAGGCAGCCCTAATATGGGTCTATCTGGGCCACCACAGGATTATTACCCTGGTGCTGCTCCAGTTGACCGCTCTTCCGCACCGGGTTATATGTATAACAACCCTACACCTCAGCAGCTTCTTCCCTACCAAATGATGAAGACTGGTTCTGGCTATGTCCTCCAGGACCTGGATGCTCTACTCAAACAGGAGCCTCCTATCCCACGTGCTGTCCCCGCTATGTGGACTAACCCTTCCGACCTAACTCTTGCAAAGTGCCTTGAGAACCGTGAAGGTATTACTAATGTCTACATCCGTGGGTTCCTCCCGGAGACCACAGATGAAATGTTGCAAAACTATGCCTCACGTTTTGGCAAGATTGACAGATGCAAAGCGATCATTGATTTGGAGACCGGATTGTGCAAAGGGTATAGTTTGATATCTTTTGTCTCTGTTACACATTTACTAATTGTTATTAGGTTTGGCTTTGTCCAATTCTTTAGCTTCGATGCCTGCGAGAATTGCATTCGAGGATTCTTCCACCTTGGCTACCAGGCTAGCTTTGCACAGGTAAAGGACTTGAGCCTCGAAGCATTCTGAGCTTATCTTTTTAGCTGACTTTCTCTAGAAATCTCGCAACTCCCGCCTTAAGGACCTGGAAGACAAGAATTCCACAAACGTTTATTGCACTAATGTTCCCATTGACTGGGCCGAGGCAGTATGTAGAATCTCATTGTTTGATCTCTACACCAAGCACATTCTAATGTTAGTGGTCTAGGACCTTCGCCGTCACTTTGAACCTTACCAAGTCGTATCTGAGAAAATCAGCCGAGATGAAAAGACTGGAGTTAGCAAGGAAGTTGGCTTCGCTAGGTTTGTCATTGTTCTCAGATCTCTTCCAAGTCGGCTAAGTTACTGACTGTAAGCTCTAGATTCGAGACTCGCGAAATTGCTGAAAAGGTCGTTCAACAATTCCATAACGTTGTTGGAAAGGACGGAGTAAAGCTCCTCCTGCGCTTTGCAGATACCAAGGCTCAAAAACAGCTCAAACATCAAAGCAATGAGCGTCGAGCTTACCGTGCTGGAGAATATAACTACTCAGTTGAGCTTGTTAATAGTGCTACTCCATCTCCAAGCCTCCATCGTCTACAGCAAGCCGCCTCTCATTTTAGCCCAACTTCTCAAAATAGCTACCCCTCTCCAATTGGAGGTGTCGGACAAGTTTGGACTCCTGCAACGTCTATTTCTCCACCGTATGAATTCTCCACCCCCTTGCTACAGCTTGATATATACTAATGCCACTAGAAGCGGTCCCATGATGAACAAATCTATGAACGGGATCCGAGCCGGCTCATGGGCATCCCGACGACCTCAACTTAATGCTGAGACTACTCCGAGCGCTCGTGGAAGATTCACAGTCCATAGAAGCCCTTTGGCGGATGATCTCTCTAGCTCATCTTCGACTACCGTCCTACCACTTCCACACATGAGTGGAAGTAAATCTGAGAATTCTAGCCCCATGAAATCGAGAGCCGCAAAGACGAGCATCATGTCGCCAATCCCCTCTCGGAAGGATATCATTGTTTCAACTCCACGATCATCCTGCTAAAGCCCCCAAGCCTAGCTACAAAGATGAAACATTATTCTTTGCATGCTGGATCACAGGACTGAAGAGCATACCAATATCTGATCCCCTTTTTATGACTTTATGACACATTGATTTGATTTTCATTTTATTCACAGTATCGGGACGGTGAGGCATTCTGTATCGGAACTGATCTGTTTTCTTTTTCTCTTTGATTTTATTCGCCTTGATTGACAAATTTCACCGGCCAAGTACATGTACCTGCATGTATTATGGGAATGTCACTCATGTCTACTCTCATTCATACTTATGAGATATCAACGTGGTCATACAGGTTATGGATGGTTGCCAGGAACTTGTGGGCAGATAGTATTTTTTAGCTAGCCTTTACACGTTACGCTTTTTAACGCAGTTATTTGAATGCCGTCATCCCCAGTTATACCACTCAAAACCCACCGTAGATTGGTACAATATCGTGAGATAGTCACCAACAATCAAGAAAGCATTTCTCTGCCTTGCTTTTCAAATGCGAAGAAACGTAAACGTACTTATTTTGGTCGTAGGCAAGCGTATCTCCTTAATTTTAGGTATATATTAATCGCCCACCAACCTCTATTTTTCCACTTTTCGATAATGCACTTTCTGTAGTTCTGGAGACTAGATATCTAAAAGTTAGGGAAAGGAAAAAAAAAAAGACAAAGTTAGTCCCTCCCCAGACGCTCCTCTTCATCCTCTATTAACTCGTAGGCAGGTTTATAAGTAACAACATGATTATTCAATCCACCATTCTCAACTGTCCCCTCTACCTTCAATTTCGGGTTTGGATGGGTATCATTGGTTCCTCCTAAGCTGGTATATCCCTGGTCATAAAGCGGGCAATAGTCTATTCCCAAATGTTTGATGAACGCCCAAATCTCCACATAATGCCAATCAATTATAGGATGAATGCGCATGAAATCCGGCCATCCGTGATCCGTACGATCGAAATGCGTTAGTTTGCTGCCATGGGGATCGGTGCGGCGTGTTCCGACAAATATAGCTCGTACCTGTGGATTGGAAGACAGGTACTCCGCAAACGTCGAGCGGATGGTTGAATGTGGAGGATCAGTTGAATGACGGGTTAACTTGAGGTGGTAAGCCTGGGACGATTGTGTGACAAATTGTTCGACCGAAGGAAATGGGTGCCTAGGCTGTGCGTATATTGCCGGTATATATGTTGGGTGAGAAGGAGGGCTGTTGCTGCTATGAGATTGGTTGCTGGCGATGGAGGAGGAGCACGATGGACTGGTCGAAGCACAGTGCCGATGTAGGCTTGCGAGGAAGAGAAGGAGGAGAACAAGACAGTCCTTGCCGCCGTTATAGGAGATGGAGAGTTCGTGGATGGGGTATCGTGTTAGGGATTCTCGGATGACGTCTAGAGAGATACGGGTTTGTTGCTGGACACGGTAGAGTAAGGAAGAAGGGTCATGATCCTCGGCAAGGAATGCGGTTATTTGGCTGTGTAGATTGCGAGTCACTGTTGACAAAGGCGGCAGAGTCGGCGGTTCGAGTATGTCAGTCGTTTCTTTTGACAGCTGTTCGGCGCCATGTAGGGCTGTTTCCGTTAAAGATTTGTCCACGCCGTTCGCCTGGCTGATGCCGTTTGGGTCTGTCATTGCAGATCCGACGGTATATTATGTAGTGGGTGTATCGATTGAAGTGGGATGCGGTATCCCCCGCCGATGAAGGCAGCTTGCAGTTTGTCTCTTTCTCGCGATTCCAGCTGGATGTTGTGATGTGTATGCGACGCCTGCACGGCTGTGGAAGAGAGATATGGTCTGATTAAGATCCTTCCGAGGATAAGTACTTACGCTGCGCAGGCTGAATACGGGGTGTCTGTCAGCTGTGGGCCATACGGAGGATTTTGTTTTTATTGCGTTGCAGCCCCCTTCTCAATGCCCTCGACCAGTGGCAGACGTCGGTTGATATCCCTTATATATAAGGATTCGGCGCCGTAATAGCAAGAAATTTTCGATTTGACTGCCTTTCACTGCTGCCGCTGCCGCAGAAACTAATGCACGAAGGTTAGAGTATTCCGGCGTTGCACACCGTGGCAAAGATAAGGCTGAGTAAGCGGGGATGGCATTGCGGCGGCGGCTAGATAGCCGACCTTGTGCTATATATGCACGGGAAGGATATGCATACCAGGACGTAAGAACGTTGCGGTGACTCTAGTTCGTGTTGAACGGCGCATGCTGATGTAGAATTATACCATTACATCTCTGGACATCAATATTTTGGACATACATATCCAACGGAGTAGGACCCGCTGAATAGACTCATCTATAGATCTCCAATAGCCAGTAGTAAAACAAGCCAGGTAATAGCCACATCAACAGTCAAGAATCTTCCAGGTGTCCTCATCTACCGTGTGGTATATCACACTGAGTCCCAGGAGCTCCTCGGCAGCTTTATAGACTTCATTTACGTTCACCTGCATTATCGGCGCCAGGACATTCACATGCATGCCCTCATTGGTCTGCTTGCTGTTGCTGAGAGCATCGTATAGTTTTCGTGCCATCGGTGACATTCGCGGTAGGGAGAGATTGCTGCCACCCATATCCATCGCACCACCCCCGGTTCCGGCTCCCACTCCAGAAGCACCACCTGCCTTCGGTGGCGGGCCCTTGGTAAAATAGAGATGTACTGCTGTGGCCTCAAGGAAATGAACATGGTACTCGTTAATATTCGTTATGGGCCTGATTAACACCGCGTTAACCTGCCGCCGGTCATTAAATGTTTTAACATTGGCAAACACCTTTGCGTATCCGTTTGTTGTTATCTGGTGGGCTCTCGGTCGTCCAGACTTGTTTGTCACAGCAGCTGGACCAGCATTGCTACCCCCACCATCCATAGCCATGACATCCATGGCTTCAAGCTCATCGAACGCTTCTTTTTCTTCAGGAGGGATGAAATATTTCACATCTGTCTCTCCAGTGCCGTCGTCTAGCTTGTACGTGATGTGTGTGGCTAGTTTATTGACATTCCGAACTTGTCCCACAAAGGATACTTGATTGATATCGGCGTTATCTATTTTGAAGGGGGCTTCGGGGAATGCCTGGGTGGCATCGTTTAATTGTTTGATGGTCACTGGCCGAACTGATCTAGATTCACCGGAGTATGTCTATACCACCATCAGTCAGTCCATTTTTATATACAAGGCGGAGACAATTCCACTGCAGGTTCTCCATGCTGTGTACCTTTGACTGGCTGCTGCTGTCACCTTGTGCAAAACCACCCTCCCCCCCGCCATAGGGTGTTGAGCCGTACCCGTAATCTGTACGCGTTCGTTAGCTCTCTGAACAGGAGACGTATAGAATGAAACTCACCCATTACAGCTCTATTTATGCTAGGAGGCCGGCTATAATCAAGTAGCAGTGTTCTCCCGCACCGCAGCAGGTTGTCTTGCTCTCTATCTGCGTCTTAGTCTTCGTCGTTTTTAATTGAACTTCGCGTGTTTTTCACTTTTTGACGCGTCGAGGGGATATCACGTGGTCTTATTGCGGATAAAATAATATTCCTTTCCGAACCGTTTTCGGAATCCCAAACTTTAAAATATATCAAAAAGTTTACTTAAAAAAAATATTCAACTTTGATATTTGATAGTAAGACAGCTACGCCGACGTGACTCTACACACGGCCTAGAGCAATTATACATCTGGAAGCTCTAGTCTGTTTCCACTGTGTATGAATGGTACTCCTATACATCTAGCCAAGCATTTGGACACACTTTGAGGCTTCGATTATACCACAGATAACTTTGCCCACGATGCCTCAGCGGGCAGCCTCTCCGGCTCAGTCGGAGGCCGAGTTTGATTTGACAAAGAGTTTGTTTGCTGCAGATGATGACTCCGATACAGAGCTTCCTTCAAAGAAGCAAAAACAAAAGAAGAAGCCGGAAACACATGCACAGTCACTGGATATGATGGCGGAGCTAGAGGGCGAAGAGGACGACGATGGTGATGCTACATTCATTGCTACCGAGCAATCGTTGATGAACCGCAAAGCATCTGCCTTAAAAGGACGCACAGTAAAGAAAGGCGGTGGATTTCAGGCGATGGGCCTAAATCCTACCTTGTTGAAAGCTATCACACGAAAGGGATTCTCAGTTCCAACACCCATCCAGCGGAAAACGATACCACTATTACTGGATGATCAAGATGTTGTGGGTATGGCGCGCACTGGATCGGGGAAAACAGCTGCTTTTGTCATTCCCATGATTGAGAAGCTTAGGAATCACAGTACCAAAGTTGGCGCAAGAGGATTGATTCTATCACCGTCTCGAGAATTAGCATTGCAAACTTTAAAGGTTGTCAAGGAACTTGGCCGAGGGACCGATCTTAAATGCGTGCTTCTGGTTGGAGGTGACAGCCTTGAGGAACAGTTCGGATATATGGCCTCAAACCCTGACATTATCATTGCTACTCCTGGTCGATTCCTTCATCTCAAAGTAGAAATGAACCTGGATCTTTCCAGCATTCGGTATGCTGTATTTGATGAAGCCGATAGGTTATTTGAAATGGGTTTTGCGGCCCAGCTCACTGAAATTCTACATGCATTACCCACTTCTCGCCAAACACTCCTGTTTTCTGCAACTCTTCCAAAATCTTTGGTGGAATTTGCTCGCGCAGGCTTACAGGAACCAACCCTCATTCGCCTGGATGCAGACAGCAAAATATCTCCTGATCTTCAAAGTGCGTTTTTCACCGTAAAGTCTGCCGACAAGGAGGGCGCGTTGTTGCATATCCTACATGATCTCATCAAAATCCCTACTGGAGAGACTGAGGCTGGGAAGTTGGCAAAGAAAGAAGCCCAAGAGGGGAAACAAGGGACCTCGAAGAAACGAAAAAGGGTGGATATGAAAGGACCAGGCACACATGGTACTCCCACCGAGCATTCGACCATCGTGTTTGTGGCGACAAAACATCACGTTGAGTACATTGCCAATCTTCTTCGGCATTCTGGTTTTGCAGTCTCGTATGCATACGGTTCACTCAACCAAACAGCGCGCAAAATTCAAGTTCAGAACTTTCGAGCCGGGATATCCAATATATTGGTTGTAACCGACGTTGCGGCTAGAGGAATCGATATTCCTGTACTTGCAAATGTCATTAACTATGATTTCCCTTCTCAACCTAAAATATACATCCATCGTGTTGGACGCACAGCTAGAGCAGGCCAGAAGGGCTGGAGTTACAGCCTGGTACGTGATTCAGATGCACCATATTTGATTGATTTACAGCTATTTCTTGGACGACGACTTCTCATGGGCAGAACGGCTACGGAAAATGCCAACTATGCGGAAGACATTGTTGTTGGTAGTCTTCCGCGAAAGTCCCTTGAAAGCCACTGCGAGTACGTGGATAAGCTGTTAAGTGATGATATTGATATCGAAGGACTACGCTCAGTTTCTATTCGGGGTGAAAAACTCTACATGAGGACCCGAAATTCCGCTTCGGCTGAAAGTGCAAAGAGAGCAAAGGATATTGTCGCCGCCGATGCCTGGGTGACGATACACCCGTTGTTCAATGATGAATCGAGCAGATTAGAAGTTGAAAGGGAGCAAATGCTTGCCAGAGTCGGGGGATACAAACCGCAGGAAACCGTTTTCGAAGTCATGGGTAAACGGGGAGGGAAGAGTGGAAATGAGGAGGCGGTAGAGGTAATGCGCAAGATCCGCTCCGTCATGGAAAGGAAGAAGATACGGAGGGAGTTAGCGTCGCAGAACTTGCCGTTGCAAAACTCGAAGGAAGAGGAAATAGCTGACGACGCAGGTGAAAACCTGGGCGACATGTCAGACGAAGATATTGATGCCTCAATACAGGATGACCCGGATATGTCTCTTGCCGAAGAGTCAGATTTGGAAGTGACATTCTCATACCCAAAACAAAGCAAATCCCGTTCAAACGTCGAGAACGGCAATCAAAGCAACACTTTCCAGAACCCTGAATATTTCATGTCTTACACCCCAACATCTATCTCGCTTACAGAAGATCGCGGCTATGGAGTCCATAGCGGCTCAAATTCGAAGACCAATTTTGTTGAGGCTTCTCGATCTGCCACCATGGACCTTAACGGTGATGAAGGTGCTCGTGGCCTTGGCGGAGCAGGTTCAATTAAGCGTTGGGACAAACGGCATAAAAAATACGTCTTACGTCAAAACGACGAGGATGGCTCCAAGGGGGAGAAACTTGTGCGAGGCGAGAGTGGAGCGAAGATTGCTGCAAGCTTCCGCAGTGGCAGGTTCGACTCCTGGAAGAAGGGGAAGAGACTTGGCCGGATGCCTAGGGTGGGAGAGATGGAAAATTCCAATCTCGGTAATACCGGGGGTATTCCTGGAAGGAAATATAGGCATAACAAAGAGCAAGCTCCAAAGGCCGCGGACAAGTATCGTGGAGACTATGAGAAAATGAAGAAGAAGGGAGAGGCCATGCAAAAACGGCGGGAAGATGCAGGGATACCGACATACGGAGGCAAGAAGAATGTCAAAAGCGAACTCAAGAACTCCGAGGATGTACGGAAAGCCAGAAAACAGCTGGAAAAGAGGAGAGAGAAGAATGCTCGACCGTCGAAAAAAGGTAAAGGTCGATAGACATGAAGTCACAAGAAACACACCTATCGTGTTTTTAGAGGACATGGGATCTTCATTCCCAGCTATAATAGACAGTATACAAATTATACAGCACATATGGAATCAAAAGGCATTACCGAGCTCCAGCAACAAAAGGCGTTTTTTCAGTGAGATAAGGAGTATGCCCGCAGCTCCCAGCATTTCCCTTCAACTAACCTCTTCACACGCTCCTATCTTGCAGCACAGGCAAAACCCCTGGTTCCCAGGTCCGTCACCGTGTGACCGCTTCCTCATCCTTGCTCAGCGAGCTTGGCTCACCGTCGCCTGCTCAAATCACCTTTATTTGATATTACTTTGCCCCAACCGCGGCTTGCAGGTGTTTATTCAGACTCGATATATTCTGCATATCCCTGCCTGGCTCTCTAAATTTTAAGGTATTCCCGAAAATCACCCGGCTAGCCCCGGTATTACTAGCTGTCCCGCAAACGAACTAACAGCGTCAGAAGGCAGGTAAATGGAGGATGTCACTGTTGCAACTGGACTCCAGGGCTTCCACGTTGATCAACTCTAACCCTTATCAGCTCGCGGCGCTCGCGTGTGCCGTAGTCTAATTACTATACGGAGGAACGATGGTTTGAGATGACCGTTCTTTTTTGTAACGCCGGGGGGTCTCGGCACGGCTTGTCTCGCGCTCGGATTTCCAACCGTTCATCCAGGTTCTCGACTTCTTCTCGAAGAGTGGTATACCTATGAAACACCCCGTGCTTTTCGGCAGTTCAAGTCTGCCAGAAGATGTGAGGATGACATACTCCATAGGATGCTACATATTGCGGAGATCCCGGTAGATCAGGTTTGACTTTTCTCCGGGACACATGGGGGCGATTGTCAACGTTAGGGCCATCTCAACCTTGATTCGCAGGATCATGGACAGCATTTTAATTGGACACAGCGGTTTCAGCTGCTGCGGTATCGGCTTCGCTTGCGAAGACAGATCGTTTCGATGCCGGAGGTGGGCCGATGACGAGAGAAGAGGGAATTTGAAGCAGTAGCAGAAGAAGCCTGGTTGCGTGGAACTCATGACTTGTTTTAAGTATACAAGCATATCCCCTCCATGGCAAGCAGGGTATCGGGCATTCCGCAGGATGTTTACCAGGATATCCAGGCGACATCCGTCAAGGTCATTTTCCCGCTGCCATTCGTCAACGAGACAAGAGAATCGACAGAAGGTTGGTGTATATTTCCCTGCTCATGGAGGTGATGACCTTTCATCCTGGCTGTTGTTGAACGAGTCAAGAGTGTCCCGGCTTCCATCACATTCTCCTTATACGGAAAGACATACCTCTTTTGGTTCGGCTCTCGCTTCGTTTGATGTTGAGCCAAAGACGTTTTATCAACGACTTTTCTTTCGGGAAAAAGGAACAAAAGAAAAGGAGTAAAGAAAGAAGAAAAATAATCCTCCGTGTCCACAAAACTGTTTGTTCGCCTTTTGCCGCACTTTATTTGCATGTCTGGCCTGATATACTCCGGCGGACCGGGTGTGAAGGGAAAGAGGACAAGACCTCTGTTCAAAACGGCACTACTAAAGCAAGCTGGTTGGCCTTACCTCCAGTGGAGTTGTTA